ATTGAAAAGTTTCTCCCGCAGCCCACCAGATGATTGAACTGTGGTTACAATTCTGCAACAGAGACTGAGAAAAGGCGGAACTTTAAGAAGACACCTCACCTGTCATAAATTCTGTTGTAGAGACGGGGAACACTAGCAAAAACAGTAGGCCTCAGCAACTCTAAATCATCCATGAGCTTTAAAATGTCCTGCAAGATGAAGAGTTAGCACAGAACTATAACAGGGAAGGCTCCTACCCCTTGATAAAATCCTAAAGAGGCTCCATAATGTGCCATAGCTATTATGTTCGTCCTCTCGTAAATATGTGCTAAAGGTAAATAAGAAATATGTCTGGTACATAGCCATTTGGTCAAAGGTTCGAAAAATAAAGTATTTCCCACTCACACATCTGAAGGGTACAACTTGATCGTCAAACAGGCACCTGAACAGCTGGCCACAAGGTTATGGTGGCTAAGCATCGCTCCCTGTAAAGAAAATTCCCTTCTTAACTTGAACAGTCGCAAAGCCTTAACCTTTGGTGTGCCCGTTGTCCCGCTAGTATAGCATATCGTTGCAATATCGTCAGGCATAGGCGGAATAAATGGCCTTTCATCGATTCGACCCTGCATGTAAGCTTTGAGGACACATCAGAATCGAGGTAAATGAAATACCTGTGCTTCAAATTTTGAATAGGATACAATCTCTACTCCAGACGTTTGTGGGAGTGAAGGAAGTAAATGTTCCGAACCTCCAATGACCTGAACAAATGATAAAAATGTTCATCCAACAAATACAAATATATCAAGATTCTACCACAACAAGCCGCACAGATGGAAGGTCTGAAAGACAGCTGAGAAGCTGCAAGCACAAAGAATATTAAAGAACATGTAAATGTAGAAGCTACGAAAAAAAAAAAAAACACAAACCGTATTTAATTTATCTGCAGTACAAAAGACAGCTGAAAGCTCAGCGTGATTGATGATAAATGTGACCGCATCAGCACCTGAAAGATAAAAACATTCCGGTGATGATCATCAAACAGGTCATAACGTACCAAGTGTGTCATATAACGGAACAGAGACGTAGGAATATGACGAACAGGCGTGCTCAATAACTATCCATTCAGCGCGATTAATCATGTAGAGTCCGATACCCGATCCCTGCAAACAATTAAGTTAAATCCCGTGCATACAGATTCAAAGTTCCACCTTTGGGATCCCACGAGAAACAAGACTCGATCCAATAGCCGTTCGCGCGGCACCAGCTTCTCCATAAGTAACCCATCTGTACCTGTTAGACGAACCGAGTAAAACCAAGTCCGTGTTTTAGATTGTCTTACTCTCCAACAGTCCCATCTTCGCGAACTCTTGTCCCAAGATACTTGGAGTCACCATAGGAGCGAACGGCGTACCTGATATCCGAGCGTGATCATAACATCCCAGCTTCACTTTTGTACTTACACAAAGTTGTCGTGCAGTGTGAGAATTTCCGGATGATTTGGGAAGTGATCCACGAGCTTCAGAGGAGATCGAATGGACCTATGCAGCAAGTGAAAAATTGATAAAGCACAATATTAGTTAATCCACAGTACCTATACACATTCCACTTCCCATTTTTAAGCTTTTCGGGAAGAATAACACTATAGCCTTGCTCTGCGAAGCAGCATATCAATACAAGAGCCAGGATTAAATTGAAGTATCACCCACCAATGAAAAATTCTCCAGCTGTTGGATGAAAATCGAGCAGCTGCGATTGCCCTACAGCGGAAAAGAGAAAAAGAAAAAATGAAGAAAAATCAGCCGTTTCAATCCTGGAAAAGGCCTTTACCTGTCGCGAGACTGGCAATATGCCCGTGGATGATCTTGAGCCGGCGCTGAGCTGAATCCATCCAGTATCTCCCACAATATTTCCCACAATCCGATTGACCTTTCTTTCCCGCAGCTTTTTCTTGCCCTCGATCAGACACTCACTCGATTCACAGCTCCAGGGCACCCGATCAATCGATTGCTAGGAGGAAGCGAATCCAAATCCCTCACCGATGCATTGGAATGCGGCTCGTCATCTACCAGAACAATGATCGAAGCCGCGGATCGAGACAAACTAGCATTGCCAAACCTGGTAGGGCGCCAGGAGCAAGGAGAAAAAAAACTAAAAAGGGATACGTGTTGTCAAGAGTTTCATCTATTTGAGGCGGTGAAATTCCACGGATATTCCAAATAGGGCATATTCGCCGCATCACATCCAACTTTATCCATTTTGTTTATGTACAGGGTTAATCCGCAACCGTCCCCCAATCGCCACCGTTGGCTCCGCTACTCGCTGGCGTAGTCGTCTTCGTCTCCAAACGTAAACACGGAGGCGTCCGCCGCGATCGCTCGGAAGTCATTCGATTCATCCTCAGCCTTCTCCTTCTTGCTGGGATGATCTTCCTTGACATGGACGTAGTCACTGGATTCGTCCTTGTCTGATCGAGCTTTGGGAGCTTCTTCCGCCGCCGGAGACGAATCGGATGACTTTGGACGATTCTCGCTGCTCACTACTGCTGCTGCTGCTGCTCCACAGCTTAACTCCGGTTCCGGATGCTTTGGAGCTGTAGTCTCGACGCGAACACCCTGGTTCTCCTTTCTGTGAGAATCGCCATCTTCACTATCACTGAATACGTCGTCGTTCTCGCGGGATTCTGTGTCGGGTGATCGCTGGGGAGCCTGTGGCAGCGGTGGGCTTTCGCGAGGAGGTACAGGAGGGACACTCGCGTTTGGATCCAGAATTACCACTTCTACTTGAAAGCCTGGAGAAGGAAGCCTCCTCTGGAAGAAACGAAACAGTCAAGGTGAGATTTTAAAGCAAGCTTAAGCACCTTGTCGAACCCATCGAGATCTGCCACGTTGAGAATTTGTCTTGTCTCCATCATGGTTGTGTTTAGCCAGCTGAGAGCATTTTAAAAACGTTCAACTTGGATCACCAAAGCCACTTGAACTCACCAGTAAAAGTCTCCGTGGCGGTCCTGAAAAAGGATCTTGAAATCGCCATCAAGATCCGCGACGCACCTCTCTCCGGGCAAAGCGAACACCATTATCCCTCTCCTGGGTGCACTGAACCAGAAATCTTCAGGCTGCACCAGCAGTACGACGAACATAAGAGCGAGAAGGGATGATGACACGAAAGAAAAGCATCTACCATCATGTCTTTCGTCCTCGGATGTTTTTTTGTTGAGAACAATATGCCTGAAAGCAGATGATGAGACTTGCACTTCAACCGTATTAGTTACCAACCATTGTGATCGGATACTGTGATGGCTGGTCTGATCCAATAAGGGCACCTATGAAGCCTGATCCCCCTAAGAATGCACCTGCGATGTAGAGGGCCAGATAAAAACACAGTTTTGCTGTGAACTACAGCTCACTTTCGCCCGGCTGGTGTTTCTCCGTTGAATTCCTTTAGAACGCGTTCAAAATACTTGACATAACGCTGCAAAGAAGGCCAAGTATCAGTTCAGCATCACAAGAGCAGGACATTACAATTTGACTCGGTAGAATAAGACCCTTGCTATCGATGCACCGCCTCTCGTTATAGTTTGCGATGCATTCTTCGGCAGTCGGAAAAAACTGTAGCATAAAAGTGGTGACAGGATAGACTCTAAAAAAGTGTTACCTTAAGATACAGAAGAAGGCACGATATCATCAACCCGGTGCGCGCTTTCCCCGCTTTGCAATGAACCACTACGACGTTGTCGAGGTTCTCTTTAAGCCAACCATATGCACTTCGACAGAAGGCCAAGACCAATTGCAGTGGGGGACAATTGTGATCGTCGAATGGAAACGATGCAACCTGCGGGACATCCAAAAATCAATACAAAGCAGGCACGAAGGCAGTCGTTTGTCTACCTTGCCTTCCAGCAAAGAAACATCGTAAAGCCTTTCAGAGCAAAGGTTATACACTTTGTACTTCCCCTACAATGAAACACACAGAATCAAGGCAAGAGAGATCAATACAACACTGTCTCACCTTATGTTGCGTTTCGAAAAACCTTATAACTTCCTCCATATGGTTTCTGTAAAATCCCTGTGCAAACCGAGCAGCCCATAAGCATTGCCGAATTAAAAAAGAGAAAGAAAAATCACCTCAACGTAGCCAAGGATACCAGAGCTCATGTCGCCGGCAGGAAAGCCCATGGCGATAATGCTATCAGTGATATACGTCATGTCCAAGTCGAAGCCACCTTCCTACAAAGCAAAGAATTAGAAAAACAAAACAAGCACACACAAAACATACCTGATAGCGTCGTTTGTTCTGCGAGACCAAATGCCTAGCTCTTGTTTGGACCACCTTGACTGCATTCCTGGACGAGTCGAGAAATCCCTTCGTGAAAGTACCAAATGCCCCGTCTTGAGCTTGAGCCGGGGCTGTTGTGGTGGGCAATTCGTCGTCCACCACTGGGATCTTGGCCGGGACTCTCTTCCCAAATCCACTGGAGAGAATGCTGAAAGGCGACTTGGAGTCCTTGGGCGAGCTCGCATTTGAATTCTCTTTGGCATCTTTCGGAGAGATTGGAAGCTTCAAGCTCTTGGCCCACGTCGAGATCCCAGCCACTGAGAGCTTGGACGGCGCCTCTGTAGATCCGTCACCTGGAGTAGCGGCGGCTGTTCTCGAGAAGAAACTGGCGCTCCTCTGGTAGAATTTCGACCGCTGCTGAGTCGCCGCAGCAGCTCCCTCCGTAACCGAAATCTCGACAGGCACCTCCGACGGCTCCACCGATACGCTCACGGGAGCTTCCGGCGAGCTCTCCATCGAGATCTGCATGGAAGAACTCGAGCTGAGCCAGAATAGGGAGAGAAATCGCGCATCCGGTAGCTAATCCACAGCATTTCATCCAGTCTGTGCCAATGTGGCCAATACCTGAGAGCGCTCCGACGCCTCGTGAGCTAGAGATCCATCGATGGAAAGAACAAACCCTAGGGGCTCTGCCTAATCTTGCGAGTTAAAATTACTGGTAGTTCACTTTAGGGCTCTTCCGTAAAACGCGGAGAAGAGCTCTGTCTCTATCCATGGCGATCGAAGCTCCAGCAATTCAAGATTTTGATCCTCAGCACCATCAACACTACGGCACCTTCTCGCCCCTTGATCCCGCCCGGAGATCCTCACAATATCCCGGGAGCCTTCCAGGTCTCGAATTCGATTTTGCGATCGCGCCGCGCTGCTCGATCTCGCCAAAACTATCATGAAGTTTCCTATTCTGGTTGTGGCAGTAGCGATCGCTGAGGGGCGCGCCTTGTACGCCTCTCGAATCGTCCGCGAGGAGGAGCCCCCACTCCCGCTTTGCAACATTGGCATTGGATGGTTTCTGTGAGTTCTTTGGATCCCGTGCCTAAGCTGAGATCTAAATTGGATAAGTCCTCCAGATTCGCGATTGGATTCGTTAGCATCATCCCCTGGTTCGTGGGCGCGATCATCTTCGCCTGCTTCACGCACGATTGGAGAGAAAGGGCTGGGCTCGCAGCCTGTACGGTGGCTGTAAGCAATCTATACGATCGCTCCACAAAGTTCTAGCTGATCTTTCTTGCTAAGCACGATTTCTTGTGCGCAGGCGTTCGTGACAATCCTCGTCGGAGGCTCTCGGTTCTTGTGATCGAGATCACAATGCCACGAAAACAGCCAATTTGCCGTGCGCGGGACCCGATCTTTTACACGTGGCACCTTCCTTTTCAGCCACGTGCTTTAATTTTATTTTACCTGAATAATCTATTTTATAGCACTTCTCTCCATTTCCACTAAAAATGTAGGTTTTATAGATATAGAAAATGTGCGTGACTGAACTGGCCAACTTCGATTAATCGTTCAAAGAAAACGACCATCAAGCTAGCGCAGATCCAGTCATAGAGAAAAAATCGCGAATAAATCGATCTAGAGCTACAGCCACAGAGAGAAAAGACAATAACAAAAAGGGAGAAGCATACAAACCAAGTTTCGATCACACTCTACCGTGAGCGTTGAACTGCGGCTCCTGCGCGTAAGGATTGGACGAGTTCCTCGCGTTCTTCACGGGCGAGGACGACGATTTGCTTCTCCGCCGCTGGAAATAGATCGCCCAAGTCACGGCCTCGAGGATGAGCGCGACGACGCCCAGCGCGATGATGATCCCAATGTAGGCGTTCTTCCATCCCTTGGCCGGGTCCAGGATGTCGAATCCCTTGAAGATGTTGGCGATGGCGAGCGCGATCGTGGCGTAGCCAATGCCGTGGTGGTAGGCGTTCCAAAACGTCCTGTAGCTGTGCGTCTTGTTCGGCCGGAGCACGATCGCGAACACCTGGAGCGTCCCAAACACGAACATCGTGATCCCAATGTTCCTGTGCGTGTTGTATCTCACTCCAACCGAGTCGGATCCCAGGCGGAGCCCGATCGCCCAGCCCACCACCCCGAGGATGTATCCCAGCGTCTGGCAGGCGACGTGGAGGTAGAACCAAGTTGGATCGGCCCACTCGAACGATCGGAGGTAGCGCGCGGACATGGCACCGATCGGGAGGAGGATCCCCCAGCCGATAGCGTTGAGGATGCCGTGCGCGTTCCGGAGGTGGAGCCGCGGGATACCGGCCGAGCTCGCGGCGCCAGTGGCGAGATCGAGGCTCCCGGCCGAGGACGTGGAGGCTTGGTCCAGAGCGTGGGCTTGTGGAGCGTCGCCATTCACCTGGCTCCCCCGGTTCCAGATGTGGAAGATGTTGCTACTCGGGCTGGTGAGGCGGAGTAGCGCGGTGAATCTCGCGGTGGTGCCTTGGATCTCCACGGCCTGGGCGAGGACGGTCACGTCGGTGGTGGAATTCCTCAAGATAGCCTGCCGCGAGCCCGTGAGGCTGTAGAGCATGAGATGGCTGCCCGATGCGTTGCTGAAAGCGATGAGCGCCGAGGCCCCGTCCATCCCCGCTCGGCTTGGATTGTAGCCCCAGCCCACCCAGCCGGACGCGCTGGGGAGAGAGCCCGAGAAGGCGATCTCCAGGGTCCGGTTCTCGGCGATGAAGGTCCAGGCGATCGTCGCCCCCTGCGACAGGCTCTGGCACTGCATGAAGCTCGACTGCGTGTTCGCGATCGTGAGCTGCCGCAAGCACTGCTGGGCCGCGGATGGAGCGATGAGCGCCGAGAGGGCAAGGATCGAGATAAATATCGCCATTCTTGCTGTTGCCGAGGCCATTGCTCGATGGATCGCCACGAAATTTCGAACGCTATGGAATATCTCGGGCGCTTGGATCGAGCAAGGAAGATCGGAATATCGCGAACCTGATCGGTGAATCGAGCAAGGAAGATCGAAATATCGGGAACCTGATCGATCGCAGGCCGCGCTGCTGCAAGAGGGTTTTGGATCCGGCCGGGTTCTTGGAAGAAGTGCCACCCCTGGAAGCTTATATCCTCGCGAATCGCCTAGAACAGGTCGCTGTCCGGTGGAATTTGTTTACTTGTTCATCCTGCTACGAACAACACGGTCATGGTACCTAGAATTCCTACAAATCGGCAGAAGCTCACCAGAAGGCGCGAGCGGCATGCGCCAAGCCGGGCCCGACGAAGTCTTTGAGCAGAGGAGCTAGAGCCCTAAAACCGCGTTGCATGCTCATTATTCGGCCACGTGGAGGCCACGGGTCAGCGACACGTCGACGACCCCGCCGAAATGGAGCCAGCCGTTGGATCTCGGGCGAATTTGAATAAGAGCCGTCGGATGAGGAGCAGCCATTGAGGACTTTTGTTTAAAGTTTGGTGGAAGGTAACAATAGTTCTTCCATTCAACACGGCGCTGGTTTTAGACGAGTGATGTAATGCTGAGGAGAGCATGAGAGAGAGAGAGAGAGAGAGAGAGAGAGAGAAGCTTCTAATTTGCGAGCTAAGATTTCTATAGCTCCTTTCTCCTTTCCACCTGGTTCTCTTTCTTTCGTTTTTCCCATAATGCGGTTTACAGTTAGATTCTTGGCTCGCAATCAAGCAAAGAGCTACCGCGTCTGCAAGCTTGGATTCTAAAGCACGAATTTGACGAAAAGAAAGCAAAGACAGAGAAGGAGATCTCCGTACCGTGACACTCCCCAGAGACGGATGATAGAGAACTCTACCAAAATTTTCTCGTGAACTGGGTGGACTTTGTGGATTGTCGTTAGGAAGAGTCGATAGGACTTGAAGAGAGTGTTGAAAGGTAGCTGCCAAGCAATCTTTGGTCCATGACCATGCTCGGGATCTAAAAGCAACGCGGAGAGGTTGATCAAAGCCTCAAAGTCGTCGATTCGGCAAAGAAAGAATCCGTACCTTATCTCCGAAGAAGATCTTTGAATTGTTGGTGATGGACTCGATAAACTTGAGCTCCAGAAACTCCGGAGTTAACTTGAGCTTGTTAGCCTCAGCCTCCCTCAGCACCCTTTTGGAAGAGAAACAATAAAGATCAGATCTTTTCACGCGCTCCAGATGAAAAGAAACTTGTACCTATAGAAGTTCGCATCAGCCAGGCTCTTCTCCCGGCCCAGGAAGATTTCGTTCTCGATCTCTTGCTGCCGTTTGGCACTCTCCTTCTCCATGACGCGCTGCTCCATCAGGATTTTACTGACGTGAGCATCCTTCTCGGCCTCGGTCACAGCTTGTTTCTTGTGAGTCTCGGCTTCTTTCTCCAGGACTTTTTGCCTCTCGACGGCAATCAGTACCTGGGAAACAGGGAGGTTTTAGTGTTTCGTGAAGCAAAAGTATTGTCCACGAAACGAAAAAAACGAACCTTAGTGCGTTCTTCTTCCATGCTCTCGTAGTTACGAGCAATTGTTGCCGGAATAGTTGGCTTCGTCACACGCACACCGATAATCTCAATTCCTGGAGCATAGCGTGTGCAGTCTCGCTGGATCGCGTCCTTCATGATCTCGTCGATCTAAAGCCATGCGATCGTAAGACCAATGGCTTACATACTAAGAATGAACGAACCTGATCGAACTTATCAATGTACACTTCCTGGAGTGAATGCGCGCTGCAAAACTGGTTGATTTCATGGTGGATCTTGTCGTAGATCCACGTCTTGTCGTAGCTCACACCGTAGTTGAGAATAGTTTCATACACAAGCTCCTTCTTGAGACGATTCACCACCTAAAACCACACCAAAACACCTCACTGCCTCACTTCAAACGAGAGCTTTTACACACCTCAATCTTCTCGAAGTAGATCATCACTCCACCCTTCGTACCACAGGGAATGTCTTTCACCTGAGAGTCGTCGTAAGAAACACCAACTCATCAAAAGAAAAATTCCCCTAGACTCTTGCCTGATCGGTTTGTATAGTAACTTGGATAGGCTCGTACTGTGTGAGGATTGGGACCATCAGATGAAAACCTGGGAAAAGAAAGACACAAAGAAATAGCTAAGTTGCTACATCATATATGATGAGAACCTAGAGAAGAAATAGAAGAAAAAAAGAAAGGAGCAACAATTACCAGGCTCGGAGATAGTCTTGAGCAAAGCACCGCCTCTCCAGTAGACCCCAACATGACCTTCTGGAATCTGGTGGAGTACGCCGAAATTCGTCCCGGCCACAGTGATGGGGACCAAAACCTACAATCGATCGATCCATTTGAGTAAAATATGGACCTACAGAGCCCGCATTCTTGCATTGATCTACGCGAGCTGCCGCTCGATCGATCGATCTTACCAGTGCGAGCGCCAGCGGGAGGAGCTCCAGCGCCCTCAGGCCGCCCGCCCCCGGCCTCGGCGAAGGCGTCGTTCTCGTGGCGTCCATGATCCAATGGATTGAATGGAAAAACCCTTGTCCCTTACACAAGAAACGTTTATACGGTCTTGTCACGTAGTGTTTCCACTCGAGAGAGAGAAAAGCCTTGTGTCCTCTCGAGCGCTTCTCCAAAGAACTTCACAAGAGAGGTGGAAAAAAAAATTTCTCCTCGCTACAAAGAGAGAACTTTCTCCATAGCCAAAATGTATTCTTTGACAAAATTGTATGCTTACAGATATAACATGCCTTGTGTATAAGGAACTTTAGACAAAAAGAAAAAAGAAAGAAAGAAAAACAACGGAGAACCTATCGGCTGATATTGTTGAGTGCCAATTCCGACACTGGAAGTCCGCCATTACCTAAGCTTGAAGCTCCCGAAGACTCGGACATATAGAGAGGAGCCAAGACGCTCGTCGCGAGCTCCGGAAGCTTGTTAAAGTTGTGCAGCTGCTGCTGCTGCTCCTGTGGGGGAGAAGTGATGATCGACGCAATGGCAGCGGCCAAAGCGGCCGTAAATTTTGGATCCGACGTGATCGCCGCGCTCACGCTCTCGGCCAGATGATTGTTCGAATGACTCGAGCTCCTCTGTGGTTGCAACAAGTTGGAGCTCGAGTTCCCCGAGTTGTTCCCGTCGTGAAAGATCATCTCTTGCTCGCGGGGATCTTCCCGCTTGCTCTCGCCAGGAACCACAAACCTGGTAGCGGCAGGAAGAGGATTTGAAGCTCCGGGGTTTGTGGTGAGATCCAGAGTGACGGTCGGGAATGGCGTGGTGGCGGAGATGGTTGGCGCCCCGGTCAGCATCCCGGCCATGAAGCTAAGATCGGTGCTACTGGCGGTGGAGCCGGAGAGGAGCATGGTGGCGGCGGCGGAGGTGGTGGAAGCCATGCTCGTCGCCGCCGGTGGGAGCTGATGGTTGTGGGATCCCTCGTAAGTTGTGACGAGGACGCTGGTATCGTCGGCACACCTTTGGACTTGTTTTCTCACGGGGCATCCCGAGGCCATGGTGCAGCGGTAGTAAGCTCGCGGGCATGGGTTGCCTTTGGCCATCTTTTGGCCGTATTTTCTCCACTGGCAGCCATCGTTCATCTGTGGATATGGAGGAGTTAGAGAAGCTTTCAAGGAAATATTGAATTTTTTCTTCAAGCGAGAGTGTGCTTACTGTTGGAGCTTCGCATCGAGCACGAACCGAGACACGGACTTTGTGCAGCATCGATTCCAGGTGCTCTGGTTGGTTCTGGAAAACGATTTTTCCCTGCGTGCCAAATTGTTGTTGCTGTTGCTGCTGCTGCTCGTTTGGTGGAGAGCTTGGATTGTCTAGTTTCTGCAAGAAAAACACATTTTAGACCAAATAAAATTACTTTTTTTCTTCTCCTAAAGAGAAAAGTTGCTATTTTTTTTATAAGGAAAGAAAGAAAAAAAAGTACCTGAGGAGATGGCGCTTTTTGTGATTGTTGCTGGATCAATGCCATGGTCTGCACCTGAAAGTTTTGGTACTCGGCTTTCACTTGATCCAGCACCGCCCGCAACCGCTCGTTCTCTTCTCTCATTCGTGTCATCTCAGCGTGAACTTCGACGAGCTGAAAGGAAAAAAAAAATGAAAAGTCAGATCAACAATGACTCAAAAGAAGAACTAAATCTTTCCACTTACTTGGTTCTTGAGCTCCTCGTTTCTGGGAGACAGTGGCGGCGAGTAGTCCTCCACCGTAGATTTATCGCTGGCCACGCGGCCCTCCAGTTTGAATTGCGGAGACCCTCTGGAGATCCTGGGGCTCTCGCACTCCTGCTCCTCGAAATCCTGCTTGATCAGCGCCGCCTTCCTCAGGAAAAACGGCGTCTCCCTCTTCAGATCCATCTCCTCGGCGCCCGCATCGTCCTCCTCGCTCAGCGCCAGCGACAAATCGATCGACTTGACACGGTCCCGCCGCCCGGCCATTCGCTTGCGAAACTTTGGCGACGGCGCGCCCGGGTCCTGCTCGTCAATCCTCCTCCTCTTGAGATCCTCAGCTCTATCCATGAACAGCAAAGAGGAGACTTTCGCCTTCTCGATGATCACACACCCTTGGAAGAATTGCTGGGCTTTATTCGCGGCGAGAAGTTCCAAGCCGATACGCTACGCAAGCGACCACACGTGGAATCCGTAGAGCAAATCTCTCGACTGGAAGAAGAACGGGGAGAGCGCTGGAAGCTTAGAAAGCGAAATGGATTGACCGTGCCCTCTCTTCCACGCACGGGGTATTTCTAGAGAAACTTTCCACGATGCCCAAGGACGAGGATGGGGGAGACGGTGACCACGCGTGACACGGTCAAAATAGGCAAAATTTCTCGCGAGGCGACCAACCAACCAACGTAGTTTCCCGGCGCCAAACACGCGGGAAGCTTCCGGCACTGGCAGACAGCCCTTGGATCCCGACCATCAACGGCCGGTCTTACGTGCACGTTTTCCAGAAGCTCCAAAAGACAGTACGGTTGACTGCCAGTCAACAGTCACTGTCGGGGTCGTCGATTGCGTCTTGGAAAAAAGAGGAGCGCCCGCAATTCGACCGACTTCTAGTCTTGCATGTCTTTCCTCTCTTTCTTCATTTTCTTCGTAGGTTTTGGTTGTTCTCATTGTTGCTTTAGGACATTAGTGTGGAAACGCGAGAACTGGATAGTATGGTCCTCGTACTGTAGGCTGTAGAAAAGCGAAGCCTTATACGTCCAAGGCTTCTACGGTGTGTATGTGCAAATCTTTCCACCTAGCATTGAAACCTGGGACCGGGTGTTTGGATCGCACTTTCTTTGGTTGAAGTTTTGGATTTTTCCTCGTTGCCGTGTCATTTAGTCTCTTGCGTCCATCCATCCAGACGCACCATAGAGAAGCAGCCACGAAGCCACCGACGAAGAGCCCCAGTTTCACGAGTCTTGTGGAGGTTAAAGAAAATATCAACGCATGCCGACAAGTGGTCTATTTCTTCCTGTCGTTTTGGTTGCGCAGTCCAGTCTTGGGCGGTAAAAGCTTAGAAAATCTTAGAAAGTGGTGGATCGAAAGTAAACAGCAAATCACTAAAAGCATAGAGATTTCCAGAGGGACAAGAAATTCTAGTAAGACTCATGGTTTGTGAGCCAAAGGTATTTCTCGAGGTAAAGTTGATGTATCAAGAATCTTTCGAGAAACTGCACCCTAGAATTCTGTTTGTGGTCATGGTTTTAACCCAACGTATAAACCGAGAGATCTCGGTTTGCCTTACTGAGAGCTAAGTTGGCCAGAGTTGGCATAAACCCTCTCAACTTCTGTGAAGAATTCAAGCAATGCTAGCTCTCAATTTCGAGCTGGGATTTACGCTTAATTCTATGTTAAGGCTTTGCAGACAGGCTGGGTAGCAGCACATAGCGATACTCAATATCCTCGCTCCATGCAGCAGCAAGTATACCACTTGGACAGAGCAAAGTCGTATGCAACAGGAGGCCACACCCCATGGCTTTCCTTCCTGTGGAAGGCCGAGATGAAGGCGGTGTCCCCGACCAGCCTCACTTTGAGATCCTTGTACCGAACTGACAAATCACAATCGGGTCCAAACAGGTCGTGGGACACCAACACCCGACGAGTTTGATGAGCTTGACGTGCTGAAGAACGGGCTTTGGTGCCAAGAACATGAATCTGATTCATACTGCAGCGAGAATATTTTATCATCGTCGTCATGGATCTTCTGGTACAGTATCGCAAGTTGGTAAGAGTTGCTGACAGCATCTGTTTCCATGCCGATGTCCAGATAGGCTGGCTGTAGACGATCCAGCGCTGGCTGTAGGCGATCCGCCGGGTCAAGTGGAGCAGGAGGAAGTGTCTTCCACACGTTGGTGATTGGATTCCCCACAGCAAAAGTCATCCAATCTGTGTGTTCCATGAGCATCCCACAGACAAGTCCGTTGGAAGAACACAAGCCCACGAAGCGCGAACCCGATGGGCCTAATGGAAGACTGCTATGCGGACGCCATAGCTCGGTGTGGTTCTCTAGCCTCATGCCATAGTCAAAATGCTCCTCATCGTAACGAAGCTCCCTACAGACACTTGCTTCAATGGTCACGCTGAGAAGAAGTAAAGAAACACTTACATGTCAAAGGGAAGACCCGTGCGCACCCTGAGCACGGCCCAGGGTTCCAGCGGTGGCTTGTACAGCTGCACAAAACGAGGAGAGAGCACAGCGTCATACCAGGACTTGCACACGGCCCGCAATGTGAACAAGTCTGGAAAATCCGAAAAGTTGGATGTGGAGGACAAGCGATGACTCCGTGACGCACTCGAAAATGCCGCAGCGGCCCTCATCCCGATCAAATGCGCCCCACTTCCCCATTTTTCTGTTGTTTAGGGCTTTGACTTTCTTTTGACTAGCATACTCCAGATGTCAAAATTATAGTTTTTTATCTAGTATTTTTTATCCTTTAAGCCAAAAAATGCTTTGTCATGTTCCATAGCAAAGACAAGGAAGCTTTTCCAGCGAAAAATCCACCACTTTTTTTTTTTTGTTTTTTGTTTTTTGGTTTTCTTATTACGAAATTTTATCCACTTTAATATCCTATTTTGTTATGAGGGTTTCTTTCTTGAGGATTCCTATTCTTTTACTAATACTTCTTAAAGTAACAAATCTGACTATTCAAGCAGATGTAAATTGGGATGCTCTTTCACTTTATGATTTTATTAGTAAAGGAGACATTAATGATATTGGAAATTTTTTAGTCAAAATGATGGATACAAAAATAGTGGACACATATAAATACTATGGTGCGCATACTTGGACTGATTATCTCCCTTTGTCTGATAAAGTTATTGAAGTTACTATCTGGATCTATAGTAAAAGGCCTAATGGCATGTGTAGTATGTCTATAAGAGGAACAGGGGCATCAGGAAAAGAAATCATTAGCCAACTTAGTGAGCTTTTATTTGATATTTTACAAGAGGCTCGAGTGGGAAACTATGGTCTTATAGTTGCTACTTTAAATTATGTTGGTATCAAATATAAATTACTAAATGCTAGAAAATACAATTCTAAGAAAATCAATAGGCTGAATAATACTTATACAAATGCAATTTTTAATTGTTGGATTTACAGATCTGCTCTTATGAGTGGTGAAAAACACGATTTTGGATCTTATTTACTCAATTCAAATTCTCTAATTTCTCCAAATGGAGAGTATGAATTAAGTCTAAATAAAGATTGTAATTTAGTGTTAACTTGGAAAAGGGTGTATATTTTATGGGAAAGTGGGACTACAAATAAAGGTACTGGCTGTTGGTTAGTTTTAGAGATTAGAAATCTAGTAATAAAAGATTTTAAGGATATGGAGATATGGTTTATAAATAGTAATTGTCCAACATGTAAATCAACAACACTTTCTGTAGAAGATGATGGATTTGTCTATATTATTAGTTCAAATGATAATAAAATATTAAAACATTTTCCTTAACAACTTCTTTGTTTAAAATTCTATCAACTTAAGGCGGTATATTACGGTGCTTGTAAAAACTAATCAAGGTAGGGTGGGTATACTTGCTGCATGGATCAACTATGTGCTGCGTCACAATTGAGTTCTTTAAATTTGTGTCAATTGAACAGGAACGATGCCCAATAGCATTTCCCCTTGTACATGAAGGCACCGATGTATCCAAAATATCAGTTTGTCCACCTCTTCTTGTTAGTTGCGTGCTGGTGGTGAGATAACCACATGAAACCAGTTCTTGTTCTCCCCAGTGTAGAAGAAAGCACAGCCTCGTTGAGGTGATCCCAATGATTTTGACGCTGAAGAACAGGCCTTGGTGCCAAGAACATGAATCTGTTCATACTGCAACTTGGTAAAAACTACTTTTCCATACTGATGTTGAGAGCAACTTCAGAGAACTTAGCTCTGCACAAGGAAGTCGAGTCAGAGTTGGAGATAGAAAGATCTTAGAGGTTTATGGAAAAGGAGATGTAGAAGTTCCAGTCGGAAATAGCAGTGTTTTCAATCTGTCAAATGCTAGAATCTGATATCAAGGTGTAGATCTTCACTTTATGAAAAATGGGTGTCCCTTCTTTGATCGTTTTAAAGAGGCCAAAGGACATTGTCTTTTCATTGGTGTGCACATTTGCAAAACATCCACTCATCAATTGCATGGTAAAGGAAAACTTGGTATATAGAATTTAAATCCACACAAAAAGACCTCCAAGATTTGACATGGCTGTCAATTAGGAAAAAAAGAAGGTTTCCTTTGTCCACCTCAACTACGAAGTGATAGATGCCTTGAGTTTTTTTATACAGATCTTTGTGGCTGAATGAGAACACAATCTCAAACTGGAAAGAGATACTTCATCATATTCATGATGTGAACTATACTTCCTCCACAAGAAATCACAAGCACTCAAAGCTTTCAAGGATTCTCTTTTGTCAGTTGAAGTGCATAACAATTGAAGTGTGTTTATTCAAATTTAAGAATTTGAAGTGTTCTGCAAATCTCAAAGAGTTGTTCATCAGAGAACTTGTGCGAATATAGTGCAACAAAATGGCATTGTAGAGAGGAAGAATAGGTTAATCATGAACATGGTCAAATGCTTTTTGAGAGACATCTGGACTTCAGAGATCATTTTGGTCAGAAGCTGCTGTTCAAGTGCAAAATCTCTTCCCACATTCATCTTGTAGAGCAGTACTAGAACAATTACTCTGACTTAGAAAGAAGCAGAATGTTCAACACCTTAGGAGGTTTAAAGTGCTGGTATTTCTACACAACAACTTGGTTAAATTGGCAAGTTTGATCCTAGAAGCATAAAAATGTTCCTTCTAGGATATGAACCAAACACTAAGGGGTATAGTCTGCACACAAGAAAAATTGTGATTTCTACGTTGGATGAGGACACACTTTACAAAGATGTGAAATGATGAACAAAGAATTGGGAGTTGGAGTAGTGGATCTTGGAACTAGATGAAGAAAATGAGCCCTTGGAATCGAATCAATGACAGTAAAGCATGCAAGGACAGGACAAAAGAGAATAGGTTCAACCAGATCCTATCCCAAGTTTTCTGGGGGCTCGAAATCTCGGATCAAAAGTGGAAAGGCTAACAAGAAATCTACAATGTGACACAAAGGAGTATGGATGCCATTTGCATCTAGCACATGCTTGAAACCAATTGTTTTGGGTCCTAAAACCTTAAGCTTAAATGTACCATTTTGTGCATGCGAAGCCATTTCCTCCTGCATAGCAGTGAGCCATTTCTCAACTTCCTACCCATGCATGGCTTCCTCATCGTGTATAGTAACTTTTGCATGTTTTGGTTTCTTGAGCTATGTTATATGTCCAAATTGATCTAGCAGGTATGTATATTCTCAGGTAGCAGGGGTTGATGTTCTCACTGATAGTGAAGGAAACTAGCATCTAAAAGAAATTTAGTGAAGGAAACTAGCATTTTGTATCCTTGTTAGATTTATATATTGTTTCTTGAGTGGGAGTTCTCATTCTTGAAATTTAGAAGTGTATGTAATTATTTTTTTATTAATTTATTTCTTAGATTTGAAAATTTTACTTTTAATGCTAAAAAAATATTAACATGATTTTCAAATTTATTTCTTTGTTCAACTTTATCTTCACTTAATATAATTTTTAAAATGTTAAATTTTTCTGATACTTTTAAAATATAAACATCCTTTTTTCTCTTCGAGTGCTAATCTTGTTTGATACTTTTGAAATATAAACATCCTCTCTTATTTTCAAGTGCACTAATTTTGTTATTTTGGGTTAGTTGATCATACCTTCTATATATGCCCATTGCTTACAAGATTATTTTATAGCTATGGCACTTTACCTTAGCTAAATCTTATGCTATGTAAATTTCATTTTTGGTTGATTGTTTAGGTTTATTTTTCCCTCATTTTGTTTTAATGCTATTTAGTTTGACAAATTAAATTATGCTTCACCCCCAACTATGCTTCTCATTACTTTTGATTTTTCTAAGCTAATTAAATTCCTTTGGTTATAACATAGAAAGAATTTTTTTTTTGACAAATTTATTCTATCTCTTCAAAAATTTATTTGTTATCACTATAACATCATTGAACACAACTTTAAAAATTTAAGTAATTTCAAATAAAATAAATTAATCAATTTGAAATGACATCATACTAATAACATCATACACTAAATCAACAAAAAAGTTTTAAACTCAATGGCCATCAAATATTTAAAGAAGTCGAGAGCCAAGAACTCTGTATACCACCGACGCTGTCATCTTTCTCACACCACAAACACTCCTCAATTTCGCGAGCAAATCCTCCTCTTGCTCCTCATCCGAATCATACCCCCGGAGTCTCTCCATGAAGTCGAGAGCCTGCTGCGAATCCAAAGCCAGTAGCTTCGCCGCATCGCTCACTGCTGAGAAGAAACTCGCCGGGCGAGCGCAGTAAGGCCGGAAGATGAGAAACAAGGCTTTCACGTCCGCTCCAAACTGTCGGGCACCCTGCTCCGAGAATCGAGCACCGCCGAGAACCAGTCCCAGGAAGAGCAGCTGATCGAGACTCGGGATCAACCGCTGCCACAGCTCCACAAAGTTGGCCTGATCGAGGCTGTTCTTAAGAGAGCTAAGCTGGCTCTGGAGTGCTGCCAGTGCGTCCACCAAGCTTCCAGACGGTGCATCTTCGAAGCTTGGAGCCCACTCTTCGGACCATCTCTTCTTGTTGCGGAAGTACTCGCGGCAGCGAGCGTCGAATCCTCTCGACACCACCGAGACCAGCTTCCCGCTCCAGCTGCTTCGGAATCTCGACAGCTTCTCCAACTGCGAGTCGAAAACCGAGCCTTGAATCTGCGCGAGCTGCTCCTCGGCCGCTGGAGAAAAACCTGGCAAGTTCTCCTGGAGCTCCGCGAGCCTGAGTTCCAGAAAGAAGAAATCCTCGCACCAGTCCCTGACCGTGTTCTCGCAGTAGCGAGCTGCGTTGAGGCAGACACCGACTTTGATCATCGAAGGCTCATCGGCGAGAGCCGTCACTGCCTCACTCTCCTGGCATCTCTGCAAGAGCTCGTCGATAAACTCGTCCAAAACCGGCAGTGCCGTTTTCCTCACGAACTGTAGCCGCTGGCTGGCCTCGGGCAAAGTCCTGCATCGATCAACCAAGTTCCAAGCCGCGCTAGTGAGCCGATAAGCTGCTAGCGGGGGCTTAAACTCGGTAGAGCCCGAGATCGAGCTCGCGGAGTTTATCTTCCAAGCCGCTTCGTTCCCATACTCCACCGCCATCTTTCTTCTCGCGTCACCTAGCTCGAGCCTAGTCCAAACTTCCAACCAGTCTCCACGGTCCGAGAACACGGCAATGCAAGCCCGACGGACCCCAAAAACACTGCTCGAGAGTTGCTCGTCACCGCTGCTCATTCCGATCCCTTTCTCAACCAAAGCTTGCATTTTGGAGTCGAAGGACAGCGTCTGATCGACTGTGTGTAGCCAAACCGTGGAGGCCTGATCGGACAGAGCATCCTCCAAGTCTTCCATGAGAGTCGGCAAAGCCCATCGTCGTAAGTGCTCCGCCACCATAGCCACCAGGGATGATATCCACTCTTCTCTCGCACTGTATCCCAGGAACTCTTCGTCCAACATCGGCTGGAGAAGAGCGTCCACTACCGCTACGTGCTGCTGTGTGATCCTGTAAGCTAGAGCGAAGACGAACTCTGGCTTGTGGAGCCACTTCTTGAAGTGGACCTCGGCATTCGCTGCTATCGGATGCACCAGCTCTTCGATCGACCACAGCGCCTCGCGAGGAGCTGGAGTCTTGTCTCTATATCCCCGAAACTCACGACGCCTCCGCTGGATTTGCCCGGCCTGGAACCTCGAGAGCGAGACAAAGCTCTCGCGGAACTTTCTCTTGGCGTCGCCTTGGAGCTGGAGCAGCGGGTGTGATTGGGCTTGCTGATCATCCCTGTCGCCGGAGATGGAGAGTGGAGGCGGCCAGCCTATGGAAATGACGATGGAACGATAGTCCGAGATTACCACTGGCCGGAGAGCTGCTGCTGCTCGATCCACACGGACGTCCACAGCGGAGATGAGACGATCCCATTGCGGCTGGCACTCGACGATCTCGCCCATCAACTTCTCGATCGCGGCCAGGGAATTCACAGCCGAGATCACGAACTGTCCAGCCTGAAAGGAAAGAGTAGAGGAGTTTTAGCCAGCGATCGCGAAAGAACTCGTAAACAAAGATCGCTACTCGCTAAGAAATCTTATGTGAAACTAGAGAGAGCTACAGTGCTATCCAGCATTGGCAAAAGAACTATATGATCCAGGGAAGAATTCGCGTACCTGAGAAGAGGGAGATCCAGCAGCTCCTCGGCTGACAACCGGCGTGGAGGACGCCGCCGCGAACACTCCATCCTCCAAATCCCCGACGAGCCTCTCGAGCTGGAGCACTGCATCGACATAAGCCCTAACTTGGGCGACGCGCGACACTTCCTCCGCCAGATCGCTCAGCTCCCGCAAGAGCTCCGGCTCCGCCTCTGGCGGCGACGGCGACGACGATCGCTCCTCGCAGAATCCACACAGCGCCTCGAGAGACACCGCGATGGCGTGCATTTGGGCCGATCCATCGGCCGCTGCCTGGCGCGCCCGCGATCGCGCGTCCTGGAGCTTGAACTCGAGCTGGCCGCATTCCGATTCCAGATCCTGCTGCAAGGTGTGGAGGTTTGCGAGATCATTGGCACCGTGGAAGTAGGAATCCAGGAGCTGGGATACTTCCATTTGGGAAGAACCCTAGAACCCTTTATTTCTAGGGCTCTTATTCTCCTCCGTCTTCTCGCCGGAGCCAAGAGGTATGTCGCTATCAGCTCCTATAGCTAGCTTGTTTCGTTCATAGCTTAGCTCGCTGGATCAAGGCATTTTTTTTCTCTCGAAATGGTGCTGCTCGATCAAGCATTTTTTCCTCTTCATTCTTTTGCTCTTCGCTCTCGCTGGATCAAACAGTTAGCTGTGGTATTGTCTTCGCTCGATCAAGACATTCTTTTGCTCTTTTCTTCGTGTGCATTGCTTGTTTTTCTTCCATTTTTTCTTCTTAGCTTTTGAGCTGACAAATCTTCTCTTTTTTTTTCCCCATAGCTAGCTTGTTTCGATCAAACAGTCAGCTGGCATTTTTTTTTTTGTCTATCTTCGCATTTTCTGCTAATCTCTTCGTTTTTCCTCTTTAGCAGTGGCATTCTTTTGCTCTTTTCTTTTGTGTTCATTGCTTGTTCTTCCATTTTTCGTTGTAGCATGGAGTTGACAAATCCTCTCTTTGCTACCAGGAACACATGTTTAATTCTCATGCTGTGACAAAGTTCCGCAGCGTTCTCTCGTCGGCATCGAGGAAGAGAATTCGTCTTCATGAATCTCCTCGACAAGAGCCCCTCAAACAGCTCCTTTCGCCACTGCCGGTATTTATTCCCAACGCTCACTTCTCGCGGAAGGCTTTCAAAGAAGCTCCTGCCAAGGAGAGATCTCCAAATGCCTCCGGACGGCGGCAGTACCCGGAAGTTCACAGCCAGCTCCGAATGAGAAACTCAGCTGCTCGGCCAGTCGAGGAAGACGAGCTCGGTTTTGAAGAGCAGGCCGAGGGTGAGATTTACGTCGATCAACCAGAGGCCTACGTTCCCGTGGAGGCTCGTTTCTTCGCGCGAAGCGTCGACTTGAGAACACTCGCTCAAGAGAAGTCACTCGACATTGCGGTTTCACGAAACCACTTGATCATCCGGCTCAAAGACGCTGCTTCTTCGAGTTCTCCCGCTGCCGAGGTGACTGGAGTTCCAACCATCGATTGCTGGAACGACGAAGGCTACATGGTCATCTTTAACTATGGAACCGCGGTGCTCTTCAACGTTGCTCCAGGAAAGGAGGAGGAGTATCTCAAGACAGTGAAGCAGCACTCCAAAGGCGTGTTTGACGAGCCAAACCGGGACAACTACTGTGTGGTAGTGAGGCCAACTTTGGATAAATGGAGCGAAGGCTCGGTGGACAGGATCATGGTGAAGGAACTCGACGTGAACAGCATCCGTGTGGTGGCCGTGATATTGAGCCAGAGCATCGCGCTGGATCATTACACTAAACAGATCGACGCCATGCTGAAATCCTTCGACGATCTCAACTTCATCATGCAGCAAACCGGGACTTTTAATCTCCAGCGGCGTGAGCTCTTCAAGCTTGTCGCATCCGTCAACACGGCTCTCGCGGAGACGATCCTCAAGGCTGGACTGTTGGAGAGGTCCGACGTAGCCTGGCAGAACGCAAACTATGATAGCATCTGGGCCTTCATGCGCGAAGAGTTTGAGCTCGAGGACAGGTTTGAGAGCCTGGAAAAGAAGACCGGGATTATCCAGCACAACGTAGCGTTCTTCCTCGACATCCTACAGAACCGCAAGTCGGACTCCCTGGAGTGGATAATCATCGTTCTCATAGCTGCGGATATATGCGTGAGCTTGTACGAGATATTCCACGGCACGTGAAGATCTTTATTCAGGTTCGACTTCGAGAGTTTACAAAGAAAAAACAAACTTACGTTTATCTTGGCGTTTCTGAATCAGGTCCCGCGCTTCTGTGCGCTACAGGAAGGTACAGATGAATTCTACTCTTGAAACACTACAGGTTGTTGATATTGTTTTGCCAGAGGTCAAAATGCGATCTTTTCGTCGAGTGTTGTCCTTGGTCCGGTGTATGTCCACTTGCCATACACTTGCCAGTAGACGACACCGACTCCAATCGTTCCAACGAGCGACAACGGGGTGTAGTTGAAGCTCTGGATTCCAATGGGAAACTTTGGCGGCAGGCAGAAAAGAATTGTAATGAGAATCCCCCAGAGGCTTCCCCAAGCTCCAAGGTAGACTCCAAAGCCATGTAGAGTATACGGTCCTGGTGGATGCTTCTTACCGCTCGGTGCGTGCTTGCAGAAGAGAACTATGATGTAAGGTATCCAGGCAGTGACAGTCGACATGGCTGCTATAGCAGTGAAGGCCACGGAGCTCCCGGAAGATGGTAGTGTTGCTAGGAAGGCTATAGCAACAGTGGCAAAGGTGGCGTTCACAGGGACTCTTTCTCGAGCAGTCAGTCTAGTGAGGAAGGCTTGGAAGGGAATGCTGGCGTCTCTAGCCATGGCATAGACCTGTGGACAAAACGGCTTAGCAGGAAACATCGTGAAGTTTACTTACGCATCGAGCAGTCAGTGTGACGTTGATAATGTTGGCGAAGAACAACGACGTTGCTGCGAGACCCGTGAAGAGGACCGCTCCAACGTTTCCACGTTTGAATCTGGCTTCAAAGCAATCGTAGAAGAGCTGGATTCCAGCCGACTCGAGTCCTCCGCCTGGAAAAAGAACTCGATCCCGGCCAAGATCATCTTAAAGTTTACCAGTTGCTGTGTCGAAGGCTAGCAGATTCTCGGGTTTTTGGATGCAGAAGGTCATGATGAAGAGCAGCAGCATATCGATCCCGGCCGTGAGATAAGCGCTTCGTATCATAGCACGGGGACCAGCAATGGCCGCAGTCTTTACTTCCTCGACAATGTGGGATCCGACATCAAAGCCCGTGAGCATAGCCTTGGAGGAAAAAAGAGCAAGCTTGAGAAAAAGAAGTGGCAGAACAGGATCTCACCTGAAAGTAAGGCAGTCCAGCAGCCACGATCATCCACGAGCTGTGGAGCTCTTGGCCGGGAGCTCTCACGAATTCCGTGAAGACAAACTTGGGGCTCTGGAACTTGGGACTGATCCCGAGGAGTGTGACGCCGACAATGAAAGTCGCAGCCATTTGGAACCAAGCTCCAGCACTGCTCAAGTATCCAAGCCATTTCGAACTGACGACTGACACTCCCAAGTGAGCGGCAAATGCCAAAGTGGTGACGAGCGTGACCTTCACAGCAAACCAAGTGAGCATCCCAAAACTTTCTTCTTCTCAAAGCTTACTTGATAGCTGGACAGATTGAAGCCGCCACCCTGCGCTCCTCCAGTGCTGAGAAGTATCATCTTCTGAGCAAACTTCGCGAGAAGGTACTCGTTGAGCGCGGTTCCACAGAGAGCTCCGACCAGGTAGATCCAGCCGACGAGCCACGAAAGCCAGTGCATGCCCGGACAGAGCTGCGCAACCCAGTAGTAGACACTCCCAAGAGTCGGGAAGGTGGAGTAAACTTCGGCAATGGCAAGCAGCACGCTCAAGGTTCCGAGAGTGGTGACGAGCATTCCCAAGAAGATGACGAGCGGGCCACCATAGCAGTACATGTAACCGTAGTATCCAGTGACGAAGCCGAGCGGGGCGGTGTAGGAGAAAGTATAGGCGAACTGCTGGAAAGGTGTCATGACGCGCCGGTACTCCTGCTTGTAGCCGAGCTCGTTGAGCCGCCTCTCGTCCTCGTCTCCATCGAGCTCTGGATCGCGAGCTTCATCAAGATTTGGATCGCGAGCTCCTCCGGCTTTTGGATCACCAGCAATACCATCGTCTCCATCGAGTTTTATGGAGACAGCAGCCGGGAGCTCGCAGCTGCTCATTGCGACAGAGGCGGAGGAGGAGCAAGCTACTTACAGAGGTAAAGTCTTTTAAGGTTTTCCCATATCGTCCATCTGTTTTCCTTGTTTTTCTTCTGTTCGTACTGGCAGCGCCCATATGGCATGGGAAGAAAAGCCTGCAACGGAATGCATTGATGGTCTGGTAGGGAGCGACAGGACGAAGTTGACGGCTTCCACTCTGTAAGTTGGTGTGAAACTAACCTTCTGATCTCCTCGCTCTCCATTTTGCCGAGCCAGATTTCCGAGAGAACGAGATCTTGGTTATATTATCAGAAGTTTGTGCATGATCATCTTATAATCTACTTCCAGTGAGTGCTTTCGTCACAGAAGAAGTGAAAGAAAAACTCATAGCTGCCACGCTCGTTACGAAGAACTATAGAAATTTTATTAGGAACTCCATCTCCAAGCTCATCCATTGTTGGTTTGTCACATCTTGGGTTCCACGTCAATCTGGAAACTACCAGGTCGTCATATATAATTTGATATCGTGTCGCACTCATCCATGGACAACAAACGTGATAAATTTCCGTCCTTGATATCCATGTTTTTAAATCCTTGACGACACCTCGACGGAATATCCGCTACCCGCATATTCCGCCGCGAAACCGTCCAGGTACAATGCACAGCGCAGCCTCACGTGCGCTTATCCCGGATCCCTCGATCCGACGGCCTATAACGTTCCAGCTTTTCTTGGAACTCTTTCTCGTGGCGAAGTTCTTTTTAAACATCACATAAACTTCGATCCAGAGAGGCTATCCATCATCGCTCTCCAAAAGAGGTTATACACCATCGTTCTCCTTATAGATCACAGTTCTCCCAGGCTATAGATCATATCCACAGTTCTCCATGGACGCTTCCACCAAGCGAGGAGGATCAGGATCCGCGAGTGGCTTCTTCCAGGACCGCTACTCGGCAAAGCGCCCAAGAGCATCATCGCCGCCGCCGCCCCTCGATCCGGAAGAGGGCCTCGTCTCCATCCGCCACGAATTCGGCGAGCACGGCGGCGTCAACATGTCCATCGAGGCCTCGTCCACTTTCACGGTGATGGAGGCCGAGACCATGGGCAAGATGTTCAAAGGTGAGCTCGGCCCGGACCGCGACTTCTACATCTACAGCCGCCACTTCAACCCCACGGTGCTCAACCTGGGCCGCCAGATCGCCGCCATGGAGGGCACCCAGGCCGCCTACTGCACCGCCAGCGGCATGTCCGCGGTAGCCAGCGTCATACTGCAGCTGTGCGACGCCGGCGACCACGTCGTCGCCTCCAACCGCCTCTACGGCGGCACCTACGCGCTGCTGCGTCACTTCCTCCCCCGCACCTGCGGCATCGCCACCACCTTCGTGGACGTGACCGACACCGCCGCGGTGGAGCGCGCGGTGGCGTCGCGCGGCACCAAGATCCTCTACGTGGAGTCCATCGCCAACCCGGTGCTCACCGTCGCGGACATCCCCGCGCTGGCCGCCATCGCCCACGCTCGCAGCGCCGCGCTGGTGGTGGACAACACCTTCGCGCCCATGGTTCTCTCGCCGGCGCGGCTCGGCGCGGACGTGGTCGTGCACAGCATCTCCAAGTTCATCAGCGGGCAGAGCGACGTGATCGCTGGCGCGGTGTGTGGCCCGGCGGCGCTCATCCGCGACATGATGGGACTCCAGCACGGAGCTCTGATGCTGCTCGGCCCGACCATGAATCCAACAGTCGCGTTTCACGTATCGGGCAGGCTTGCGCATCTCGGACTAAGAATGCGCGAGCACTCGTCCCGGGCGATGGAGTTTGCGAAGAGGATGAAGAGCATGGGTCTCAAGGTGATATATCCGGGGCTGGAGGATCACCCGCAGCACGAACTTCTCAAAGCCCTGGGGAACGAAGGCTATGGCTATGGCGGGGTGGTGGCGGTGGACTTGGACACGGACGAGCGGGCCAATCGGTTCATGCACTACTTGCAGAACTTCACCGGGTTTGGGCTCATGGCGGTGAGCCTCGGGTACCACGAGACTCTCATGTCGTGCTCGTCCTCGAGCACGAGTAGCGAGCTGAACGAGGCGGAGAGGGCCGAGGCCGGCGTTGGAGCCGGGCTTGTGAGGCTGTCGGTGGGATACACTGGGACGCTGGAGCAGCGGTGGAAGCAGCTGCATGATGCGATTGTGGCGCTCGGTATAGCTCGGAAAGCTTAGCTTGTAAATGATTTGATCACTTGAAAGCTTTCTTGAAGCCTTTCCAGACTTTCATCTTGGCGTGCTTGTGCTTTTTGTGTTTGCCGTGCGAGTAATGGCCGTGTCCACCACCTGAGAGTAAGAATCGAGACGTGAAAACCACTACTGTAGCGAAACGAATGAAACCATACCCGGTGTGTGACCATAGCTTCCGTGCTTTTGGTGAGGAAATGGTGGTGGAACAACCGGGTATCCGTGCGGAGGAGCGGGACTGCCGTAAGGAGCTACTGGCTTGTGATGAGGATCTTGGTGAGAGCTTGACGATCCTTGCGGATATGGATTGTAGCCTGCCGGAGGATAGCCTCCTGGAGCTGGAGGATAGCCATGTCCTCCTCCTGGAGCTGGAGGAGGATATCCCCCAGGAACTGGAGCTGGAGGATAGCCATGTCCTGGAGCTTGGGGATATCCTCCAGGAACTGGAGCTGGAGGGTAGCCTCCAGAATGAGGAGGAGGGGGAGGATATCCTCCAGGAAATGGCGCTGGAGGATAGCCCCCGGCTGGAGGATACGCTGATTCCATATGGCCCTTCTCGTTTTTGTGAGCTTTGTCCTTGGATCCAGTCTGCTATAAGAAAGCAACAAAGAAAGTATGAGTTTTCCAGTATTGTTTCTGTGGAGGATGGTTTTACCGCTTGGCTGAAGTGCATGATCAATCGGAGCTCCCCAGCGTGCCTGGATTATACGTGAAGATCAGAGAAACGAAAACTGGTTTGCGAGATCGACTTACTTTCCACTTCGTGATGACAGTGGCCAGGCATTGTCATCGTAACCCGAGGAGATCACTTTCTCGAGCTGCACCCTTCGAGTTTGAGCAGCACACGGTTTCTCTGAGAAAACTGGAGAAGCAGTAAAGTTTACCTTCCCGTGCCGATGAGATCATCCATAGCGAGCGTATTGCTGTTCCAGACTTGGACATGAAGCTCACGGAGGCCTTCTATCAATGAGAGCGTGAACTTATCGTTGAAAGAAGGATTTTTCCCACCATCTGGAACGAGAAAAACGAAGAAAAAGTTAGAACTTGGGAGACAATCCCCCTGAGAGATAATCCTCAGGAGTATTGTCTCTCAAGATCGCAAAAATCCACCAGGAGCGAAGGAAATCTTTCTCACCAGTGTCAGTCTTTGTTCTATGCTTTTGCGTTCCATACTCGACAATCACGTATGGATCCTGCCGAGACAACCACTCCGTGTTCCTCAAGTTCTTGCCGCCAACAACTGGGAAGCAAACGCCGATCAGACCCTAGCAATGTGGGTTTTTTCCGAGCTAGATCCTCCCAAATCCTAGAAGAAATGCGATGCTTACCATTGATTTCCAGCGATTGGCCTTGAATCCCATACATTGGAATGCGCACCGCCGCTCACTCTCTCGCTGACCAAATCACTCACTCCTCTTCAAATTAGAACAGGATATTCTGTGATCTATTCGAATAGGATATTCCGTCCATATTGAGGATAAACCGTGAAAACGTTCCTTCAATGTACGCTTGCCACGTGTTAGGCCTTTCCTCTGTGGCAGATTCGCGAAATTAGGGCAGGGCTAGAACATTTGATGGCCCGCGCTCGATACAGGGGATTGCGGCCGATCTTGTCTTCGATTCGCGCTCCTAGGGCCAAGGCACCGCTATTGATCCACAGCCGGAGCGGCCACAGCGGCGGCGGCAAGCCCTGGCAGGAGAGCGTCTATGTCGACAGGGATCCCAGTCCCGTTCGCAGGCTTGAGCATGTTCTTCGCGAGCACAAGATTTGCAAGGCGGCGCCCAGTTGGCTGCCATTCGTCCCCGGGAGCTGCTACTGGGTACCTTCCAAGGATCTGGCGCTTTTACCCGGCGACGCATACGGCTTCGTGAAGAGTTTGGGGGCAAGCGAAGCTTGCGATATGGTCAAGCGGCTGCGCTTGAATGATTCTCCTCGGCTTCCAGCGGAAAAAGGTTCGCCATGATTTTTTCTTTGCGATTTCGTTCCTCGAGGACGCTCTAATGATCTCTCTTGTAAATTCACAGTGGTCATTGTTGTAGAGCCTGTGGATCCTGATGATCAATCCGGAGACGCTTAATGTACAGGGTGTGGTCACATTTTATTTGTCAGCTGGTAATCCACAGCGTTTCTATCACTGGATGGTAAGAAACGCAAATTAATGCCCGCGATCCCACGCAATTTTCCTTGAGCTTGAGATCATACAAGAGGTTTAATAGACACTCCTGTTCTAGAAACCAGCATCCATCGTCATGAAGAAGGTTTTGGGATTTGACATGCCACCATGATCCGTCGCCAGGAGGTTGTTTCAATTGATTCCTCTGCGTCCATGCTGCCTGCATCATAGCGTTTGTGAGCCGCGAGCTCATGGTCCACATGATAATATGTGTGTAGAAGTTATTTAAAAAGTTTTCCTTTTTCTATTTTTTTTTTTAACTTAATTTTAGAGTAGGGCGGAAAAAGGTATGCCTTAGTATTTTCTTTGTGATCAATTGTAAATTCTCAGTGACCGATCAAGCGTAATGTTCAGGGTAAAGAAATCTAGAGTAGCTATACATTCTTTGTCGAAGAAAAGGTGGCCCGGCAAGACGAAGAAGAGATCCTGTAATCCAGTCGCGGTTGCCCAAAGACATCCAACACTGCCTCATCACCCTCCACCCTCTGCCGCTTTCGCTCCCTCTCAAAGCAGCAATCCTCCAGCATCTTTAGCAACTCAGACGGTTTTAAGATTCGCATCTCACCCAAAGGTGTTCACTCTCCCCCTCCCAAAGGGAAGCAGTACTTTTGCCTCCATAGGCACGGGCTTGGTACTGGCCTCCTGTTCTGGTCCTGCATAACTTCGTGGTGCTCAATCCAATTGCTACAAGGCAGCTGCTTCCGCTGCTGGATAATCCGTGCGTCTTCACTGCTATCCATCGTTGTCGCCGTGACTGTCAGGCCTGGTGGGTGCATGGTCGTAAACCTGTATGATTCAAGGGTAGCGGCGTGGATCTCTGGTGCAGACTTCCCTGTGCCAGACCGGGCCAATGGCGATCTCTTCTGCTGTACCAGACACGGCTTGAAGTGCTCCAGGACGATTATCAGTTCTTCACTGTTTCCCCGGGTGATGTGACGACGCTCAAATCGTTCAACGTGTGGAACCCCAAGGCCACCCTCCGAACTTTGGCAACCTGGACGAGCCTCCCGTTGGGCTTTGAACGGCAACCCTTGTACACAGAGGCGGCTGCATTTGCTGACAAAAACGGCTTTGCAAGAAAGAATATGTCTCTCATCTCTTGTGGAGGTAAGTCTTCATTCTTGTGTGGCATAACTTAATGATTATGCTTACTTGCGCTTGGTATGCTGGAGCCAGGTGAGGACAACAGCCAATTTAGAAATCGCAAGTTTGGTTTTGTGTACCTGGAGAAGGGGAGGCAATGGCATGAGCAATATCTTTCTGCCCCAGAAAAATTCTAAGTAGACATTTATGGTAGCTGTTGGAAGCAAATATAGTAGTGAGGTAACACTATTATTTTATTCCGAGTGGGATGCATCTTAGATCTGGCTTCTGGTAACTCATATACCATATATTGGCACCACTTGCAATTTTGCACGGGACTCTATGCAAAGGATAATCTGGCCCCCTCAGGCTGTATAATCACAATGTAAGTTGCTCCATCTTTTCTCAATGGTTTTTATTTTTTTCTTACATGTTTTACTTGTTATACGATGGATTAGCTCTGTTTTACATAATCTAAATGAAGGTATTAAATTTATAAATTATTAATACAGGATCGATCTAAATAAATAACAACCATAAATATAATATAAAATATTCTAGAATATTAAGCATATTCTAGTGCAAAAAAATTATTATAATTTTTTTATACAATTATAAACACAAGATTAATCTAGCTGAATATAGCAAAATATACTATTATATTTATATATCTTTTAGACTTATGCTTCTATAAACCAGATTTGCTTATATAAACTATTCATTCATTGATATTAATTTAGGTTAATAATTTGTACATTTTTAAGTAATAATTTCTGATGATACAATAGTCTATTATAGATTGCAATTATAATAAAAACTAGAAATTTGCATGTAGCAAATTCCTGGCTTATTTTTTATTTTTTATTTATTTATTATCAAATATAGATAGATATGTGAGTGTTCAGGATGTAAAAATAGGTAAAATAACTGATTGGAGCAAATAACATAAGCTCAATAGGGGATTAGATGTCTACTTGTATGCAAAAATGGATGGATCATGTCTGAAATAGATAGTCCATATTCTATAGTGCTATAATTATTATATTACTTAGATAGGGTAATACATGTATAATATTTGTTATATATATATTAGATAATGTATTAAAATATTATAATATAATACATATATCCCTTTAAAAGATGAAAAGGTGATAATGATAAGTTAAGTTGAATATCTGAAACTTCTATTGGGTGATTATGTATTATCATAAAAAGCTTGAAACTCTTATAGAACTATGAATGTAGTTGCTAACAACCATGATAGAAACAAAACTCAAAATTATGGCATAAATATCAGTCTATTATAAAATCTTAATGAAATAACTATGCAGTTACCAAATGCTCAAATAAGGAAGTATGAGAGATAAATTTGTTTTAACCTTAAAGTTATAACATTGAACAAATGAAAGGATTTTGAGAGTTATTGTAGTCCACAAAACACTATTGTAGCAAATAATATGTTCCATCTCTAATTTTTTTATTAGCCATCCCTCAAGACTATTGTTAATAAAATTAATGATTATCACAATAACTTGCCTTTGTGTCTTCCTTTTTATCCATATTCAAGACCTGTGTTAACTTAGACTTATGACCTTCTTCCTTGTCTAACATTGTATATAAAAAGTCAAATTCACTCTAATCATCCTCTATATCTTTGTTATCCCTTCCTTTAAGTATTTTTTTTTTAAGTATCAACTCTATTTATATTTATTATGTTTATCCTCACTTTGTTATTTATATTCGATCTCACTTCATTACCACATCTGTTTGGCCTCACTATGTTAGGTTGAATGTTTCAGATTTAATATATTCATCCTCATTCTATAATTTATGTAGTTCACCCTCACTCCACTATTATATTCACTTGTCCGTCACTTCTTTAAAGAATTTTTTTTTTAAAGCATCATAGCAAATAGAAGAAAGCAAGAAAAACTAAAAAAGAACTATTGTACATAAAAAAACATTAGAAGAGGAATTTTTAATATCTGTCAAAGTAGAAAATGAAGAAATAATTAAAAGGAAATTCAAAGCTTTGAGAATAAGAGACTTCTTGTTATAAAATGTTTTAACTATCACAAGATAAGCGAAAGATTCACACCACTCAACCTCCTCAATACATAACTCATTATTTAAAATGGGAAAATAAATAGAAAAGTCTATACTCTCAAGGGAATATAAATTTTTCAATAGCAATAATAAAATAAAAGTTTTCAATGACACTCACAACCTAGGATACAGACTCAACATGAAACTCTAAAGTCCTAAAATAGAAAAATATTTAACACATAAATGATTAAAGACTTCACTAATGAAACAAAAATAAAATTTTTAACTTCATATATATGCTTAATATCTAGATTAATATAAGAGAATAGAAAATATTCAACTCAACACTAGATTGAGGATAAAATTTATAATAGTCACAAAGAATTGGCATAATATAGGTGATAATCCTCATGATTATAAACATTCTAGTTTTGACCTTCAAAAGATAATATTCTTAAATATATACTCACCTTCACACTTACTCTGATTGAGGCCGAGGGCTGGTTGCCATTGTTTTTGTAAAATTTTTGTGGATGTTTGCATTGGCCAATCAGAGATTAGCATAACTTGAGAAAAAGAAGAGAAATGCAACACATTGACTCAAGGCAATTCACAGTGGAGAGAGTGTTACTTTGGTGGGAGTTTTGGCAGCTGAGAGATCTTGCAAGAAGAGGACACTGGATTTGGAGCTTGTTGTCCAATCTATGTCCTGTGGGGAAAAAGACGATACAGCTGTAATGGCTGATCTGAATTCTCTTTATGTGGATGGTGTTCAAGCTGAGGCAAGTCTAGGTGTTTTGGATGGCAGCAAGCATGGGCAAGAGTGAGGCCCGGGGATGCTAGGTGTGGCAAATCACATTTACTTTCACATTTACAACAATCTTATAGTGATATGGTGTTATTTGAAGTACTTGTTGTAAAGTTAATATGATTTCATGTTGCAATATTTGTTCTGCAAGTGAAAAAGTCCAAATTCAAGAACTTACACTAAACCAAATTAAGTTTTGGACTAGGTTTTAATAGCCTTGTAGGGGAGTGGGGCATGCTGACTCTGTCACTAACCTGATGCTGGTCTTCTGTTGGAAAGGTGGATTATGAGGCAGAGATTAGTGTTTGTGATTGGAAGGCAAGCAAGAGAGGTAAGAAACGCTCATCATATCTCGAGATCCAGATCACAGGACACACCAGTAAGTATTTTTTAAGATGTTAAGATAACTTAATTTTCTTGATGGATAGTTGCATTGAAGTTGCATGTGTTCACTGCAATCAAAGAAATAAAAACATTGAGAAAACAATGAAATCAAAATACACTCTTTCTGAGTCAAAAGTAAATTTTTTTCTCACACACCATTTTGGTAATTTCTCTAGGTTTGTTGCTTATAACATTGGTTATGCTGGATGTAAGCTGTGTCGAGTTTGTAGTAGCTACTTTGCTGTGAGAAAATCGTGTCAAGATAGGAACCATGCAAGGTTTTTGAGAGTTTATATCTAAAGTGTTTATGCTTGTAGACGAGTTTTATCATTGCTTGAACACTAAATAGTAACTTGCTAAGTGTTATGTTTCACTCTCTCTACTAAAGCTCTGTCTTGGCTATATAAGTAATGGATCAGTTTTGTGGAAGCAAAGATAACTCAAGAGATCCCAAGCATTTGCATGGGAAGGAAAAAATACACCTCAAAGGTATATGCTAATGGATAGATACTAATTACAAAACCATCCAGAATTTGCTAGAGGAATTTTTAACCATGTCCTGGCATTTGCTAACCAAGAGGAACTAGAATGATATGAGCTATCAATTCTCTAGCTTGACACATCCAAAACGACAAGCTATGCTTTGAAATTTTGAGAAGGCTCAACTACATGGAGTAAAGAAAACTTGAAGGGGCAGGAAGCAAGTTTTGGAAATTTAGAGAGGAAGAGAGATTCAACCTGGAAGAGGTGTTAAACCTTAGACTTTGTCAACAGCCTAATTTTAAGCCTTTTTGTTAATAAAGTTTACTCAATTATAGGTTGCAATGCTTGAAGTTACACGATGGAATATACCCCGCGCCCTTAGGTAGCTAGGGTTAGCGAACAAGGACGGAGGTTTATCATTTAGATGAAGCGCGTGTTTGTGGACTTGGACGACACTCTTGTCTTCTACAACGAACACGGCCGATTCCAAGTCGATGGGGACACAGAAGGTCCGTACGAGCTTGCTCATGCAGCTAAAGAGTTTCTACTGGCGCTGAGAGCCATCCCAGAGGTGGAGCTGGCCTTCTTCAGCGGTGGGCCGAGCCACAGGAACGTCGGGCTGGTGAGCCAGATTGTCGACGAGGTCTTTAGCAGCAGTACCGAGATACCCGGGGTCTTTTCCCAGCACCACCTTGTGCCGGGAGATCCTCCCAAGAAGCGCCTCGCGGGCCTCGTCCAGGGAATGGACGTGGACGAGGCCATTGTCGTGGATGATACGGCCTACTACTATGCGGCCGCGGGGGAGGAGAGGAACTTCGTCTCGGTGTATTCGTGCCACTGCCCGAGCCACAAGCACTTTGCTGGCAAGGTTTTCAAGGCACGCCGGGACAACAATCTGGTCCGCGCCTTGGGGATCATCCTTTGGTCCCTGGACATCTGCAGCGCCGAGGGATGTACGCTGGGTGAGGCCCTCAGCGCGGTGCAGTGGGACTCGTCGGGCCGCTATCGTCACAAGGAGACCAATTCCAAGCGGGTCTACGACCGTGGCCTCGAGGCAATGAGGCGCTTCAATCCGGAGCTCCAGCTGCTGGACGAGGAAGGGCTGGGGATTCATCCGTGGTCGTCCCGGCTCCTGGAGCTGCTCAACCACGACGAGGACTCGCATTTCAACGGCACCAGCTTCTTCGAGCCGCACCAGGTCGCCAACATCCTCTGCACGCTCTACTCGTCGGTGGATGCTCATCACGGCGAGACTGGCGAGGCTGCTGGTGTAGAACTCGTTGAGGTGGAGATTGCATGGGCTCAAGGCAGCAAAGAGTATGGGAGGCTACCAGCTGGGATGCCCGCAGAGGTGATCGTCGCCACACTAGATCACATGTTCCCTGTGGAGTCATCTGGTGTGCTCACCGACAAGCATGGAGCCGAGGTGGCCAAGGACGAGCGACTGGATGCTGCTCGAGGCTACAGATATACGGTGGCCAGGGTCTCAGTCTTCTGAAGTTCCTATCAGCAAGCGACTTCTTTGTGTCTCTGAAAATAATACAAAGCATACCTCATTTGAAACAAAGGAGCCATCCACCTTGCCATCTTCCTGTAAGATTTAGCACCATTTCCTTGAGTGACTGACTGGTAAGAAGGAGAAACAAGACAAGCAACTTATCAGAATGAACTGCTAACGTCAGCTAACGAGAGCTTGACTGCAGCTAGGCAATTGCCAAAAGTATACAAACCACCAATATGATTTCGTTAACCATTTAGTTATGCATTTGGACTCGTTGCATCAATTGTTGTGCACCGATGAAGAGTGAATCTACTGCAAGAACTACCAATACCTGCATTCACAACACACACAAAATAAAAAAGATCTTTACATAGAACTTGCCAAGCTTACCAATCGACCAAACATTACAGCTCTATAGCCAAATCCCTCCTTAGCAGCTGCTCGACGTTGAACATCAGTCCATCTGGTGGAAATGATCTCTCATGAACACTACAGTAAACTATTGCTTCCTTTCATACCCCAAAAATTCGGAGATACCACCGATCCCGGCGAGCTTCAAAGCCTGGGGACCTTCTCGTTCGAATTCCTGAAAAGAAAAGAGCTCGCAAGTGTCTACCAAAAGATCAGAATATACGGCTCTATACCCCTTCTTCTACGGCATCGAAGCCTCCACTCAGCCAGAAAATGTTCCTATAGCCAGCTTTATACATTTGCTCGCAAGCTGCAAGGGATCTGCAGAAACAAAATAATCAGCTCAAACTATGGAGGACAAAGAGCTTACCTCAGTCCCTTTTGACAAGCGACAATTACGTTGGCACTCTTGGGGACTGTTGCTACCAGGTCGGGCATGAATCTCCTGCATAGATTTAGTTTTCGCAAATGAAGTCGAAGAAGAAAGAAAGTCTCACTTACTCATTGTATTTCATAAGAGCCAAGCCGCTCCACCACCCTCCTACAATGTTTTGATCCACAGCTTAGCAAACTTGAGCTTTGGCATGGATCAAACTTCTTTACCCATTGCAAAAGTGGAGAGTTTTTTCAGTAGCGCGCCAGGATCCATGTTTTTGTCACTGTCGTAGACAGGAATCCAGACGCTTCCTTTCACCCAAGCCTGGAGAAAAATCAAAAACACGATGACGACTTTAGAACAGGGAAGATTGCGAGATGAAAGCGAACCATAAAAACCACCTTACTTCTTTCACTCGATGGCCGAACATCTAACAATGTGTACTTGGAGAGCTGGACGGCATAGCCGGCTTCTTTGGGCGACAAGGCCTTGATCTTTCCATCTCTCACCTTTCCAAAGCAAAGCATTCCATGAGAAATGGGAATAAATAAGAAAACAAAAAAGCTTTTCTCTACCTGCGCTTCCCATCGCTTCTGCGCTGCCGAGAGTTCCTTCATTTGCTCCACTTCAGTGGAACAGCGGACTTGGAGCTGGAAAGAAGTGAATGCTGAATTTTTCGGAGAATGGGGCGTTCTACCTAGGTCTTCTATGATCATATACTGACCTGACATGGATTTCCTCTCATCCGATTCATGGACACGCGATGGATCTTCGCTCCATCCAGTAATCTGGGGCCTCCAATTCCCAATGTCGCCACTGGAGAAGCTACCAATCCCCCAAACGCCATAGCTGCGCTTGTTAATCATCCATCCTCTTGCTCCCCTCTTCCCTCTCGCGAGCTATCCACAAAAATCCCAAAAAAAATGCCACGTGGCAGCATCGCTTTATCGTCTTTTACAGCCATCTCAACCGTTGGGGATGGGTTGAAATCGACGGCCCGGGGCGAGCTAGGGTTCTTCGCAGTCGACGACAATGCTCCGAATGCGCATGGCGGCGTTCGTCGCCGGGTTCGCCACGGCGGCCGCGATCGGCATGTACATGGTCCAGAAGGACGTGCAAACGAGTCACCGGATCCTTGTCGAGCAGGTAATCCCCCTTTTCCTTGCTGCATTGATCGATTTCTTGAAATTTCGCCGCCGCCAGGCCCAGAACTACTACAAGGAGCTGGATTCTCGGCTCTCGAGACTGGAAGAACACAAGTGAGGTATGATCTAGCTCCGAGGGAGGAAGAATGCGGTGTTCTTTTGGGAAAAACGAGCTAAACTATCCATCCTTCTCCTCTATGAGATTGGTGGCTGAAATAGCTCGTAGAACAAAGAAAGCTTTCTTTGAGGTGATCTATCAGCTTGTCTTCCTTGTTCTAGAGTGGAAGTTTCATGTTAAACTGCGCCTCAACATCCATAGAGTCTTGCTTGGTCTGCGATGATGATAGCTAATATCTTCAAGCTCAACAGGACAGAGCTTGGATCGATAAGATCCCAGCATGGTGATTACCCCGCTGAGCTGAGCAGCTTGTTCGATTCGATCGATTAGAGTTTTTTCTTCGTACCTTTGTTGAGAGATCCTACCGCGTTGATGATTGAAACTAGAAATCAAGCTCAACAGGACTGAGATTTTTTGTGCTGACAAAATAATCTGAGCGGCCTTTCTCTTCGTTTTGTTTTTCCAGCTTCCAGCGATCCAGCGAGTCGGTTCGTTTCAAGGAAGGCAATCGAAATCTTCGACCAAACCATTGTAAATTTATTTGCTCACAAAATAAAGGATAAAGAAGGATTTAGGGTTTAAGGGTTTAGGGTTCTTCCCAAAGGGGAAAGGAAGATTTAGGGTTTAAGGGGTTTAGGGTTCTTCCCTTCGTGATCCGGCACAATGCGGCACCGGGTGGATCACCGGAAGCTCGGCCGAACGGCCGAGCATCGATGGGCAATGCTCAGGTACGCGCCTTGTTCTCTCTCGCATTCGCATCGCATGACGCGGCTGTGGATTCGATCTCTACACAGGACGATGGTCTCGCAGCTGATCGAGCACGAGAGAATCGAGACGACCCTAGCGAAGGTAAATTTCTTGGAGGAATGCTAGCGTTTGAGCTTGCTCTTCCAGGCAAAGGAGGTGAGAAGATTAGCGGACAAGATGATCACGCTCGGGAAAGCGGTGAGTGGAAAGAATGATTCTTCCTTGTCATTCGAGACTGATTTTTTCGAGCAATTCAGGGAACGCTCTCTGCGATTCGAAGAGCCGGCGCGGTGCTACGCACAGACGAGACCGTCCACAAAGTTTTCTACAAGCTTGCTCCTCGCTATGCGTAAAAGTTTCTCCAACTCGATCTTTAAGTTTTTTCTCTCTCGCGAAAGCTAGCACTAAGATCTTCTCTTTTTCTTTTCCATCTTGTAGAGATCGACATGGTGGCTACACAAGAGTCGTCCAAACTCGCCACAGACTAGGAGATAAATCGATGATGGCTTTCTTAGAGTGAGCAATGGTCGATTGTTCTTCCAGAGTGGTATTGATCTGGCCTTGGTTTCTTCCAGATTTATTGATAGACCCGGAGAACTAAGGCCTCCAAAGCCACCGGCAACTCCACCACCTCCTCGAGAACCAATTTTGCCGTGGATCAAGTCGAAGCTAGCTCGCATAACTCTACCTCCAGGACTCACTCGAGCGCAAAAGCCACCCTGGGAAGGCACTCACCAGATCAAGCGAAAAGTCCGCAGTAGAAGGCCTACGAAGAAGGACAAGGCCAGGGCCGCCAGGGCCGATGCCGATGCCGCCAGAGCCAAGTTAAACGAAGCCAAAGCTCTAGCCGAAGAAAAAGAGGAAGCCTCTTCACAAAGTTCTCGAGACGAACAGCCCCAGCCAAAGCCAAGCTCAAGTTCAAGCTCATCGAAAGAGGAACAATAAGTCGCGTGAAAACACCGAGACTCGTAAGTTTTTGGAAAACAGGTACGTTTTTGTCAAGAAGCTCTTCAGGACAAAGAAATTCAAGAACTATAGTTACCAGATAATCGGAAGAGCTAGCTGAGACTCAGAAGATCCACCGCCTGTTGAAGTAGCCTTCTCTCTTGGCGTTGTAGAAGGCGCAGCATCCAACCGAATAAACCACGATTAGGAACACGAGCACCACCAGGTTGACGATGGCGACTTTGTGCCAGTCGCGCTTGATGTTGGCCAGCAGCCCCGCTCGGCAAGAGTTGCAGTCGAAGCAAAGCTCGTTCTGGTTGTTGCTCCACGTCGAGCAGTCTGGATCTTCGCCGATGAAAACGTTGGACGACGATTCTTCTTCGTCTTCCTCGCTGGAAGAAGAATCGTAGTTGTACTGCTGGCTCACGTTCCAGAGTGTCGCGTTCTCGTAGCTGTATCCGCACGATATTGGAGGCTTGCAGCAGCCCGACTGCGAGGAAAGAGGAAAAGTTGCATAGGAGAACCCTGGAAAAGAGTAAGTACCTCAAGCGGCGAGAGCAAAGCGTTTTGAAAGGACTCCGAGTCGTGGAACCTGTTCATGCCTCGGCAGACGTTTGAGTCCTGGAGGCAGCTCTTGATCTTCCTCCAGTTGCTTGTGCTGCTAACTTTGCTTTGCAGCCAGGCCGAGTAGTCTCCCAACCGGTACTCGGAGAAGCCAGTGCCGGCCACGGCGTGGCTGGCACCACGGTTGGAGACGAGGAACGTAAACACTGTGAAGAACACGAGCAGAAGGATGAGTAGCAGCATGAGAAAGAGGTAGATCCACAGCAGCCACGAGACCCTGTAGCAGGAGCCGAGAAATCCCACGAGGGATATCACCAGGATGATAGCACCAATGCTGATGGTTGGCTGCTGGAGAAAGTGCATGCAGTCCGAGTCCCTGTTCGTGGCCAGCCATATACCGATGACGATGATCGGGATGCTAAGCACCACCGTGACAAAGTTGAGAGTTCCCATCACCAGATTGCTGAGCTTCATGCTGGAGGATATCTCTGTCACAGTTCCCGACTCGTCAATACCACCAAATGGAAAGAAAGAAAGAAGTTGCAGGAGAGTCTACCACCGGCATATATAAATACTAGACTTGCTCGCAGATGGCTTCCTGGCTTCCAGGGAAGGCCAACGGCTTCCGCGCGGTTTTGTGTAACCACGCCTATACAATGGTGTCGAAGGTTCAGTGCTGGATCAAAGTCGTTTCTTCCTGCCCGGCTTGTGGGGATTGTTTCTCTTCTACTGAGCCAAAGAAGAAGAGAAGAAATCCCCACAGCCAAAAAGCGGCTGCCAGGAAGTAGATTGAGGTCAGGATCAAAGCGGTCGACCTCCAATTGTGTAGCTTATCCTGTACGTGTAAGGTTTGCAGTGAGAAAGGCACAGAAAAAATTAGAGTTAACTGACCTCCACTAATCCGACAAGAGGGGAGGAAGGGACGTCCCCAAGAACATGTATTAAGACAGTCGAAGTTGCCATAGCTAACGCTCGCAGTTCTTGAGGCACACTTTGTAGATTTAACTGATTGACAGGGCCCTGCAAGAACACAAGAAAGTGTTGACATAGTGAAGAAAGCACGCAAAATACCTGTGTCGCGAAAAGAAATAGCTCTGCTACAGCGAATAAGAAAATAAACAAAACCACGTTTCTCGACGAGAAGGCGAGCATGCATCCAACTCCTCCAAGGATAGTTGATAGCGCAAGGAGCTGCGATCAAACCGGTGCTACGTAAGAAACTGCCAATCGAGTTTGGCTATATACCTTGAATCCGTTCCGTATGGAAGATCCAATGAAATCGAGTACGGCACCTCCCGCAAAAGTACCGATAACTCCACACAGCATGGTAACCCCACCAAAAATTAGATCCGCGCTTTTCTGCGAAACCAAAACATCAAAGTCCGAAATGATAACACAAGCACCAACAAACCATCTGATAGATCGCTTCACCAGCTTTTGGACCCCAGTACGAATAGGCGCCTAACACAAAATTGAACGCGATATACCCTGAAAGTAAAAGAATGTACGCATGAGTTGGAAAGTAGGATCCATGGAAAACGGTACCTAGAACATTGATCATATAAACTTTGTTTTGGAAAAGATCTCTGAAGTCATAAAGGACGCCTTTCAATTTTGAAAGACCAGGTCTTTTAGCTGATCTGCAAGAAATAGGACAAGAATTTAGAATGCTCATATAATTGATATCAATGGCTCACCGTTCACTATTCTCCATCGTGGACTGCTCCTCGTCTATTAATGTATACAAATCTAAACGCGAAGTTGAGCACAAAAGACGACAAGGCACGCACGTACCGTCATTAGAGTTCGACATAAGATTGATAGGAGCGGAAACAAATCCAAACACCGCAAAGGGGAGCATGATCAAAGCCTCCAGGAAAAAGGCTGCCCTCCAATGCAACAAGGATCCAACCTGAAAGTACTGTAAGAACATGTTCCTATACGAGACTCCAGGACAACATACCACACCCCCAAACACGTAGCCCAATGCCACTCCAACCGGCATGCACATGTAAAAGTACGAAAGCCATCTACTTTTCTGCATCAACCGGTGCTTAGAAACATCATCACAAAACTTATAAATCTTACTTGTTCGGGGGGAGCATAATCGTCAATGAATGGAGCTGCGAGGCTGACGAACGAAGCTTCTCCCACTCCAACAAGCCTGCATTGAGCCAGCAAGAGTGGTCAGCCAAGCAGGACCGAAATAGCGAATTACTTACAGTCTAAAAGATGCGATCGACCAAAATCCCACAGAGAAACCGCAACCAGCAGTGGCAAACGTCCAGACCGAAAGGCCAACTCCGATTAGCCGGAAAGGATTGCAGCTGCAGGTCAATAACCAGTAAGTTCGAGAGAAAAGAAAGAAAAGGAAATCTATCACGAAAACTTACCTTTTCGTTAGCTCGGCGAAAATCGGAGACGCGACCAGGAGTCCTCCCATGAAAGCCGACGACAAAACACCATCTTGGAAATTCGAGAGCTTAAACTCACCCCTGAAAAGAAGCTCAAACGCATGAGTAAACTCCAACGAGGAACTCGTGTTCCTTTGCTTCTCACGTACTGTATCCCAGATCCATGCGAGCAAGCCTCGTTTGCGCGGCAAGTATGGTTCCCAGGAGCGCCATTCACGCCATTGCTCGCGATCACGCCGCGGTCAACGTAGTTGAGGAGATTGATGACACAGAAGAGAACGAGCAACCTGGAAGGTAGAAATTTCGCAATCGCAATCGCGCAATGCGTAATCTCACCTCATTGGAGTGAACCATTGGGGCTGCTGCTGCGCTTCTATCGCCATCGCCAGAGCTCTAGCTCTCTCCTCTTAAATAATAAGAGATGGATTTGCCCTAGCCCTAGAACAGAGCTTTAAGGGGCAGGGAAATGCTGAAAGTGGTCGCCTTTCCTCTGCGGCTTGGGCGGCGATGGGCATTCCAGGTTCTTCCCTCTCCGATCGTCCAAGAATCTGGCGGCATCCCTGCCGGATCCAGCACCTGGGACACGGTGCGCGAGCTCGGCGATCGCATCATCGCCACGCCCCGGCTCTCGGATCGCATTGACATCTTTGTGCGCTTCGCGGAGGACCAGGTAGGGTCTCGATTCTCCTCGCATTTTGGCTAGAATTTGCGGCCTCCATTCCGGCAGATGCAACGGAAGTGGCAGGATCTCGCGGCGGCGCGCCCTGGAACCATCCGGAGCAAAATCCACAGGTGCTTCTTCCCGAGAGAGCTCGTTTGATTCTTTTTCTTGTAAGCTTGATGGATTGTCACTTGTCACAGGCGTGGATGGTGCTGATGGTTGCGTTTACCTCTCTATCTACAGACAAGGAATGAAGCTCCTGGCGAAGCTCGAGCCCTCGGAGCAATTTTTCAAGGCGATTCCTCCGGATGCTACCAAGATCAACATCATCCATCCTTCGAGGTACGCATTGCTCGCGTGAAGAAAAGTATGGATGGACATTATAAATAGAATTTTTTCTTTCTTTGAAAGTTTTCTTTCTTCGAGAGTTTTTCCTTCTTTTTCTTTCTTCGAGGCTTGTTTCTAAGATGGAATTGTGATGTTTCAGCTTGAATTCACGTCTTGCGAGGCGCAGGCTGCGACATCTAGCTATAAGGTCTGTGCTTTTCCTTGTCCGAGAGAATTGTTTTTTGACACTTTGGAGATGCAGCGGGACTGCTTTTCACAGGAGACTGCTCTATGGTTCGCTCGCGTTGCTTCCTTTCTCTTCGCTCTTCGCGGTTAGCTTTACTTCTCAACTTTTGCCAGAGTTTCTTGTTTCTAAAGCGTGAGTTGTGGATAGATTGTACCCTTCCCAAACGTTGTCATACTCTGGAACTTCTTCCGAGTCCATGCTCACTGGCGAGCTCTTCAAGTAAGTTTTTTGCGCGTTAAACAGCAAAGCAATTCACATTTTCTACAGGGTAGCAGAAGGCTGCAAGCTCTGGTGACCGAGGAGGAGAAGGCATCGCAGAACAAAACCAATGCTTGGGTTAGTTCTTCCTCCTCGTTTCATCTGGGTTTTGATTCAAGTTTGTTCGTGGCTCCAGGAATTTACACCCTCCGAGAAGCTCGAGAAGCTCGTGGATCGTGCCAATTCATCGAGCGCCGAGGCCCTGAGCAACGAGAAGATCGAAGCGATTTGCAAGGAATTTTGTCTGGAGACCACGGACGTGACGAAATGGAGGGATCACACAAGCAAAATGCTCAAGCTCGCGTGGGTCTAGAAAGAAAATTTTTGCGGACGTAGCAGCCATGTCACTAGCGTTTGGCCACGCTGGATTTTGAGGTGGCAGTTTCAATACGGCCTGAAATGAGATCGCAAAGTTGGTTGGTTGCGTTGCGAATTGGAATGGTTTTCTAGGGTAGGGTTTTGCGCCACGGATGGATGGCGATGCCCGGCGCCAGGCGAGAGAAGATGATCGCGCGATGATCGTCGCGCGGACGAGGCGCTGTTTTGTGAGATTCTTCCCGCATTTTCGTTCTTCTTGCTTTGGCAGATTCTCTTGACGGGTTTCTTGGCAGTGACGGTGTTCTTGGAGAAGATTTCTTGCCTGGGCACGAGATTTCGTAGGATATTGGTGAGATTCTCTGTTTCTTTGGCCTTGAGCTACATTGGAAGCGTTCTTTGCTTTGCAGCAATGGCAGAAGGAGCACGCTATTGCTTCATTGTGAGATGGCTCGATCCGACGAGTGCTCTGATTTGGAAGTACCAGTTTTTCTACAACACCGCGGATTCTTCCATTGAAATGGTGGGCATGGATGTGTTCACGCTTTTGTTTCTCTTGACATCTTCTTGTTGTCCAGTATGATATTAAGAACCAAAAGATTTTTCTCAAGCGAGTTAGCCATCCGGAGATCCGGTTGGAGCATTTGTATATCGGTGGTACTTTTGTCTTGTATTCTAGGCAGCTTGTAGTCGAGGATTATGGTGACGATTTTACTCGCAAGGAGCTCTCAAATCTGCAAGAAACGTATGCTATTTCCTTTGTTTTTTTATTCATTCTTGTGCACTTCTGGTTATGTTTCATCCGTGCAGGACCATAGCCGTGATAAAGCCTGATGCAATCGACAATGTGGGAAAGATTATAGACATAATATACAGCAATGGATTCCTTGTAAAGCAAATGAGGATGTGTAAGTTATCATCCCAGCAAGCGGCCCAGTTTTATAAAGCACACGCTGGGAAACATTTTTTCGGGTAAGATTTTTCTTCTACAACATCTACAACCATTTCATTTTTGTGTCTTTCTCTTTCTTTTCAGTCACATTACAAGCCACATGTCAAGTGGCCCTTGTGTTGCTCTAGAACTTGTCGCGGAGGACGCAATCAGTAAATGGAGGCTTCTTCTTGGTGAGATGGCTGTGTTCGTTAGAAGTGTTTGTGAGGAACGTTAAGCTTATTCTAAAGCCGGGTTTTCAATAGACAGGTCCTACAGACAGCGTTGAAGCAAAGGTAAAAGCTCCCAGTTCTATCCGTGCGGAGTTTGGCAGCGACGAGACTAGAAACGCGTGCCATGGATCTGATTCTCCTTCTGCAGCAAAGCAGGTGTGAGCCTCGACTGAACTCCAGCATTGCTGATCAGTGTTTGTGGCCTTTCAGGAGTCAGACTTCTTTTTCAAGGACAAAAGCTTGGGATTTTGCGCAAAGCTGAAACATTGTACCTTATGCTTGATCAAGCCTCATGCTGTTTTTGACGGTAATCGACTCTTATCTCGATTCACAAAAGCTAACCTTGACGCTGGGACTACAGGCTTTGCTGGAATCATCATCGACGCCATTCTCAAGAGATTCGTCATCACAGCCATGGAACTCGTCACATTTGGCCGTCCTAGCGCCTTGGACTTTTACGAGCTCTACAACGGTGTTTGCTCCGACTATCATGTAAGTATTCTTGCCTTCGACTTAATGACGAGCGCGTCCTTTTGCATGCAGGCAATGGCACAGGAGCTGTCTGTAGGTCCGTTCATTGCAATGGAAGTATGTTACGAAAGCGGTGATGACAACCCCGTGAACGATTTTCGAGACTTTTGTGGGCCTCCTGATGCTGCAATGTGTAAGGCTTTAAGACCGAGTACGCTCCGAGCGCAGTATGGTATTAACAAGGTAAGTAAAACGATCTTACAGTGCGATCTTCTCGGTTTCCTGGCTAACTTGTTCTTATCAACCAGGTGAAAAACGCTATACACTGCACAGATCTTCCAGAGGACGGAGTCACAGAGTGCACGTACGTGTTCACGCACAAGTTCAATCCCACACAGGAAGCAACCGTGTACAAGAACCACAACCTGAGATAAGTAGAGTTAAGAGTCTTCTAACACGAAGCTAGATAGTTTGAAGACGGTCTTGGAATTCTCGTAGGGGGCGTAGAACCATCCGTCTATGGAGTAAATATTTGCAAGCAAATCGTAAGCTGATGTTTTCAGTGGATCTAACTCGAGTACAGATCGAGCAGCGCTTGCTCCTCGCTGGAGATCGCTGTAACTTCGGCAGGCTCCCAGGAAGCACGTCCACTCCAGAGCTTCCGGGACGAAAGGCATGTTTGCTATGAGATCTCTTGCGTAGCTCAAGTGGCCGGATCGTCCCAGGAGATCGATCACGCAGCAGTAGTGCTGCTTCGTCGGCTCCAACTTGAAATCGAGCTGCATGGACACGAAGCTCGCGATTCCATCGCGGACTTTCCCGGCGTGGCTGCAAGAGATGAGTCCTGAGATGAAAGTTACATCGTCTGGAGCTTCGACTAGCTTCACAAACTTGAAAATTTCGAGAGCTTCCAAGGCATGACCGTTCTGGGCATGCGCTCCCAGCATCGAGTTCCATGAGAGTATGGACTTCTCGGGCATTTGCTCGAAGAATCTTCTAACCAATGGGACATTCCCAGCCAGAGAATATGCCGAGAGAAGGATGTTCCATGACACGAGGTTCCTCCGCGGCATCACGTGAAACACCTCCATTGCATGCTCAAGATGCCCGTTCTGGGAATATCCCGTGAGAATAGAGTTCCACGAGACGATGCTGTGATGGGGCATCTTATCAAATATACGCTTTGCTTCGCTTATGTAACCACTAGCGGCATATGCCGCCAACATTGTTGTCCAGGAAAACACGTCAGCGGCATCTTGGAATCTCTCGAACAAGACACTGGCATTTTCCAGATGCCCAGCTTGGGTATATCCCAAAAGCATCGCGTTGAAAGATACGTTGTTTTGCTCCGGCATCCCATCAAAAACGCGTTTCGAGTTCTCTAGATTCCCGCAACGGGAATATACTCCCACCATGGCATTCCACGCCACAGAATCCCTCTCGGGCATCTTTTCAAACAGTGCCTTAGCCCCAAGGATATGCCCTGCTTGGGCATATGCTGCGAGCATCGTTGTCCACGAGACTAGATTCCGTTGAGGCATCCGCCAGAATATCCCCGCGGCACTCTCCACGTTGGCATTTTGGGCGTGCGCATCCAGAAGTGCATTCCACGCCACTATGTCGTGCTGAGGCATATTCGCAAAGAAGTGCTGTAATTTGAGTATTTGCCCAGTGTAGGCAAATGCAGTGATTAGGGCTGTCCACGAAGCAAGCGTCCAGTAGGGCATTGCAAAGAACAAACGCTCGGCAGCTTCACATCGACTAGATCTAGCGTAGATAGATAGCACCAAATTTAAAGAAACTAGATTCGGAGCTTCGATTTCTCGCGCGATCGCCATCGCCCTCTCCAAATCCCCAATCTGGGCATAAGCAGCTAGCATCGTATTGCACGCAACCGCGCTTCGCAGTGGGATCCGATCGAAGAGGGCCTGGGCTTCATCGAGGTCGCCGGCGCGGGCGTAGATCGAGATCATGATCGCCCACGAGTAGATATTGTTTTGGAGCGCTTGATCATCGAAGACCTTGCGGGCATCTGCCACGCTGCCGCATCGGGCATACATTTGGATTAGGCTATTGCGCAGCAGCACCGAATCGCACTGCCAGGATGGAATCTGGGCATGGAGCTGGATCGCCACCGACAGAGCCTGGCATGTCTGGATTTGCTCGAGGTAAGTGTTCATGGAGCCATTCAATGCCTAGGGGTCAAGCGCTCGAATCCCGGGACAACCGGCGAGAGCGAGACACGTACACGTACACACGCCCAGGTCCCACGTTCGAATCCGGGCCACTTCTTCTAGGCTATGGCTATGGCTACCGCCAAGCATTGGGGTCCTCCTCCTCTTCTTGGCGCGCTCGCGGCCGCGATGGATCTCTTCACCAAATCCTAACGACGCTCCTCCGGGACGATCCCACTGCTCCGCCAATTCGAGGCAAGTTCTTCCAGATCTCTCACCAGGAGAAAGAGGGCTTTGTCCCAGCGGTGAGTGTTAGTTCTTCGCTTTCTCCCGAGGAAATGTTGCTAGAAATCTGAGAGATTTCGTCACGGATTCTTGTAGCAGCAGAGAAGAAAGCGAGAGAGAGCCATGATTCCGGGCCTCGCGCAACTGGGTCCAAGGAGACGAAGCAATCGCCAGCAGCAGCAGCAACAGGAGCTCGAGCAGCAACAAATAAATTCGCAAGAACATCGTTCCAGGCACTACCACCACCACCACTACCACCACCATCACCACCACCAGCATCATCACAGCAGACCAAGGGCCTCTACACGATTCCAGGTTCGTTCTTTCTCTCGATTCTTTCTTTTCTTTTCTTTGTTTCCACTTGATATTAACTTGGAGCTTCTTTTCCAGCATGGTGTTCTTGATCCACCCTCGCAAGGAACTAACACCACCACCAGCGAGACGGCCTCGTCCAGCCGCCCAGTGGAGCCTTTGTACTCTCAAACACACTCACACGACCGACTCTTTCGTGCCAGGCTACCATTTTTACTCCAAAGACGCTCCGAGAGCGAGGCTCACAGGGCAGCTCTCGAGGCTCGCGGCCGTTTGGACGAGCGATTGCGAGAAGCTACATTCTTGGGCAGAAGGTAAATCACACTTTCGTGTTTTCCTGATGCTCAAAACATTTTTTTTTCTTCGACTTACGTGATTTCCTGATGCTCAAAACTTGGTTTTTCTTCGTCCAGGAATCCCGAGAATTCGCTGCCAAGGCTGGCGCAGTACTACTTCAACGCTCTCTTCTCGGACGAGGACGAGGAGAGCCTCGTCTGGGAGGACGAGCGCGAGTGGGAGGCGAGCTTGACCGAGTGGCTGGCGGGGAGAGTGTCCGGGTTTCGAGAATCCTGGCAGCCCGAGTGGATGAACGACTTGCCGGCGTCGCCGATCCAGGGGCTGAGCAAGGCGGCAGTGAACGCTCTTCCCAGGGAGATTTACGGCCAGAAGCGATCCAGCAAGTGGAGATCGAGCAGCAAAGGTCCGGAGGAAGAACAGGTGGATTGCTCCGTGTGCCTGGAGCAGTTCTTGGCGGGACAGACTTTGCTGTGCTTGCCATGCAAGCACAAGTTCCACCCGGCTTGCCTCACGCCATGGCTGGAGCAGCACGAGCAGTGCCCGTATTGCAGAGCTCACATCCACAGCAGTAGCAGCGGCGCGGGAGGATCGAGCAAAGGTGGTGACGAGTTTGAGGATGATAATCTCTTGGCTTGGCTGGAAGCGTTCGAGACTGGAATGTCGAGGATGAGGTTCACTCCCAATGGCAGCACCCGGTAGTCCAGCGAAAGCTTGTATATACTTTACATTGGAAAAATTCCAAGTGATTTGATGCTATGATAAGGATTTCTTGGACAGTTTCGCGTATGATATCGATTTCTTTGACAAACTCCACGTAAACTTACACGTTCTTGTGGAAGTTAGACAAAGATTTGATACAGGGTTTATTACGTAGTGTTTCTGTCAATGCCATCGTCAAAAAAGTTTGAGTTTGTGACTACGTTTGTGTCAAGTTGCTTGTCAACCTTTTTCCTCCTGCGAGCTTCGAATTCCTCGAAACCATCCATCTGAGTACATGATCCAGCATTAGAGCCTGGCTTTCCAGAGAAAATTGAATTACCCGATGAAGATCTTCCACAGTGATGGGATTGCCGTGAAGCGACAGAGTTTGCAAGGCGCTACAGCTCTTCAAAAGGGAGCTCGGCAGCTGATTCCACAAGAAGAAAAAACGAGTTTTGGAAAGGAAAAATGGTGAAACGAGTACTCAACTTGAGAGATTTTGTTCTCCGCGAGTACCAGCGTTTTGAGATGGCTTAGATTGCTCAGTGACTGTGGCAGCTGCTCGATCCTATTTCCTGAAAGAACAGAAAGAAAGCTCTCAAGACTATCAATTTCTTTTGTTGTTACGTACCACTTGCTTGGATTTCTTCGAGCGAGAAACAGCTGCCTATGGATTCTGGGAGGACTTTCACCTGGTTTTGGCTGATATCGAGAATAACCAGCTAGAGGAGATAAAAGAAAACGCTTGTAAGTTCCCATGCAAAGGATGTAATGTGACAAGCTTACGTTTCGTAGGCTTCCCATGGAGCTCGGCAAAGAGGACAAGTGATTGCTTGCAATAGACAAGCGTTCCAATCGCACCAAAAGCCCAACTGTGTGTGCAAACGGATGAAGAACGAAAAAGAAAAGAGAGAAAAGAACACTCACTCTCGTCCGGGAGCTCGGATAATTGGTTTGAATCAAGAGCGAGCGTTTTGAGCGACGTGAGCTTGACGAAAGTTGAAGGGAGCCTTGTCAAGCTGTTTTCTACAAGGATCTTCAGGTGTAATTGGAACAAATACAATGAAATGCAAGGAGAGAAAAAAAAAAGAAAGCAGAACGAAAGGAAAACGAAGGTGAAAGTTACCAGTCTTTGGAGATTGTGGAGGGAGTCGATGCTAAGCGGGAGCTCACCTGGAATAATGTACCATCATATAAGTTGGAAGATAGAAAAATGAATCATTCGCAAAGGAAGAAGGAATGACGATGGTGGAGCTTGGAAGACAGAAAAAAAACCGGAAACAAGGAAGTAAGAAACGAACCTATCTTATTGCAAGACGCATCCAGAGTCCTGACCACCTTGGCGATCTCGAAGACTTCGCTCGGGATTGACTGACCCAAAAAAGGAGAAACAAATGAGTAAAGTCATACCAAGAGTCCTCGACATCAAATCGACCCGATAAGAAATGGATCAAAAACCTTCAAACGCGAATCTCGAAGGCCCACAATTCCCGTCGCCTTCCATTTGACTGCCCGCTTTCGAATAGCGCCTTTGCTCGAGCAGCAGCCCATCTAAGCCTAGCGGGAAAAAAAAAAACACTTCAACTCTCTCCTCGCGAGAAAGCTCAAAGAAGAAGCAAAAGACCCTCCAATACTTTTTCCCCTCTTTGCCGAGTCAATCAGCTATAGCACACACGCCGTACACACGCAAAATCGTACGGTAACTCCTCGTGAATATGTTGTCTTTGACAGGGACGCTTTTATAGCATCGCGTTGATCCATGGGGGACCAAGCTTGACGAAGAAATTCTCTGGGGAGAATTAGCACTGTGAAAACTGCTAAAGCCGAGGAGGAGACCTTTCTAAAACTTTAAAACTCGTGGTCACGGCCGAATATTGTTGACAAACCTTCCAGCTCGTCATTTAAAGTCCCAACAAGCGAGAGCTTGTTCTTTGTGCGTCCTCCTGTGTAGTCTCCTTTCTTTCATGGACATGGCTAGAGTGGCGCTCTTGGGTGTTGCTTTAATGCTCATCGTCGGTAAGTCTCGAAGCGATCATCTATTTGGGTGATCCATTCTGATTGTTTCTTGATGGTCTCAAGGGATTTGCGAGGGAAACGAGTGGTGCATTGCAAACTCGAGCATTCGCAGCTATGCGTTTGAAGTGGCTCTCAACGAAACATGTCTGAAGGTCGACTGCTCGGCCATAAGTGAAGGAGGGGAGTGTTTCTCCCCAAACACACTCCCCTGGCATGCATCATACGCCTTTAATCTCTACTTCCAAAATAATGGGAGGACTCTGGCTGCTTGCCACGCTCTTGGAATGATTGTCCAAGAATACCCAGGTGAAACATTACATATCCTCACTCCTTTGCATATAATATCAATCTTTTCGTCTTTCAGTTCCTCCAAGTGCCAGCTATTGCCACTTTGCAAATGCCAGCATTTCTTGATCTGCCCACTTATTATATTTTGGAGTATATTTTGTCATATGCTTGCTATCCAAACGCTTCAGTTTTTGGAGGACTTCCTATCTTGAAAGAAAACTCCAATAGTATAATACTTAATTCTCCCCCAACTAGTAACTAAAAGCATATTTGTTATAGGTTGGTAAATATTTAAATTAGAGTAGTAAACAAAAATAAATTATTTTAAAATTTTATCAATTAATATTTGTTATCAATTGGGTTTTCATGAATGAAAAATTTGCTATGCATTGCATGTAGCAATGTTTGGTTTGCTTAATAGTAGTGTTATATTTACTTATTAATCCAACTGATCAAATAAAAGTTTAAAATTATAAATATATTTATAATTTATAAACAAAAGATTAATATTATTGCATATAAACCATTAGATGGTAGAATAAAAAAGAATATACAAGAAAGTGTTTAAGAAAGTTTATAAATTATAACCATATTTACAAATTATACTAATCTAAATGAATAAGGTAGAATATCTAAGCATATTCTAGGTATATCCACTACCATACCAATTTGCTTAAGCAAACCAAAAATAACTAACAATCTTAAAATACTTCTTTGTAAAATAATTCCTTTAGCTAAATTTCTTATGAACAAAGTTTTAAAAAAACATAAGATAATTAAAAAAAATTTATTTATTTATATGTGAAGCATTATCATACATAATAAAAATTTTACATTATAATATTTAATATATAATTTTTAAATTCTGGGTTTTATTTATTTTATTTTGAGGGAAGTGAGGTTGAATAATTAAAAAAAATTAATTAATGATATCTACATTGTTATTGTTAAACAAGTGGTCCCTAATATCTTACAAAACTTGTACTTTTTTCCAAGTTAGTTATTTATTATAATTATTTAATTTTGTCATGGTTTATTCATTTTTATTTTATATTTATTCTATATGGGTGGCGCTGCAGAGTCATGCCAGGACTCAAAGTATTATCATTTTCGAAGGCTAATAGATATTATAAATAAAAAACTATTTCAGAGAAGATATGTATTTAATAATATGAATATTAATAATTGATAAAATATAAAAATTTATTTTAATAAAATTAAAGTAATAAATTATTTAGATAATTATAAAAAACATAAATTTTATGATATAAAAAAAATTATAGATCAAATCAATTTAAAATATTAATAAGTATATTTACATTATAAATATGTATTACAGCTGAGCATATTAATTTTTAATTCCAAAATAAAAACAAAATATAAATGCATGGAATATGAAAATTGAATACAAGCTGGGCTTCTTCCACCAGGGAATGTTCTCATTCCTCATAATGTCTAACACTAGAGTTGGGGACATACCACTCTTGCACCCGAAGTGCTCGCCAGAAGCTGCCAAAGCTGTAACACATAGATGCAAGGAAGCTGTGTATAGCATGGACAACCAAGGATTTCTCTATGGGGAGCTTCTGTTTACTAATGTAGCCATCTCAAAGGCCAAAAGTGGAGGCTACATTAGTATGCTAGTGGGATTCTCACAAGCCAGGCTTGTGGAGAGTAGTAATATCTACTGTTCCAAGGAGTGGTCTCATTTGGAGAGCATGCTCAAGGTTTTGCTAACCAAAGGACAACAAAGATGGATAAATGATCCTTATATGTTATACAAAGCACTATTTCTCACTTGATTTAACCTTGTTCTTTTACACTAGATCAAGGCACCTCGAGATCACCGTCAAAGGCTTCAAGCACTGTTATTCCTACTTGCCTTCACGGAGTCTAGGGAGGCAATGGCAAAGGAGGAGCCAGGTACTGCAGTGGAATCACTGAGAAGATGTTTGAAGCGTCCACCCCCAACAATGAATTGCCTTTTGACAGTGCCACCATCGTGAATGCAATGCCAGTGTTCTTGGCCAATGTTGGTTCCATGAAGTTGTAATTACTTTTTATGTCGTAAAAGCGATCCTTGGTGTTTGGCCCTTGTCCCACCAAACCATTTACCTATGGATGATAAACACTTGTGAAAGTATAGTATATCCCAACTGAGATGTTAAAACATAAAATGCCTCAATCATAAATGCAAGACCATTATCAGCTTTAGACAGGATTGTTGAAATACCACTTGATTAAGGAAGAAGCACCCAACAGTAGTTGCAGACAGACTAGCAAAAGCATTAACTCCACCTAGTGAGTCAAATAGTCAAAAACAATAATAATATACTTATTGCTAGTGGTTGACTATGGAAAAAGTCACATTAAATCAAACACCACTAACTCAAACGAATGGAAAATGACAATTGGCTCCAATTGTTCTTCTATAATATGAAAGGGAGCTACACATATACTAGATAATATCAAGTTATATCTTTGGCCAATAGAAAAATCTACGCAACTTCTCAGTCATATAACGATGTCCCATATACCCGTCTAGAAAAAGGAGAATCATGGTAAATATAAAGAAAGCATGGAATAAAAATTGAAAACACCATTAGCTGTAAATAATCATCAGGATCCGTCCCCACAAAATAAAGAAGGTTGTTTTTAAGGTGATATTGAGAATATAAATGGTAAAATGATAAGTCATTAGCATGTGATGCAAGATTCTTCAACCCATTATGAAATCTTCAAATTCATACTTCAACCTTTAGAGTTTCACGAACCTCGTCAAGAAAAGGTAAATCTTACTCTGCACCTTGTGGACAATAAACATCAAACATAGCAACTACCAATGGCATGGAATTCTTGTTCAAAAAATCTACAGATGCTAAAATAATAGGCTCATAAAAAATATGAGAAAAGAGCAAAAAAGGAAAAGGAGTTTGAGATAGGGTGTTAACATTAGCCATAAAACCCCCTTAGACAATGAACAACCTCAAAATTATATATCTAAAGCTTCAAAGCAGTATAATTAACCAAATTCTTCTGCTTCAATAATGAAGTAACTAAAACATGATTACTTTATAGTATTATCCAAGAACCTTGTACATATATATAAAGTTTCTCAAAACCCCAAACTACTACTAAACACTCATCTCTTGTATAGTAATTCACCTCTATTGGTTGTAATGTATGGCTAATTTATGTAATGGAATGGTGTTGACCAAGTGCTTTCTTGCATCAACACACCTCCAAAACCAATATCAAAAACATTTACGCAGTATCAAAAACATCCACCATTATTTGAAAGAATTCCCTTTAGACAGGATTGCTAGAACACCACTCAAGTGATAAGGAAGTATCTAATAGTAGTTGCAGATACACTAGTAAGAGCACCAACTTCCACCCAATGAGTCAAGTAATTAAAAGCAATAATGATAAACTCATTACTAGTAGTCCACTATGGAAAAGACTTCATTAGATTAAATGCCACCAATTCAAATAAATAGGAAACTACAATTGACTCTAATTATCCTTTCATAGCATAAGAGGAGTATTACGAGTTTGGCACCAAACACAACTACACACATACCAAATAATATCACATCATATCTTTGACCAATAAAATGACCTGAGAAGCTTCTTGATCATACAATATATCCCATAGACCCACCTAGAATAGGAGAATCATTGTAGGCATACAAAAAGTGTAAAATAAAGATTGAAGGCACCATCAACTATAAATGATCATTAGAATCTGTCCCCACAAAATAAAGAAGACTATTCTCAAGAGGATATTGAGAATGTAAATACCAAAATAGCAAGTCATTAGCAAATGATGTTGGATTCTCAAACCCATCGTGAAGTCTTCGAATCTATAGCTCAATCTTTTGAACCTCATAATCCTCATCAAGAGAAGGTAAATTTTATTTTGCACCTTATGAACATTGAATATCAAGTATAATAATTGCCAATAACACAAAATCCTTGTCCAAAAAATTCATAGATACTAAAACAATAAACTTATTAAAAACATGAGAAGAGAGTGAAGAAAGAAGAAGAGCTTGAGAAAGGGCATTAGCATCAACTATAGGACTCCTAGGGCAATGAACAACATCAAAATTATATATCTAAAACTTCAAAAACCTACTAACTAAGTTCTTTCGCTTCAATAATGAAGTAACTATAACATGATCACTTTTTAGTAATATTCGAGAACTAGATATGGATCTCAAAAAGTTATTAACAACTCCTTCAGTTTTGGCATATTCTAACTACACTTGATTAATTTATAGACTAGATGAAAGGCGATATTGACAACTTCAACAATGTTCACAATGGTGTAATATAATCAAAAAGATGATCAACAAAATGGCTGAGATATTGCACCTTGCCTAAGAAGCATTGAATATCATTCACACACTTTAGAGTTTAGCCATAAACTTTTCAAGATTAACTTACAAGCTTTTATGAAAAATATGGTACCTAAGATAAGTTGTATCCTTAGACCCAAATACACACTTTGACCACTTTAATTTTAAACCAGCTTTCTACAGTCGATCCAACACCTTATAAACATCACAAATATTTTTTTTTCACATCCCTTCTAAGTGGATCAAAACATCATTAATGAAGTCAATAATCACCTTCAATATATTATAAAAAACCTTATCCATCATCTACTAAAAAGTTGCTAAAACATTCTTTAAACTGAATGGCATCATCAAGAAATCATACAAATCAAATGGTGTACCTTATTTTATGACAAAGTGTAGCGCATGTGATCATAGGATGAGATTTGAATATACTGTCACCGTGGATCCTTGGAACCTTGGGGGATAAATGAGGATAAAATAGCCACTAAGGGCTCTCTCATCAAGCAATTGCCCCTTTTCCAGTTGGCTTAAGGGGAGAGAGATAAGGTGCGTTACACAAAGCCTGATGGGTGTATTGATTTCTACATCAACTATCATCTGTTAAATAAAGTGATTATCTTAGATGTGTACACTCTTCTTTACACTACTAATCTTTTAGATCGTCTAAGGAGAAGTTATTGGATCTTGCCTCTGGGTATTTGCAACTATTAATGGCTGAAGAGAATATTCCCAAGACTACTTTTGATTCACATGCCTAAGGACTATAACTTTTGAATGACACCCTTTTATAACATCTCCTTGATGTTTGCATATAAAATCTTAACCTCTTTTGGTGATTGACGACAAATAAAAACCTTGATTAGGTGAGCATCCCTAATGTGTTACAATTTTTGCCCCAGACAACAAGTCAAATTTGAAAAGATTGGCATACTCCTTCATGAGCCAGTCAACCACTGCAACATAGAGATCCTCAAAGGGATCTGAAAAAGGAATAAAGGAACAAGACAAATAAGAGGAAGTAATGGGGAGACAAAAGTGAAAGTACAAGTAATAGCAAAGAGAAGAAGAGTAACAAAAGTGAGAGGAATGGAAAAAATATAAAGAAGTATAAAACATAAAAAAAAAGCTTCAAAGTTATACTTGGCATGATTACGTTGCTACAAATTTATACAAAAAATAAGGCAAAAAGCTTGATTTGGCACCACAACTAATACTCAAAATCAAAATTGCTCATATGCACAATTAAGTCCATCTCATCCCGTGCATATGTGCATGTATGGCTATTGTTATAAAGGATGAAAACTGATTCTGTTGCACAATGCAAATATAGACAGTAACGTGTGGTAACAAACTAAGCAATAAAAAATAAACTTAAGTCTATATTAACCAATATGGAAAGAATAATAAAAAACCTTTTATTATAAAAACTAGCTTGGAAAGTAAACACTTGATGAATTGATATTGAGTGAACTTCTTTATGCTACTCCCGAAAGAAGGATGGAAGGTCATTAGAGGGGACTTATTCACACAATGACCCCCCATTACTTGTGCGACTCTGTTTTCTGGAAGCATCTTGGTGTCTAGACCTTCCACTGTAGGAACACAAGTAAGACATTGACACCAAAGTCTTTTCACCTAAGAAATGAAGGATATCAATCTAGAAAATACTAATAAAACTAATACATATGATCAAACCCATCACACTTTAATAGTGAATATTGCGACCATAACCACATCCTCACCCTTGTCTTTGAACTCAAGCAGCAGTAGCATCAACCTCTATTAAAACATAACCATCTCCTATAGAGGAGCTGAAGGATGTGCAATGAAAAGTGGAATAGGCAATATTTCATTATATTGTGCTAAGTGAAAAGTATTGTCAAGGGTGGCTAGAGCAAGTGCATATACAAATCTTACAAAATTTTAAACAAAGTGTTGCCCATAACATTTTTAATTTGATTCGCTCTGATATATTTAACTCCACATAAAGCAAGAGGCTCTAGAAATGAACGCCAAATTGTATCACTAACTCAAATAACCCTTGATAAAAATGATGCAATTGTTAAAAGGCATTATCATAATTATATGCATATCTAAATATACATTTGAAGATATCTAAGAAAATGCTCCAATCTACACAAATAGCTGTGCTTAAACCATTATACCACTATAATGTCGTCCCTTGGAGACACATTAGCATCATCCTAAGAATGATATATGACAATTACCATAAAATGATAAAACCAATGATACACATCATCCTCAGGATTCCCACAAAAAAACTTTAGCCAAATGTGAGGATTGGCAGCAAAAGTAGGAGTTGTATCATGCACCATAAATACTACCATCAATTAAATTTGATTGTTCAACTACAATTGCATAGCATCGAGTAATAGATTTAAACAATGCAAAAGCTAAATTTAAACCAAAATCCCAAATCCAAACACTCTTTAGAAACAATTAAAATTACCTCTTATCTTCACTATGTGAGTGCATAAAATATAGAAATAGAATACAAAAATATATATATTAATTTAGTTTATATATAGGAGCAAGTGGTTTAAATTGAAACCAATCTTATGGATATCAAAATCTCACTATACTAATATTAATGTAAGGCCATTAATATTAATATATGGCATTATAGCCATACACTTGGACCTCACATATACTAATAATAATAAATTATAATTATCTAATTTTTAAAAATATAGTCTAAAGGGGAAGATATTAAATGTTAATTAATATAATTATTTTAAAATTTACATATATTCAATAACTATGTGATAAAAAAATTGGCATTTATAAATGAGTTTTTAACACTTTTTAGTGATTATAATTTATCTATTACCAATTAATTTTAGGCTGTCACTAATTTTAATTGCAACTCACTCAAAATAAAATATATAACTTTAATTTTAAAACATTGATTATTAGAATGTAAATAAATATTAAAAAAATTATAATAATAAAATCATCCCATTATCTTTAATATATTTGAATATCATTGCCTTATATATATTTTTATATAAAAATATTTAATATATAATTATTACTGATATTAAAAATTTTGCTATAAATGAATAAATATTTAAAATTGAAAATTTTAAGATTTATAAAAGTTCAATTATCTTATCTTATTAATCTTAATTTAGCTTTATTGGAATATAATCTAGATAAAATAATTCTGTATAATAAGTTAGTTAAAAGTTAGTAACTTTCTTTTCCATTCTTAACATATATTACATCTGAATAATTTGTGAATGGGTATAATAGCCAATGGAGAAGCATCTAAGTGAGTCATTAATAGGTTAAAGGAGGATCAAAAAAATCAAGTTTTGGAGGAGAATATGGTGCAATACATCACATAAAATTTAAAATTTTACAATGACATTTGTAAAATAATATATTTTATCTTTACATAGGAAGTCCCTTCAAAATCTAGAGCTCTTTATGATAAAATATATTTTACTACATAACAAATTAAGAAATGCTAGCATTTGCAAAGTGTCAATAGTTATAACTATGAGGAATTTGAAACCAAGTAGTGTAACCTTCCTCCACACTCTTGGCGTGTGCTGCCATGCTGGTGTTATGCAGGAGGCGAGGGAAGATTTTCCAAAACATGAGTAGTAACTATAAAATAAACACAGATGACCTTTATAGTGGATTGCTGGGGAGAGGCAACATTTGCCATGGTGGCAAGCATGCCTTTCCTGCTTGACTCAAAAAAGAGTGGATGCCTCTCTAATTGTCAAAAGTGGAACAATAAAATTGTGTTTGATTCTCTGAAGGACATTGAAGATGTTTCCTACTAAGGTGTGAATATTTTTTAACTAAGTATTAAAGTAGACAAAATTAGTTAAAGACTGAAGGTTAGAAATTTGGCCATCTTCAATAACACTACCTCTGCAATAATCTTGCAACATATTTTGATTTTGTAAGGATTAATATTACTCCTACAAAGTCATTATTAAATCAAAAGTGGTGTCATTCTAATCATGACTATCTAATTACAAGATTTTAAACTGCTTACAAAAACAATCCGTCCGCTCTTTGCAAAATGAAAGATGCAATAATTATTAACAGTATATTGATAAATAAATCCTCTCTTTTTTTAAGTTTCAAAATTCAATGCACTCGAAGTATAAAGATTGGCCATCAAAATGTAGGCAGCACAGTCCTCATCCTCCATCTCCTTGAGAGAATCAAAAGCAACCTTGGCAAACTCCACATTGCCCCACTTGTGACAATTCCCCAAGAACGTCATCCACACCTTTGCGTCGGGCTGGAAAGGCATGCCCGCCACCATCGCAAACGCCTCCTCGAGATGGTTGCCTCTCCCCAGCAAATCTACCATGCAAGTGTAATGCTCCATCCGCGCCTCCATTCCATAGTCACAGCTCATGCTCTGGAAGATCTCCCTCGCCTCCTCCACAAGCCCGGCATGGCAGCACACCCCAAGAGCGTGGAGGAAAGTTACACCGCTCGGTTGGATTCGCTCCCTTTTCATGGATTCCAAGAGCCCAAAAACGCTTGGAGCGTCACCCTGGCGAGTAAATCCAGCAATCAAAGCGTTCCAAGCCACCACCTCCTTGGTTTTCATGGAGTCGAAAACTTGCTTGGCTTCGTGCATGGCTCCACACTTTCCATAGAGATCGATGAGCGAGTTTGCCACCTGGTGTTCTAGCAATGATCCGGAGGAATCGAGAACTTGGCGATGGATACATTGTCCTATTTCCAAGTTGGACGAGGAGACGCAAGCCTTGAGCGCTGCTACGAAAGTGGCCGAGTTTGGACGACACTGATCGACGTGGTGTTCTTGTTGCATCAACGCGAAGAGTCCGAGAGCTCGCGAGGATTGATCGGTTAGTGCGTAGCCGAGTATGAGAGCGCTCCATGAAACTACGTCCCGCTGGAGCATTCTATCAAAGGCTCGCTGGGATCCAGGCATGAATCCACACTTTGCGTACATGTCCACCAGCGTGTTCCCGAGATAAGTATCCAAGTTCTTGTGATCTTCCTCGAGCTGCGAGTGGATTTCCAGGCCTCTACTCAGCGCATTCTTCTTGACGAGCAGAGCTGGAGGATCTGAAAGAGATACTCTCGTCCCGGTCTCCATAGCTGCGAGGTTCGAGCAAGCGTTTAGAGCAGCAATGTATGTCCTAGAGTCGGGAGTGAATCCTTCCTGCCGCATTGCCGCGAAGAGCTTGAGCGCTTGCTCACCATCCTGTGCTTGCGAGTATCCCATTATCAGCGTCGTCCAAGAAACCACGTCCTTGATCGCCATTCTCTCGAAAGCTTGCCTCGCGAGAGCCATGCTACCACACTTAGCATACATGTCCACGAGAGCGCTTCCCACGAAAACATCCTCCTCGACTTCCCGGCCGAGCGTTTCCTCGAGTTCGCTGTGAAGAGAAACTCCTGTCGAGAGAAAAGCTCTCCCCGAGAAGTTGGAGAACTCTTCTTCAATTGAGAAAGTTTTAGTTCGCTCGCCTGGATGATCGTCGATCTTGTTTCTTTCCTGCTCTCCAAGGACGCCGCAAGCGGTGAAAGCCGCGATGAAAGTTCTCGAGTCCGGAACGAACCCCTCGAGCTTCATCTGCTGGAAGAGGCCGAGAGCTCGCTCCGGCTGGCCGCACTGCGAGCTTCCCATGATGATCGAGTTCCAGGAGACGATGGTTTGCTGCGGGATGCTGTCGAAGAGCTGCCACGCCGAAAGGATCCTCGCGAACTTCGCGTACATGTCGAGCAGCGTATTTGTAACCGACGCTTTCAGCTGAAAACCATCACTCCTCAAGACTTTCCCGTGAAATATCCTTCCCTGTTCAAGCCAACGAGCCTCTCTCGACGACGATCCCAGGGACACGCAAGCTTTGATCGCAGCGATCAAAGTCACGGCATCCGGCTCCAGCTTTTCTCTCAGCATTCCAGCGTAAAGATCCAGAGCTTCTTCGCCATGGCCGTTTAGAGCGTATCCCATGATGAGAGCGTTCCAGGAGACGACGTTGCGGGCTCTAATCTCCTCGAAAACTCCCCGAGCAGCAACCATGGTTCCACACTTTGCGTAGAAATCCACCAGAGTGTTCTCCAAGAACACGTCCGAGTCGACGCCTCGCTGCCTGGCTCGCGAGTGAATCCGCGAGCCTCGCTCCAAAGCAAGTTTTCTTCGATCGACCTCTCTTGCGAGGCTTGAGCAAGCAGTGACAGCGGCGGCGTAAGCTCGAGCGTCGAGAAGAAGGCCACCATCGTTTTCCATCTCTTGGAAAAGTTCCAGAGCTTTCTCCGCGTCTTTCCTGTGGATGTGTCCCAAGATCATGGAAGTCCACGAGACGACGTCGCGACGGATCATCCCGTGGAAAACCACGCTCGCTTCTTCCATGCTTCCACACTTGGCGTAAAAGTTGACGAGGCTGTTCTCCAAGTTCATATCCATCGCCGTTGCTCGAGCAAAGCTGTGAAGAACTCTCCCTCGCTCCAGCCATGGTATTTTCTTGCCGCCACCTGCCTCTCTTTCTTTCCCAGCGACGTTGGCGAAGCAATTCAAAGCAGCGATCAGAGCTGGAGGCTGTGGATCGATGCCTTTGTCGATCATGCGAACGAGGAGCTGGAACACGAGCTCTCCCTCGCAGCACTGCGAGTATCCGATGATCATGGAGCTCCAAATCGCTGCGTCGCGGCAGGACCCGATGGCGGACTCAAAGATCCTGCGAGCTTCCACTGTTCTTCCAAACTTGGCCAGCATCTCTATCAGAGCTCTCGCGACGCAAGCGTCCAGATCGATCGCAGCTCTCTGGAACTGCGAGTAAACCTCCAGTCCTCGTTGATCGTCCTCCAAACTCGAGCAAGCTGTGAAGGCCCCGGCATAAGTTCGCGAAGTTGGCTTGATAGATCCTTCTTTTTCCATCCGAGAGAAGATCTCGAGGGCCAGCGCTGCTTGTCCGCTCGATGCAAACCCCTGGATGATCGAGTTCCAAGTCACCTCGTCCTTCACTTCCATCCTCTTGAAGATCTCGCGAGCTTCTTGGACCGATCCACACTTCGCGTACGCGTCAAGCAACGAGTTTCCGACGAACAAGTCGAGCTCGCAGCCACTTCTTCGCGCTTGAGCCTGGATTTTCTTCACAGAATCCACACGACGATCACTCAAGCTGGAGCAAGCCTTGATAGCAGCGACGAAAGTCCGTGAGCTCGGCATGAATCCCTCCTCTTGCATGCGATCAAACAGCTCCAACCCACTTCCACCCTGCCCGCTCTGCGCCAGTCCCAGGATCATCGAGTTCCACACCACCTCGTCTCGAGAGCTATCCATCTTCTCGAAAACTTTCGTGGCCTCGCCAATGCTTCCACACTTGATGTACATATCCACGAGCGAGCTGGCGACGAAAGTGTGTCTCTCGAGCCCGGCCTTGGTGATCTCTTCATGCAAAACTCTTCCTCGATCCAAGCTTGAAACCTTGACGAGAACTCCAAGTCCATCGATCTTGAATCCCTGTTCTTGAGCTGCCAAGCTCGAGCAGGCTTTGAGAGCCGCCACGAAAGTCCGAGAGTCCGCCGACAAGATCTTCTCCTCTCGCAAGCGCGCGAAGAGATCCAAAGCTTGCGAGCTTTCCCCGTTAACAACACACCCCATGATGATCGAGTTCCAAGAGACCAAGCTGCGATGGACCATGCTCTCGAAGATCTTCCTGGCCTCCACCAAGCTTCCACACTTGGAGTACATATCCACCAGGCTGTTTGATACGCAAATGCTGGCTGCGGCATCGCGGTTCTTGCAGCTCCAAAAGGAAGAGATATTTTTCTCCGCTGGTAAATCTCTAGAACTCTGAGAACTTTCTTCTCCGGCGTTTTGATCGCCTTGAAGCTCGGCATGGATCTTCTTTCCGGCTTGTAAATCCCTGGATACGGCGCAGGCCTTGAGAGCAGCGACGAGGATGGACACGCTTGGCCTTAGCTTACCTTGTCGTGCTTTCTCATAGTTTCTGAGAGCTTCCTTGGCATCGAATACCGGCCGCTTACCTCTTGGCTGTGCCACATTCCTGTTTCTATCGCTTTCGATCGCGCTACCCTAAGCGACCTGTTTTAGGGTTCTTCCGCAATATAGGGGTTTATAGCTTGCCCTTGAGAGAATGAGCATTGTGAAAGAAGTATCGCTTGCCCCTGGAAAGATTTGCAAATCCTTCTTGTGTTCCTTCCTCAATTCATGGGTGTAGCTTTAGTGCTCATCATCGGTCGGTCTCGAGCGTTCGATTTATGCTAAGAGTTGTGAGTGCCCTTTTGATTTCAGCGCATACTAACACCGATCGCTGCTTCAGTTGCTGCAAACTGGATTGGACAGCCGGCAATAGATTCCTTCCTCCAAAAGCTGCCGGAAAGGATTTGCATCCACTGTGCGAGAGGAACAAAAACTTTGGAAGTTCAAGCGTAGAGGACGATGGCCTGTAGCAGTGTTGGCGTTGTTGGTAGCGTTCTGTGGTGGCGGTGGGGCTGTCAAGTTACACACAGGCTTTAGCGTTAAGGTGACACAGCAATTGGATCACTCTCAGAGATTGAGAATGCGACACACAAGTCTTGGCAGTGAGCGTGCTTCAAATGCTTTGCGCCACCATTACGTGGATCGCTTGCGCTGGATCTCCTCGGATCTCCAACAAACTCTAGAACTTGTCGCTTACCACTTCATGAATTATTGCTTGCATCAAATAAAAGAGTGGCTTTACTATTTCTTCTCTCTCTAAAAGCTATGGGCGCTGGGTGCTGGGCTCCTAGACGATGTGGTATGGTGAGGAGCGAAGTGGGGCTATGGCGGCGAAGCGTTTTTCTCTCAGTGAAGATTTGGATGTCTTGTGTTGATGGATATGGCGTCATTGTGCTCCTATGGGTACCTCTCTTTAGCGAGAAGCTGGAAAGCGCATCTCTTGACGGATGGGTATGGCGATTTCTCTCGGTGAGGAGCTGGATACGCGTTGTGTGGGGAGTCCGCACAAGGAAAATTTCAAATCGCCAATGAACCGGCGTCGATTACCAGCAACGAGTGCAGCCCTATCACAGCCAATACTAGCCACCACCTCAAGTCACAGGGTTGGCCATGGTAGGGTAGCGTTTACAAACACGATTGCAAGAGTGTCACAAAGCCATTAACTTCTCCTCAGGGGCATCCTCATCCCGCCACCCCAGGCATGCCACTACAAACCATGACCCCAAACTCCATTGAACATTCCATGACCAGCGCCACTCCACCACTGCTACAAGAACATTGCACAACTTTCATCATCAACCCTCAGCCTATGCAAGCTACACCATTGAGCATTTTTGTGACCACTTTTGCAGAACTTTTCACATCTGCTAGAAAACGATTGCTCCATCCACAATCACTACATGAGAATGAGCATCTCGGAGCACTCATATCTGCTGGTATGTGAAGCCTTACCTAGGGAACAACGGCTTCACTCACTTTGGACGAGCGGATTCGTGAGACATCACCAATCTCACTTACTAAACCTGTAACATGTACTGATAGTTCTTGAATTGCTCCACAAAGCCAAGCATACTGGACTATACATGTCTTGGTCTTTCAAGTGTTGCAAACTCTGTCTTGGACTTTTCTCTTTGCTGCATCCACCAGTAAAGCTCAACCTTTGCAACATTGTAAACTTGTTGTAAGTCTTGGTACTGAAGAGTGGCTTGAATAGAGTGGTCGAGGAGGATCCCCACACCACAACCACTTCAGTGTCATATTGGGAAGAGCTGAACTGGGACAACAAAGCTAGTGAGGCTTCACTAGCTCTCCATTGGGACTATGTGGTCCTAGGAACTATATGCGAGTGGTTAAAAGCCCTCCATGACAACCAATCTTTACATACTCAATGGGATTCACATGCCAAACATGTGAATGATCGAAGCAGGAATAGAATATCATCTCATCTGCTGGTCGGACGAGAATATATAGTGTAGATCACAGACATCGACCTTTGAACCACCCCAATCGTTGCACAATTGCAGCCATAGCGAGACGATAATGAGGACGCAACCTGAGCAGCAGCCAAGCCACCGAACCCAAGAGAATGAATCAGCTGGAATAACCTCACGGATGCTCTCCATGGTGGGGACCATGCCAAGAAGCCCCATCTCGAAGGTCGGCTCGCCAAAACACCTAACCACCACCTGGATCATCTCAAAGACTTGGGGCCCTGGACATCACCCCGACAGTGAGGCACAGGATCTTTCAAAACATCAACTGTATGTCAAAATCGCTGTGCTGCCACTCGAGACTGGATACCTGGCTTCCATAGTCAGCATGTAGCCTTGCTGATTTCTTGTGCACCATAGTAGAGAGGCTGCAGCATCTAATCCCAAGTCCATATGCTAAGAGCAGAGTCTTCTCAAGGTTTACTGTCCATTGCATTCAGTTGACATCTGAACCAACCGTGAAACTCTGGGACCATATCCCAATATCCTAAATTCAGGCACTGTGGACAATTCCATCCCTAGATATGCTTTTTTTCCAGATGCCTGGATTGGTTGCTTTGAAAGGTAGACTCTGCCCGACTGGGGCTCCAGGCAATGCACCTACTAGCCTGATACCATGGTTGGAGCGTCAATTGCCCCTCTCTCCCCTTTCCATGGATTTCTCTCCAACGCCACGCATGCAGCGCTCACGGCATATCTATCTCATGCCAACTGCCAGAGTTCCCATTTCAGTAAGCAGGGGGCACAAGACTTCCAGCCGTGGTCCCATGCCCCACTGGCGCTTCTTCAACTTCTAATGCTATGACACGTAAAGCGTGCGTAAGAAGTTCTAGACCACATCTCACGTTCCATTATATCTCACGTTCTCACGTTCTCACGCTCATCTCGCGTTCCATTATATAATGCCCGTGCTTAAGGGGTCTTACAATTGACAGGGATTGACAGCGTAGTGTGCTTTTACTGGCACGGTAGTCAAGATAAGTATAAGATTAATTATAAGATTAACCATATTATATTACAATATATTATTATGATTATATGCCAAAGGAATTTAAATATGTAATTACTATAAGAAAATAATTCGGGATTGTCAACTTGATCACTCTTGCTGAGAGCATGCTTTACGCAGCGGCCTTCGTTACTGCTGGCCCGCAAAATTTTGGTGGAGTCCCAGTTTTCTTTCGATTCCGTGTATATAAGCAGCAAATCCAAAACACCAAGCCATCATCTTCTCTTATTCTCTCTCGATTCCCATCCATGGCTTTTGCAAGGTCCGTTCTGCTCATGCTCCTGGTGCTCGCCATGGTTGCGACACTTGCTCCCGCGCAGCCGTGCTCCCTACGCGATCCCGAGGGCATTCTGAGGTGCATCAGAAGAGCTATGGGCGATCCAACCAAAATCGCAGAGTGCTGCAGTCACTTGCTGCCCATTTGCGTTTGCAAACCCGCGGTGAAACAACTCTTCCCTCAGTGCTGCCCTTGAGCTTCAACGTTCAAAGGTTATAATCTTTCTCTTTTTTCTTCTCACGCTTCTCTCATGATTTGTTTGCTCCAGGGAAAAGGAGCGCAGCTGCAATGCAAGTATATGTACTCCTGGGGACTCGAAATGAAGCAATAATAATCTATATCAATGTTCTTATTGATTATGTTTGTAACTTAGAAATGCAACAACAACGCTTAAACTTGCACTTTTGCGTTTATAAGTCTGCAACAGCATGCCGCTCTCGCAATCCATCATGGCCAAAATGGAGAAGTCATCTGGCAAGTGCTGCACCGCGAGTCTGCCTCCGCAAGAATGACTGTTTTGTTCATTCTAGAAAAATGCAAGAGTGTGCAAGACGGTTGACGGCTGAGGGCCTTCCGGAATAGCTCCTCTTCATCACGTAGTCTAAACGCTCACTCTTTATTTGCTTCGCTGCTTTGGCTTACAACACTGCCTGCTGATTCTCACTTTGACGAGTCTTCTTTGATCCGACTATCAGGTCTCGCCTTCCAGCACTTCCACTGCCTTCTCTCTTTCTCTACTAAGGGAGAGAAAAAATGAAAGCGGAGAGCGAGAAGCCTGTCATTCACATGTAAAGCTCGCATGAATGCCTTACCATACACATATCTTACGGGGATTGAGAGCTCTGACACTATCTGTAGCAGTGACTGTGCGTTGTGACCATCTTATTTAGTCACGAGTTTATTCTCCGTGACCACCGTGCAAACAAGGTTGGCATACTAATTACGTGCCAAAAGAAGCAGCCAACATTCTACCATCCAGATCTTGCTTATTCGATCCAGATCCTTAAGATTGAAACCTGGATCACTTTGCTGAGAGCATGCTTTTCTCAGCAGCCTTCCACACAAGCTTGGGTTCCCAACATAGCTCGAGTTGAGGAATGTGCTGAACTGGCCACCCCCGCTCATTAAATGACAGGTTGAGTGATGACAAAGTGTTCACCTCTTCAAACTCCATTGGAATCTCTCCGTACAAGCAATTCATCTGCGGAGTCTTCTGGGGAGCCTATATGATAGATGTTGTGGTGTGACAAGTTGAGATATCGAATGCTGATTAACCCTCCAAGGCTTGGTGGAACCTCTCCACTTGAGTTAGATGACAAGTCCAGCAGAGTAGTCGTCCAAAAAACATATTCCTAGCCCATATTCTCTCGTCCTTTGATTTGCAGAAAGTCTTGGTGATGATCCCCATATCCCCATCATGTTAGTGGGGACTACCAATAGGTATTTGTACCAGTGAGCAATTGCCAAGAGAATCTGGTATAGTACTGTTGAGCATTCCAAGCTTAACTGGAATTTCTCCATGACTATTGTTGTTGGAGAGACTAAGCACTTGAAGGGTTTTCAAGTGTCCAAACTCCTTTGGAATGTCTATTGTTTAGATTCATGTCCTTGAGCTTCAACAGCTTTCTCATTATTTCAATTGGAATACCGCCAATAAATTCCCTTTTGAATGCCATTCTTAGAGAGGTTAGTGACCTAGAGAAGAAGTTTATCCAAAGAACTTGCTAATAGAAATAGACAAAGAAGCTAATTATTAAACGTAGCGATCGGTTTTGTTCTTTTTGCAAGGGTGGTGGCAATGATTCTAAGAACAAAGTAGCTTGGAAGGGCCTTTCTTGGGGAATGGTAATTCTTCTTCACCAAGTTACGCTTGAGAACTTGGCCAGGATTTCAATGCTTTCTTGGCATTGTCTTGCCTTCTCTTTTTTACTACAATTGAGCGTGATCGTGGCAAGTGATCCAACTGATTGATTAATGTGATTCTTTTTTCTCTTCTCTCGAGCTCGACCTAACTAGCAACGTGAATTGGGAGTGAACCATTCAGAGAATTTACCCCACTTTTTCTAAGGGTTTCCGCTTGTAAGGGTGTGCTCAGCTTTTCTTCATTTCCATTGAGCAAGGTAAGTACTTGATCCAGCAAGTTATGGTATGGTCCTCTCAATTTTTTTTCTCTTCAGTTGCTAGAACTTTCCAGCCGATAAGCGCTCGCATGAATGGCTTCCTTCATACACTCATACCATTATGGCGGCCATGTTCTGAGATACATGATTGCAAGCTCCGGGACAAAATCGGGTTTTTGTGGGTTTAGGGTTTAGGGCAAGGATGCAAGGCGCGGCAGTGTCGCCGGCGTCATCGTCTTCCTCGTCACAGCATCCCCTGTCGCGATTGAGCTTCGGCACAGCGGGCCACGCGCGCCTTGGATTTGCTCGCCAGAGATTTCCTTTCGGTACCAGTTTGTGTGTTTCTTCCGGCGATCAGGGAAATGCCGAGGATCTGGCCGCGGGATCAAACAGCAACAACGGCGTCCTCGTGCCGATGGAAGACCGCTCCGCCCCCGGGGTAGGAAAAAATTCTCGAAAAGTTTTTCTTTGATGCTGATTGGGATTTTTTAGGTGCCAGAGAATGCAAGCGAGCATTCTTCCAAGCTGACTTCCACTGCCGGTCTTTTTCGGACACCAATCTCTGGCGGAGTAGAGAGCGCTACTTCGTCTCACGGTTTGCCAAAGCCTGCTCTTGCCGTGAGGAACCTTATGGAACAGGCAATACCTCTTTTTTCTTTTTCCTTGCTTTCTTTTTGACTTGGAGATGAAAGAACTTTCTAGGCTCGATATGCTCATCTTTGTACGACTATGTCACGGATGCATCACCGCCGCTCGGGCTATCCGTTTGGAACTTTGGTGGACTTTGCTGCCGATGCTCACGGACGTAAGTAGATCAAACTGGTTGCTTTCTATTGACTTGTGAAATTGCAGATCCAGTTTTCTCTCTTTCGCCTTTGGAGATACACACCAGGAATTTGCTTGTTGATCCTCGGTGCACGCTCGTTGTTCAGGTTTTCAGTCGCGGGAGGAAAGAATAAGTTTTTCTAACGAAGTTTTTTATTTATTTTGTAGGTCCCTGGATTTAGTGGCCTTGGGAACGCTAGAGCTACACTTTTCGGAGATGTATATCCTCTTCCATCTGAGAAACAGGTACACCTTATCGTCAAGATTGATGTCAATCTTCCTTGTTGTTTTCAGGAGTGGGCGCATAAACAATACACGAAAAAGCATCAGCAGGGAGCCTCACACCAGTGGGGCAACTTTTATTACTATCAAATGGAGAGAATCAGGTACGGGAAAGGCGAGTTGAATTTTGTAGGAGAAGATAAAACTCGATTTTGGTGGTCCAGTGACATCCTTTTCGTGGGAGGATTTGGCACTGTAGCCTGGGTAGGCGTGGATGAATACGAATCTGTGCAGCCCGATGTCATAGCTGCTGATGGCGATGAAGATACACTCAAGGTAGCATTGACTGCTAGAATTTTTTTTATGTAGTTTCATCTCTTGACACGACTGCAGGCCTTGAATGCGATCTTCTCGAGACCACTCAAGGAAATGCTCGCCGCCGAGACCCAGACGGAAGTGGACGAGGCAGCGGTGATATCGATCGACAGCAGAGGCATAGATATCCGGGTCCGCCAAGGATCCAAGGTACTATTCTTCGCCTTTTCTTCTTTTTCTTTTTCGTGTTTCTTGTCGTGGGTGTATTATTTCAAGCTTGGCAAAGTTTCCTAAGTTTCCCCAGCCCCTTATGCAGTTCAATGTGCAGAGGTTACCATTCGACGGTGGTCATCCGGTGGAAACTCTGGACGAGGCCAAGGCAGCTCTTTCCAAGCTCATCAAGAAACGCTCCAGAAAGCACACGGCGAGCTAGAAGCAGCGTTTGTATCTACTGTACACTGATAACGAAGAAAAACAAAACACCAGGTAAGTGTTTCCTTCTTCCTTTGCGAAGCTGGAAAGTTTTCCAGATTCCAGAGACTTGTAAACGTAGAAGTCGAGCAAGAAGCTTCTTTTCTGGTGGTGACCACCAAAGAAGTGTTTTCTCTTCGAGGAGAGATGTGATTTTGATCATAGACAATGAAAGTTCTATCTTCCAGCCTTCTTTTTGCCCGCTACAGCACCTTTCTTCTTTCCTTTGCGCGTTCTTGCGTTGTTCTTGGTTCTCTGGCCCCTCACGGGCAATCCGGCCTGGTGTCTCTTACCCCGGTAGCACTGGATCTCGATCAAGTGATTGATCGCGAGCTGGTTAAATCTCCTCTAGAAAAGAAAAGAAAAGAGAACGTTTGAGAGAAAGGAAGATTTCTGATAGAAAATGGAACTTTGCGTTACCAGATCGCCCTCGATCATGTATTTGCCGAGCTCGTCACGGATTTTGGTGAGCTCCGCGTCGGAGAGATCCTTGGTTCGCTTGTTGTCCATGGCGCAGTCGAGAAGGATCTGGCGCGCGGTCGTCTGCCCCACGCCGTGGATGTACTGCAGCGACGACTCGATGCGCTTGTTGTTTGGGATCTCCACACCGCCAACGCGAGCGCATCGAATGCTCAGGCCCTTGGCAATCTATAATATACGAGCTGAATCCATGGCTCTTTCCAGATGATTTTAAGGCGAATGGCTTTTGCTAACCTTGAATGTTGGAGGTGAGGAGCGGCGAGACACTGTTCTTGAGAAACTCCATTGCTCAATCGGTGTTCTCACTGAGCAGGATGTCGCCACTGCCATAGCCATGCCTTCTGCCCTAATTTTATCCGCTAGAATCTAGAATATGCTATAATTAAATCAAAAGTTAACTCGAAGTAATAAATTAGTTGATTTGTTTTAATTAATCATCAAAGCTTGAGTAGCTCAGTTGGCCAGAGCGTGTGGCTGTTAACCACAAGGTCAGAGGTTCAACCCCTCTCTCAAGCGAATTTATAAAATAAAATACATCAAATATTTAGCTTAAATTTTTAATTAAATAACAAAGCTTGAGTAGCTCAGTTATCTATAATTATATATTAACCTCTAATTAATAAATAAAGCTTGAGTAGCTCAGTTGGTCAGAGCGTGTGGCTGTTAACCACAAGGTCAAAGGTTCGAAACCTCTCTCAAGCGAAGTTTATAACTTTTTTTAAATTTTAAATTTTAAATTTAATTTATACGCTTTAATTTTAACTAAAGGCTGGCGATAGGCTCGAGAAAATTTCTAATTTCTAGTTAGTGACCATGGAGCTACTAGGGCAGCGCAGTTGGGAATGGCAGATCGAGTAGCGGTGGAAGCGTCGAGGCTCCGCGGTAAGGTCGCGATTGTGACCGCGTCCACGCAGGGGATCGGATTTGGCATTGCTCGAAGGCTAGGATTGGAAGGCGCCTCGGTTGTTGTCTCCTCGCGCAAGCAGGTAACAAAAGGAATTTTTTGAGAGAATAGGTGTGCGTTTTGGGCGAAATTGGAGCTGACCGCTTTCAGAAAAATGTGGACGAAGCTGTTGCGTCTTTAAAGTCGCTTGGGATCGATGCCTTCGGAGTTGTGTGCCATGTTTCCGACGCTTCCCAGAGGCAGAATTTGATGCAAAAGACTGTCGATGTAAGTCTGACTTCTTCTCTCCTTGAAAAGCTTAGTTTTTTTTTTTTTTCCTTGTGCCTTGCAGAAATATGGTCGCATCGACATTCTCGTTTCCAATGCTGCCTCAAATCCGTCAGTGGACACTCTGGTGGAGATCTCCGACAAGGCTCTCGATAAACTCTGGGAAGTTAATGTCAAGGCCACTGTGCAAGTCATTCAGGTACAATCCAGCAGCTTAGTTTCGATCAAACTCTTTAAACTCCTTTTCTTTTGGCCTCTTTGGACAGGCGGCGGCGCCTCATCTATCAGAGGGCTCATCAATTGTGTTGATCTCCTCCATAGCCGGATATAATCCCTCCGCTGGCCTCGCCATGTATAGCGTCGCGAAAACAGCGTTGCTCGGACTGACAAAGGTCTGAATGTTTTCTTTTCTGTTCTCTCTGTTGGTTTTAAAGTTGTTCTCTCTTTCCAGGCGCTGGCGATGGAACTCGCTCCAAAAACTCGAGTGAACGGCGTCGCGCCGGGATTTGTGCCCACGCACTTCGCGAGCTACCTCACAGAGAACGAAGCTATCGTAAGTTCTTGGTTTCTCTTCTCGATGATCGCGTTGTCTTCGTCCATATCCTCGTTCTTTCGCAGAGATCAGGCATCGAGTCCCAGACGCTGCTGAAAAGACTCGGAACAGTGGACGACATGGGGGCGGCGGTAGCGTTTCTAGTCTCGAGTGACGCATCATACATCACTGGCGAGACCATTGTTGTAGCTGGAGGGATCCAAAGTAGACTATGAGACTTTGTGCCCTGGATCCACAGTAGTCTTGCTACAAATCGGATCCCATGGTAACTTAAAACGCTCCAAATGCCACAGCCAGCCTCTCGCTGTGGGGTTTCCACCTTCCCTCTGATCAACTAGCCTTGAAAATGTAGCCAACAATCGTCATTCTCATTTCCTCCCGTGTGACTTCCATCATCAACTAAAACGTATGATAAGAATTTTCACTTGGTCCAGACTTGTGGGGATTCTTCTCTCCAGGTACAGTCTTTCAAGGTTGATGATTTGGCACGAACTAGATCATCATCTCCCTTGCATTTTCCAAGCTTCTTAACACACAGTCCGTACGAGTTTTGGTTTTGGCGGGAATATAAAACCCTGGACTTTAGGGCAGAACGGTATAGACCGTCTGGTGTAGCCTCCAGATCCTGGACTTCACCTCCCACATTCTCCTTGTACGAGATTACCTCACGATTTCTACAAGCGGCTTGCTTCTTCTTACCGGACTGCGTGTTCCGCGTCATCGCTCTCGCTAGAGCGCTGGGCGCGGCGCCGACGATCCGATGGCGCTGGCAGCTAGCCCTAAAAGCCTAAGCCTCAAACTCGATCGGGCTAGGGATGCAGCGCTGTGCATCATTTTAGTCAAGGTAAGTTACTTGCTAAGTATTTCATCACTTTTACAAGTTTATTACAGATGGCCGTTTTGGCTATGTGTTTATCCTGTTGTTGCATCAAGTAATGCCAAAAACTTACTATACGTCGGTAAGGAAGTCATTGGGTAACATCTTCATTGGCAAGTAAGAACTTGTTCTAGTGACTATCTCAAACTTATTCTGGATTTAGCATGTGGAGCATATTGAAGATGACGGATCTGCTCACATTTGCGAAGGATGAAATACAAAACTGTCGTGCCAAACATCAAACCACTCTGCAGAACTTGATCAGGCAGGCATTTATGTATGTGTGTGCCGAGGAGGAGAGAAAGAAAAGTTGTTTTTGTTCTCAGTATAGTGCTGTATTTAATTGAAGGTTTTGCAGAGCTTCCTGTCGACTCCAGTCCTCCTGTCGATGCCTCTAGCTCTGCAGATCTTCATAGCAGTTCTATGGGGTATATATATTCCTTTATGCGAGTATTTGAAGCTTGTTTTAAATTTTCTTTCTGTTTCTATAGGTTAATCGGCCTGGCCCACTTGCGGCAAATCCCTCATTTTTTGAGTATATTAAGCATGTTTTATTTTCTTTTATGCATTTTTTGTGTATAGAAGTATTTCTTATCTTTGTTTTCTGTTTCTGTATCAAGGAAGATCAAATGGCAATTGTCACCTGTAACCCATCCTCCTTTCTTGGGTATATTGCTGTTAGTTAACTATTTTTATTTTCTTTTATGCATTTTTCTATGTTTATATGATTATTCTAAACTTTTCAAGCTAATAAAAAAGAGTGCACTTGGATTCTATAAATCAATTAATTAATTTTTTTTAATTGATTTTTTCAAATTCTGAAAAGAAAGTAAGCTTAATAGAAATTTTTGTGATCTTTGCTTTTTGTTTCTACATCAGTAGGATCTAGCTACAACTGTTTTTCCCGGCCCATCTTTAATGGATTCCTCCATTCTTGGGTATATTGAGCATGTTTTGTTTACTTTTATGCATTTTGTTATGTATAAATTTTTTTTTTATCTTTGCTTTTTATTTTTGTATTAGGGAAGATCAATGAGTAATCATTTTAACGATGGATCTTTCTTTTCTCAGGTATATTTAACATACTTTAATTTTTTTTGTGCATTTAGAAATTTTTCTGATTTTTTATTTGTTTCTTTATTAAGGGGGATTAAGTTTTGTCTGGCTCATTCGTGTCTTAGGCAATTGATAAAAACATTATTAATAGTGTGAACATTGGGTAAACAAGTGTTATTTTCTTTTCTTTATAGGTACTTTATTTATTCTCTTCTGAACATAAGTTGTTGCATGAAAATAATAATCTTCATGATCATTTTAAATTGGAATTTCATGAGTGAATAGATGTTAATGTAAATCAATGTTATTGATTTTCCATTAGTTGCTGACCTTTTTGTGCAAGAAATCAAGTTCAAGAGAAAAAACATAGTTTTGTGGATAATAGTAAATTTAATGAAGATGCTTATGAAATAATAGGTTTACAAATCTTGTTAATTTATAAAGAAATTTAAATTTTTAGTTACTGATTTTAAAAACTTATATACTTATATACTTATTTTTAAAATTAATAAGTGAATCTTAAATTAATAACTTATTATTTATATTGATAAAAATTTATAATTAAAAAATATTAATAACTTAACAAATCCAACATGTATGTTTAATCCTGATAAATTGTAAATTGGACACTTGAATCCAAGAATTAAAAAAAAAAACAACACACTTTGAGTTTCCATCCATATATAAAAAAATTTATTAAAAAATTAGTAATTATTTAATAGTAATAACATTATTATAATAAATTATTTAATCTCTAATTTAATACTACTAAAAACTTGGTGAGTTAGTCTTTCTAAATTTGTATTTATAGTTTTTACACTAAATAAATTAAAAATTATTTATATATTACAACTATTTAGAAAATATTAAAAATACACAACACTTAAAAAATGAGTTTATGATAAAACAGTTTAAAACACATAATATTTTGTTGAAAGTGTTAAGATATGATTGAAAACTATACTAATTTTATAAATTATTTTATTCTTCACTAATTTTTCTTTACAAAATGATTAACAACAATATTAGATTTAATTAATTAAGTTTCTATTGGTTAAAACCATAAGGTCCTTTCTCAACTAACATACATTTAAATTAAATTGTTCTAATAATTTTTCTAATTTACTAGTTATAGTTAAACATTACTCAAATTTGGCATTGCAGAAAGGCTAGGATTGGGAGGCACCTCGGTTGTTGTATTCGCACAAGCAGGTAACAAAAGGAAAATTTCAAGAGAATTGGGGATCAGTTCCTTGTAGGAGTTGAGGGCTATCGTTTTTTTAGAAAAATGTGGATGAAGCTGTTGCAAAGTCGCTTGGGTTGATGCCTTCGCCATGTTTCCGATGCTGCCCAAAGGCAAAATTTGATGCAAAAGACTGTCAATGTAACTCTGACTCTCCTTGAAAAGCTTTTTTTTTTTTTTTTTCTTGTGCCTTGCAGAAATATGGTCGCATCGATAGTCTCGTTTCCAAAGCTGCCTCAAATCCATCAGTGGACACTCTGGTGGAGATCTCCGACAAGGCTCTCGATAAACTCTTGGGAAGTTAATATCAAGGCCACTGTGCAAGCCATTCAGGTACAATCTAGCAAACTTAGTTTCGATCAAACTCTTTTAACTCCTTTTCTTTTGGCCTCTTTGGATAGGCCGCGGTACCTCCCGGGATTTGTGCCTGCCCACGCACTTCGCGAGCTACCTCACAGAGAACGGAGCTATCGTAAGTTTTTGGTTTCTCTTCTCAATAATCGCGTTGTCTTCGTCCATCTTCTCGTTATTTCGCAGAGATCAAACATTGAGTCCCAGACGCTACTGAAAAGACTCGGAACAGTGGACGACATGGAATCCCTCCAGCTACGACAATCGTCTCGCCAGTGATGTCACTCGAGACTAGAAACGCTACCGCCGCCCGCAGTAGACTATGAGACTATGAGAGAGATTGGCAAAAGCAGGACACTTAGAAGTGGTCTCACAAGTATTTATAAACATTTTTACAGACGTTTCTTCTAAAGTTATTTTGATTTGAAACAATCATGATTATTCAAAGAAAAAAAAACTACACAGCACATTATAGAACCTTTACAATTTGATAAGATGTGGACAACAACGTTAGGTGCCATGTCCACCAATAGAACTAAATTCAAGTGTTTGTATCCACCCTTCACACAACACACATAAAAGGTGGACCGTCCACGTGTCAGCATCCGGAGGTACATCGCCATCAACGCCGACGCTAGACCGACAAAGAGAAAATATGCGCGCTAGTATTTCGGCTTGGCTTCTTCTTTCGCGCTTGACTTGCTACCTCGGAATCACTGTGCTACCCCTGAAACTCAAACTTTCCACACTTTCTAGAAGAGAGAGAGCTCCTCTTTTTTTTTTTGTTCGATGCTTACGGGATTTGGCAGAGAAACCCACGCGTCGAAGTCGCAATGGCGAATTCCGGACGATCTGCCGACGATTTTCCAGTGTCTTAATTCCAAAAAGCGGAGCTCTGCTGAGTAGAAAAAGCTTACCACTGTCGCTTTGTTGCATTGCTGCGATTTCAATGGCTCTCGTCGCGCTGCGCGAGGAGATGTTGATCGGTCATTAAAGAGTCTCCTTGCTCGGGTTTCCTCTTCCCAGTGAGTGAGTGAGCTCGCAGAAAATGAGGACCAAGTTTGGTTTTGCGCTGGGATTCAGTCATCCCGTTCTCCAAGTTGTCCTTCTCCTGTTCACGACGATTATCAGTAGCAGCAGCAGTGAATCCACTCTACCTCAGATTTATGGCGATGTAGCTCCAGCTCCAGCTCCAGCAGGTACTTTTTTCGCGACCGATCCATCGGAAGTTGCTGTTTTGAGAGCCATTCCTGCGATTTCCTGGGCCGCGGCCGCTGCCAATGATCCCTGCTCGCCACCCTCGACTTGGCCGGGAGTAACCTGCGTGCTCCGAAACCAGTCGTCGCTTCCAGCTGCTTATCACGTCTCCGGCATTGAACTCTCCCGTGACACTCCACAGGCACTGTCCATTCTCCTGTCCGTCGCGTCGCAGCTCGGGTACTTGCAAAGCCTCCGAGTCACCAGAACCACCTCGTCGTCGCCTTCGTTTTCCATCTCCATCCCCGAATCCATCGGACAAGTCCAGCAGCTCCGGCATCTCGACCTCAGTGAGAACGGGCTCCATCTCGGTGGCCCGATACCAGGCCAGCTAGGTAGCCTCTCCAAGCTCAGGCTCCTCGGGCTCGCAGGAAATCAGCTCACGGGCTCCATCCCGGAAGAGCTTTGCACAATCTCGTCGCTCAAGTATCTAGACTTGAGTAGAAACCAGCTCCAGGGACCGGTTCCAGCCTGCCTCGGGAATTCTTCCAGTCTGAGAGTGCTCGACCTCGGATCAAACCGGCTACGGAGCCGGATACCGGCTGAGCTCGGACAACTTTCCAGCCTGCTCTATCTGAACTTGGAGAACAACCGCCTTCAAGGTGAAGTTCCGGAGTCGCTCGGGTCTCTCAGGTCGTTGCAAACTCTTCGATGCGGTAGAAACATGCTCGAGGGAGCCCTTCCCAGGCAGCTCGGACAGGCTCGGAGTTTACAGGTGCTGGATTTCTCGCTCAACTCCGATATCGCTGGAAGCATTCCTGCCTCACTGGGTAGCTTGAGTGACATCGTTGAGCTTTCCTTGTTCTCCATGGGATTGAACGGAACCATTCCCAGCGAACTCGGTAAGCTCCGCAACTTGTCAGCGCTTCGGCTCCATTCCAACTCCATCTCTGGCTCCATTCCCGGCTCGTTCTCGGAGCTTTCCAGTCTTAAAGTCCTCCAGCTCCAGGGGAATCAGCTCTCGGGATCACTTCCAAGGTCTGTTTTCAAGCGGCTCTCTGGTTTGCAAGGACTGTACCTCCAGATCAACTCCTTCACAGGTGTTTTGCCGGTGGAAATAACTCGGATGCCCAATCTGTCCGTCCTCAACCTCGGTTTCAACCAGCTGGATGGAGAGCTGCCTGAAACGCTCGGAAGCATGCCCAGTCTCGAGTGGCTGCTGCTCGGGAGAAATCGATTTTCCGGTCAAATTCCAGCCTCACTCGGCGAACTTCGCAAGCTCCGGCTCCTGGATCTCTCCAACAACTTGCTTGTCGGCTCAGTGCCTGCGAGCATCCTCGACGCCGCCAGCATCGAGAAAAACCTCCACTTCAACCAGCTGAATTCCACCGGCTTGCTCCACAACCTGTGCTTGCAGCCGCCGTGCTCGCAGCAGCAGGATCATTCGCCAGACATCACCTCCAACAGAATCTCTGACTCGTTCGCGATCAACGCAGGCGGTCCCGAGCACATCTTGACGAGCCGCCACCTTTTTTTCCAGGCCGATGACGTCTTTGCGAATACCTCAGTGGGATACTTTGTCGGGAATCCGACCTGTTCAGCGAGCTCTGCTTCCTGGGCCATCAGCCTCTCGGGTTCCACCGCCTCCTCACGGATCATCTCGACGAATTCCTCCACCAGTGGGATTGACTCGAGGTTCGTGGAAGCCACCCAGGAACTTTACACGACTGCTCGAGTAGGCGGCGACTCCATCGCCTACTATGGACGATGCCTGAAGCCCGGGAGCTATGCCGTCGAGCTCCACTTCATCGAGCTCGAAAACTACACTGTAGATTCCCCCGGAAGACGTGTCTTCGACGTGTTTCTCCAAGAGCAGCGTGTGCACGAGAAGCTGGACGTCTTCCGCGTCGCTGGAGGTCCCTTCGTTCCTCTCGTTCTGAAGTTCCAAGCTCGAGTTGGCGAAGAGTCCTCAACTTTGAAGCTGGAGCTACGAGGAACCGGGAGCTGGAACACTAGCGGCGCTGCTGGATCATACCACGGACCAACCATCTCGGCTATCCGAGTCTACGCGAACACCACGAGCTCCTTGGGCATTTCGGGTAACACATCCTCCTCTAGAATGGCTCGCGAGCTCTGGGCCATCCTTGGAACGAGTATAGGAATCCTCGCCATCGTCTGTATCACTCTCTTCGTCGGCCTGGCTTGCTGGCTGAGAAGAGCCGAGAAGAAAGCTCGGATGATCTCCGAGGAAGAACATACCGGAGGCGAGCATTCGATCTCCATCGACCATATCCATCAGAGCTTGAGCAACTCCAACGCTGCCGCTCTCGCCACTTTCGAGTTCTCGGAGCTGGAAGAAGCCACGCAGAGGTTTAGCTCGGACAATCTTCTCGGGCAAGGAGCATATGGAAGAGTCTACAAGGGGTTCTTACCGGATGGGAAGATCGTGGCGATCAAGCAGCTCGTCCATCGTACCCCGACGTGCCAGCGCTGGTTCTACCACGAGCTCCAAGTGATCAGCTCCGTGCGCCACCGGAATCTCGTGCCTCTCATCGGCTGCTGCATCGATCGAGGGTTTCCACTCCTCGTCTGCGAATTCATGCCCAACGGGAGCCTCCAGGCCGCGCTCTTCGGTCGGGACAGCGGCATTTTCCTCGACTGGGAGCGGCGGCTCCAAATCGCACTGGATGTGGCCCGGGGATTGCAGTACCTCCACGAAGATTGCGCCAAGGTGAGGATCATCCACCGCGATGTCAAGCCCGGAAATATCCTGCTGGACGAGGAGATGCGAGCGCACATTTCGGATTTCGGCCTCGCCAAGCTGATCGCGCACCACGAGGAGGCCGAGGTCGTGGTGAGCTCCGTGATGGGCACCCGAGGATATCTCGCCCCAGGTAGGCTGATTTACCCTGTTTTTAGGGTTCTTATTCTCTCTCTTGCAGAGTATGTGATTAATGGGCAGCTCTCGGAGAAGGTCGACGTCTACAGCTATGGGATCGTCCTCTTGGAGCTCGTCAGCGGCCGGCGAGGGATGCAATCCAGCGTGAATGTGGGCGCGCCGGAGCCTGTGTCGATCGACGAGTGGGCGTGGGAGGCTCTAGGGTCCAACAAGATCGAGGCCATGGCCGATCCGCGCTTCGGCCGCAAGTATTCCATCGATGTCATGGTGAGAATCGTCCAGATCGCGATGTGGTGCACCCAGGGCTTGCCCGAGCAGCGGCCATCCATGGGACAGGTCGTGGCGATGCTCGTTGGCCAGCTCGGGGTCCCGGAATTGCCGAGCGAGAGGATTTCCTGGGAGGAATTCAAGAGCGTGTTGGAATTTGGGGTGAAGATCGGTGGTGCTACTACGAGCAGCATTTGGGAGACGATGGATGGATCATACCAGACGGCGAACGAGGAGACTTTGCCAGATGTCCGCGAGGAGGAGGAGGTGAAGAAAGAGGATCGTTCACTCTCGATCGTTGCGCCTCCTCCAAGTGAAGAACTGGTAGCCGGCAATACTGTTTCTTCTTCCTAGAGCTCGAGACGAGAGAAGCATTAGGAATCACCATGGGAATCTTCATCCAGGAGGAAAAGTTAGCGATCGCGACAAAGTTCTTCTCGATCGAGGTGGATATCCTGCTACGAATATCGCGTCCCTAGGAGGATCACCCTCTTGTTTTTAAGCTCCTCCAAGCTCGAGGTACTAGAGGTCTTCCGCTTTTTCCTTGTTTTTCTGCTATGGCGATCGAGAAAGTGGTGCTGATAACTGGCTGTGCAGAGGGTGGAATCGGTGCGTGCTACTCCAGAGTCTTCCACTCTCGGGGATTCAAAGTTTACGCCACGGACGTCCAGCCGGTGGAGAGCATGCAAAGCTTGCGAGCTCTGGGGATCCAAACGCTTCAGCTGGATGTGACGAGCGACGAATCCGTGAGAGCTGCGGTGGATCTCATCCTCCGGAACGAGGGCAGGATCGACGTGCTTGTCAACAACGCCGGGCTCTCCACTATCGGGCCGCTAGCCGAGCTTCCACTCAAGAACATCGAGCGAGCTTTCCAAGTGAACGTCTTTGGAACTTTGAGGATGATCCAGGCAGTGGTTCCCAGCATGGCGGAGCAAAGGCAGGGCCGGATCATCAACGTCGGCAGCGTCGTCGGCTACGTCCCCACCCCCTGGGCCGGATCATACTGCGCGTCCAAGGCCAGCGTCCACGCTCTCTCGGATGTTCTTCGCGTGGAGTTGGCGCCACTGGGAATCCAGGTGGTGTTGATCGTCCCCGGCTCGGTGAAGTCCCAGCTTGGAGCCACGGCCTCGAGCTCTCTTCGATCGAGCGAGTGGAAGCTCTACAGGGATTTCTCCAGCGCCATCGCCGAGAGAGCTACCTCGTCCCAGTCCGGCAAGGCCACCGCCACGGAAGAATTCGCTGTGAGAGCCGTGGGAGCGATGCTCGAGAAGAATCCTCCCAGGCATTTCGTCTATGGATTTATGAGTGGGCTGTTCTTGGTGCTGCGATGGAGCCCATTGTGGCTGAGAGATCTCTTCATGCGATGGAGGTTTGGCCTCTTGGAGAAGAAGAAACACTGAGGAAAGACGAAAGAATCTCTCAATACAAAGAAAGAATCTCAATAGAAATTTCCCCTTAAACCCAGATCCTCTGTTTTTAGGGTTCTTATTTTAGGGTTCTATGGCGCATTCTTCCATCACGGGGAATGATCGCCTTCTTAGCACAAGCTTTAAGTAGCCCTAGAGCCCTAGGGGTTGGGGAAGCTTCCAAGGCGGAGCCCTAGGGCGCTGGGACGAGGGAAGGCGAGCCCTAGGGTTTCTGTGCGCGTCCTCTTCCGCGTCTGGCATTGGAGGCGCTGATTCGAGCGCCATCGATCTCCGGATTCCAGATTTCCGATCCCAGTGAGTAGCCAGCTGCGTCGATCGATCGCAGGACGTAATTTGTCGAGGATATTTCCAGATTATTTTGCCGGAGCTGGATCAGGATCTGACCGTATTCTTTCTTCTTTTTCCACATTCTTCACGGATCGAGGCTGGTAGCGATGGAAAATCTCGTCTCGTTGGCAGAGGCTATGCAGCAGGCTTCGTCGGTTTTGCTAGACGATAATGACGACTCCGCGCAGTATACTACTTTTCTTAACGTTGTTACTATTGGGAACACGGTACTAATATCCATAGGAATAGGTGGAGGATCTCGTGAATTAATGTTCTTCCTCTTTGTTTTGCAGGGTGCTGGAAAATCTGCTGTTCTCAATAGCATCATTGGCTACACCGTGATGGTGAGTGACGGAACAATTTGGTGCTCTTGGTTTTGCTGACGGATTTTCTTACGTAGCCAACTGGAGAAAATGGCGCTACGAGGGCTCCAATTGTTGTTGAATTGGAGCGTGACCAATCGGAAGGTAAGGGATTGGCGGTGATGACAGAAGGGCGCGCTCGACCATCGTCTGCAAGTAAGTTTCTAGTTGTTAGGCTTCTTCTTTCGTGTCGGTTCAACTTTCTTAAAATGTTCCTGTTGTGTTAGACGAGATTCGTCTCTCGTTGCAGTCTAGGATAAGTAGAATCGCGTCGAGCAGAAGCGGCCGGCCTGAGGAGATTCGGCTTCGACTACGGTCAAGTGCAGGTATGCTTTCAAATTCTTGAATAGACTGTAAGTATCTTTGCTGTGCCTTCAGCCCCACCTTTGACTTTAATTGATCTTCCTGGACTTGCATCACTCGACGACCAATTTGTAAGTAGCCTGCTACGTTTACTGGTTTCTAACTGTGTTACAGGTTAATGAATATGGAAGTCATAACGATGCTGTTCTGCTCGTTGTAGTACCTGCAACTTCCGTGCGAGATATCACGGGATCGCAAGCTTTGAAAATGGCAAGGGAGCTTGATCCTGAATGTAAGTGCTAGTGTTATTTCAATTTCAAAAATTTCTGATTTTTCTTTTTCGTTTTTGTTTTTGGGTCAGTCTCAAGGACTGTTGGTGTGATTAGCAAGGTTGATCAATCTGCCAGTGATCCTAAAAGTTTAGCTGCGGTTCAAGCAGTTCTTTCTGGCCAAGGTCCATCGGCGAGTGCAGACATAACCTGGGTTGCTTTGATTGGGCAATCTGTGTCCATAGCAGCAGCACATGCGGGTTCTGTTGGAACCGATGATTCCCTGGAGACGGCCTGGAAAGCAGAAACAGAAACTTTGAGATCCATCTTAACTGCGGCCCCGTCAACACGATTGGGGAGAGCAGCGCTAGTGGACGTGATATCTAAGCAGATTCGGAAACGGATTAGGCAAAGACTGCCAAGTCTTTTGTCTGGGTAATGCGTTCTCGTACTAGATCCTAAAGACATATTTCTTACATTTGTAACGTTTCTTAGGCTCGAGGGAAGGCAGCAGGAGGTCGAAGGGGAGTTAGTGAGGCTTGGAGAACAAATGGTTGAGACGGAAGAGGGTACCCGTGCGCTTGCTTTGGAACTTTGTAGAGAATTTGAAGACAAGTATATTTTACACATAAATAGTGGAGAGGTGAGTCTTTGAATTTTGTTCTTACGTTTTCTGAAATTCTGCTGCAGACAGGCGGCTGGAGAGTGATATCAAGTTTCGAGGGCGCGCTTCCAAACAAGTTTAAAAATTTACCACTGAATGATCTTTTCGACCTGAACTACTTGAAGAAGGTAGTTAGCAGCATGTGACGACGGGTTTTTAATGTTCTTTCTGGCTTATCACAGGTGGTTCTTGAAGCGGATGGGTATCAACCATATTTGCTCTCTCCAGAGAAAGGGCTGCGAGAGCTTGTACGAAGAGCTCTCGAACTTGCTAAAGATCCTGGAAAGCATTGCGTTGACGAGGTTTGAAATAGTAGCGCTTAGGTGAACAGACTTCACGTTTTAATTTTCAGGTGCATCACGTTTTAGTTGATATAGTCGCTGCATCTGCATCTTCGACACCAGGCTTAGGAAGATACCCGCCTTTTAAACGAGAGGTATGCTCTTGTCCGATTTTATGTGGAAGTAACCACGGTTTTGTCCTTTCAGGTTGTTGCTATTGCAAGTGCCGCCCTTGATGAGTACCGGACGCACGCCAAGAAGATGGTAGTAGACCTTGTTGACATGGAAAGGTCATATATTCCACCACAGCACTTCAATCGTCTTGCTCAAAGAAGGTAGACAGCTTTTGTGTTTGGTCTCTTCACTTTCCTTAGCGCTTTGGCTTCCAGGATTGACAGGCTTCGAAGGGAAGAAGAGACAAAAACAAGAGTTTCGAAAAAAGCACAAGATGCAGAGCAAGTACTTTTGAACAAGGTAAACAACAGAGCCTAAAATGTTTAACTTTAGCTATTGACTATGCCATAGGCAGCAGGTCCACCAGTAAATCAGACACCACCGCTGAAATCTATAAAAGGTCAAAGTGACAAAGACAAGGACAGCAAGGATGGCAAGGATGGTGCTCCATCTTCAATTGCCGGTGGCGAAATTTCTGGAGGTAATTGCTTAGGGCAATTTTTGTTTAATCTGAAATCTCTTATGCAGTTTATCTCATGAAAAAAAGTACGAACAAGTCTGGTTGGAAAAAGCGTTGGTTTGTTTTAAACGAAAAGACTAACCGGGTAAGCTACAACTGCCAGATCTTCTCCTCTCTAACAGTAATTTGGCAGCTTGGATACACCAAGACTCCTGATGAGAGACTTTTTCGCGGTGTCATCAATTTGGAGGTTGATTTTTCTTGTCGTTCTTGCCACAGAAGATAATGTCGATGAACTTACAGGAATGTGCAATCGATGACGCGTCAGAAAAGGACGACGATGACGCCCCGACAACAAAATCATCTAAAAAGGAGAGGGCGTCCGACTCTAGCATCAGTCTTGCATTCAAGATTACAAACAAAGTTCCTTACAAATCTGTCTTGAAAGGTAGGCTCTCAATCCCTTCGTATGAAGACGTTTATTCCCTTCCTCTTGCAGCACACTCTTCGGTCGTCTTGAAAGCCGAAAGTATAGCGGACAAGCAGGAATGGATTGCGAAGCTCCGGAATTGTGCGCAAGGGACTCAGCAGCCGCCTGGCAAGTCAGCCTCTATCGTGAAAGAACCTTCTCGTGCACCAGAGCCTGTGGTATTTATATTCCTTCTTTCCTGTTTCACTTCATTTCTTTTTTGTCTAAATCTTTCTCGACTCGTAGCAGGACACTGTGATCAGAAGACCAGCCGATCCGGACGAGGACCTCAGATTCATGGGCCAAGAAGTTCGCGACTACGTTGAGGCCGTGCTCAACAGCCTCTCGGCCAACATCCCAAAGGTAATGCGGCGGCAAATAACTCACTTTCACTCGTCTCACACCACTCATTCACAGGCAGTCGTGCTTTGCCAAGTCGAGAAGTCGAAAGATGCAATGCTCAACAAGCTCTACAGCTCCATCAGGCAAGCCGATGACTAGCTTTTCGAACCGATGTCGCGTGAACTTAACTCCGCGAACTACCGTGCAGTAAATTCTCGAGCGCCCAGATCCAGGAGCTTTTGCAAGAGGCCCCCGACGTAAAGCGGAGGCGTGACAAATGCCAGAGGCAATCGCAAGTGCTAAACAAGCTCACACACCAGCTAAGTATGCACGAAGCTCGCGTGTCTACTGGCAGTGGCTACACCGACACAGGTAAACCATCTCTGCATCGTCTTATCCAACAAAACTTTGGCTACCACAGATGGATATGGATCACCATCGAGTTCCAAAGGAGCCGGCGAGGAGTGGCGAGTGGCGTTTGAGTCCGCCAGCACTGCGCCACCGCCGAGCAAGTCTCTGAGCATCAACGGACGAATAGATCGACGGCTCACGGCCACGGAAGAGAACGGTGACATTGGTTCCAGCCGTCGGTCCACGCCCTCGAGGGCCGCTCCAGCGCCTCCGGGTTCTATGTATAGAGGATGATGACTAAACCGGTAAGTCTATCATCTCTTTGCTCTTGTTTCGTTCTTTCTTCCTTGTTTGTTGTTTTATATCGATTGACTGGATGGATTGTTTTTCTCAGAGTCGGGGAGTTTTGAAAATTTTTTGTGTGATTTTCCACGGATGGTTTGGTGGTGAATAACTTTCCATTTTGCTCTCCCTCTATAGGTGCCCACGCTGCCGTATTGTAAATTGGCGGCCTTGTATCGTTACAGTCAGCTCTGCCGTGTCTCGATTATATATATGGTTTCTTTGTTTCTCTAGTCGGTGTTTGCGTGGTCTTAAGTTCTTAGACGCCCGTTTGTTTGCTGCTGTTCCTCGGGCTGGGTTTGGATATGTCGGCCCACTTTAGCGTGGAGCTCGGTCATTTCTTTGATGTTCAGGAGGGCCACCTCACACATTCTATCGAGAGCCAGCATTGGAAATGGTTCTTCGATGAGAACTCCCACCTGAGACAAGGTTTGTTTCCATGTAAAGAGATCGAGATTCATCCTACCTCTTCGATGCAAAAGAGAGCTGCGGAGCTGAAAAACGTGGAGGGGATGACTAGCCAGTTGCAAGTGTCCCACAGCGCAATGGGGAGGCCCAGGTGCCACAGTATGAGAAATCTGGACGTAAGGCGAGTGTACGAGAGAGGAATGGGAGTCCGGATGAGCCTCTCGCACACGCTCACGCTCCTGTTGTAGGTGGAGATGTTTTCGTGCTGTAAGAAGCGAGAGGTGGTCACAAGCTACTACCGGAACTATTTGGGAGCTACTTACCAGAAGAACTTGCTGTGTTTCTCCCAGGCTCAAGCCATCGATGATCTGGAAGATCATCTGGAGCAAGCAATTCGGCCGGTGCTTGGCATTGAGAACAAACGCGAGATCCCGCTCGTCTAAGACTTTCCTCAACTCGGCCTCCATGTCGGATCCCATGATAAGGTGACACTGCACTTGTAAGGGGACAAAACTTCCACGTAAACTTCGAAAACAAGAGTTCCCGAGAGAAGAAAAAGACTACCAACCTTCAGAGCCAGTGGAAAAGCCACGATATACCGCATGAGATCATCGTTGTGGATCCAAGCCTCAGTCAGCCTCGCCAAATTCTTGGTGCTGCTGATCACCTCGGTCCACGTCTTCCTGGCCTCGTCATACCTCGAGTAGGACGTATCGGTCCTAAACACCAAGAGAAGAGCCAATGCCGGGGCAGTGAGCTCGTAAGGCAGCGATGGCGCGTGGAGCACTGGAAGAAACCCCGGCGCCCACCTGGATTCCACGAGAGCGTTGTAGAGCGTGACCAGCACCGAAATCCCCGTGACTGTGAAGACCGGGGGAATCAAAGAGATGATAACCCGGGAGGAGAACGTCGAGGCCATATGGCGGGCGTGGCGGAGGGAGCTCCTGTGCCGCAGCCAGTCGTTGTTGGAGTAGAAGGCGCGGCGATTGGGCATATTTTGCTCCTTCTGCGCGTCGGCCCACTCGGGAACGCTCGCAATCCACCGAAATATGTCGAGCCTGGCCTCGCGGATGCCGTCGAGCGAGAATGGATTAGCGATGATCTTGCCGCGCGGCCCTCGCCATTGCCGCGGGTCTGGAATCTGGCAGAAAACCTGGAAAACAAACCTCCGCTGCTGCCGATGGCCGCGGCCCCGCGTCACCGCCGGCGGGAAACGCTGCTCTCGATCCAATGCGCATCGATTCATCCTTGAATAGAGCTCCCGGACCGCGAATCCGTGCGCTATCGAGCCGCAAATGCGATGGACGAACTAGGTTTTTAGCTTACCGCTTAAATCCGAAAGAATATCTCATTGATGCTTGCCACGTCTACAGTAAAATGCCACGTAACGTATATACCTGGAAACCATGGAAACGAATATACCACTGCGTCTCGTCGAGTGGCTTTTCCTTAAATCCCTGTACAAGAGAGAGAACAAGCAAACGCGCCTACTACGTTGCTTTGGAGCCACCGTGCTTGGCCTGGAGAGCTTGAGCTTCCGCCAGTGAAAGCGCCATAGCCAGCATCATCTGTTCTTCAAAGCTCTCGGGCACTACACTCGCAGTTGACGCTGCCGAATCGTTCGCCGCCACTGCTCCCGGTTGTAGCAGAGCTGCCGCTCCACCGGGATTACTTCCATTCGTCCCAGTAGCAGCAGCACTGGCAGCTCCACCACCATTCCCTGGATCATCCTCCTCCGGAGCTTCCCACGGCAGTAGCGATGGCACGCTGCTACAAAAGCTTGTCCCAGCCTCGACAACCTCGGACCCCTGGTCAAGCAACGCATCAGGCGACGCTTCCACGCTCATCCCTCGACGAATCCATCTTGTTAAGTTCTCGTTATTGTTGCTGGTGTTGGTGCTGGTCATGCTGGTGTTGGTGTTGGAACCTGTTGCTCTTAGCGTTGTCAAGGCCATTGCCGCTGCCTCTACACCCGATTCCTCCACGCTCGACTTCTCTGTTTTCTCCTCGGTCAAGCTCTCGTCCGTCCCAGAAACTATTCGTATATGTTCTTCCAGGGACTGCGTCTCGCTGGAGCCGTGAGCGTTTGAGACGGCGCCACTGTCGTTGGACTCGGCGTCACTCTCCCCGGCCGGTTCCATCCCTCCGGTGTTTCCAGTCACCTGTCTCTCGGCCAGTGCGGCGATAGCGGAGGCAAAGCCTCCAGTGACGGACCCCCTCCTCCCTCGAATCTCCGACGGCTCCAGGTTCGTCAGTGGCGAGTCTTGGATCTCATACTGCAAGCCATTCAATGCCGATGGGAATGGATGCTCGGAGATGCTGTCTATTGGACGTTGGTTTCCTTGTTCCTGGGAACATAGAGCTCTGGTTAGTAAACGACAAGGTCTCATAAATTCTTCACAATCTAGCTACCTGGATAGAAAGCCAGATGGCCTCCATGACCATTATATCCTCGAGATCCAAGTCAAAATCTTCGTCTCTGCACGGCCAAAAGGTGACAAAAAGAAAAAGAATAGACGAATGAGCAACCAAAAGCGACAAACGCAAGAGTTTTTGTACCTGTTATATGGAGCATATCCTGGGCCATCACCGGACGAACTATTGCTCCAAGCAGCACCTCTTCTTCTGGCGTTGAATGACGAGGAGTTCCTGGCGGATGTCGAAGAAAACGTATTATGTCTATTTGAATCTCTTTGGCCTCCTTGTTGCCACGGAGATTCTGAATCAGACCTTGATGGATAAGTAAAAATGTCGGTTTGAGGGTAGCCGATGGCCGTGTTGCCGTCGGCATTTGTCCATGGATCCCAGCTCCTTTCCAGCGGTAAAGCTGGCTCCTGGGACCTTTCCTCTGGAGTTGTTGTTGTTTCCTGCTCGGCTTCCCCTGCTGCAACTGCAACTATCGGCGAGCCTTCTCGGGGAGCTTGTTCTTGCCTCTGCAAGCGCGCTTCCTCGTCCTGAATTTCTTGTTGTCGCCTGATTCTGATCTTTGCCTCTATAACCTTTTGCTCTTCCTGGAAACACACAACACTTCATGCTGGTGCAAGAGAAGCATTGACAAACCATACCGCTTGCTCGACACCCTTTTCCTCGAGGGTCTTCGCGCCAAGATACTCCACCGCGTAGTTGGGCGTTTTGCAAAACGGACACCTACAGCAAGTCAAGAAGAACGGCTTAGGAGAGATACTTAAAAGCACTGCTTGGAGTCATACTGTGTAGGCCTGGTAGAATTCGGAGATTTCACTTGCAAGAAACACTCTGAAAAAATCAAAGAAAGAAAGAAACCAAACACACAGAGTAAGTTGAAACGAAAAGAACCGATAGAGAAATACCTGTGCAAATGCCTTTAGTACAACACTTCGATCGATTCAGGCTTGGATAATGCTGCCACCAAGAACAAAGAAAATTAAGAAGGTACTACACATAAACCAAAAACTTACCAAAAAACAAATGGGACACTCGTCAAGATCGATGGCGGCATCCTCGGCTCCCGGGTAGCAAGGAGCAAGCTTGGCATCGATGATAAGCCTTCTCAGTTTCTTGTGATCGACGTCCTTGTGCTGATACAAGCCCTGGGGCCTCGTGTAGCGATCGTCAATCTGGGCGCGCCTTCTCGCGAATTTGTTGCCCATGACAACGGCTCGAGCACGCTATCCCGGAACTCGTCCTAGCATCTATCCCGGAATATCACAATCCATTGCTCGATTTACCCGCGGGACGAAGAAACGCATGGCGCCAATGCCCTAGCGAGGCCAGGACGCGGAAGAAGAGTAGCAATCCCTACCGAAGCTCTCCACGACGAATCGTCTTATTCTTTCTCAATCGCGGCCGAGGAGCAATCAATCCATCCATTCCGCGCAGCAGTGCCCAGTGCCGATGCGCGACGGCAGCGCTGTGGAACGATCAATCGATCGAGGGGACGATAGGGACGCCGAAACGCAACAACGCGATACAGGGAGCCCTAGAAAAAAATGGTACCACGAGCGAATATCCAACCCTTTTGCATTTCTTTCGGCGTGGACGGCCGCGATTGCGAGGATCGCAAACCGACGGCTCGATATTGCGCCCTCCACGATGTTCCAGACCATTTCAACTTCTTGGCGAAATTTCTTGCTATAAAACTCAGCCTCGATGACGATCAAACTTAAATCAAAGCTTCGCCATGATCATCTCTACCAAGTTCTTCCTCTCTAGCTTCCTTGCTCTGTTGATCTATGGCATTGCAAGCACTGCTCTCTCAATTGAAAGCACTCAGAGTGATGACCTCTCAATCCTTCCAAGTACACAGGATGATTTCTTTTCAATCCTTGCAAGCACCCAGAGTGATTTCCTCGGCGCTCACAACTCCGCAAGAGCTTCAATTGCGACGTCTCCAAGAATCCCTCCTGTCTCCTGGAGCAATGACGCCGCGGCATTTGCAATGAGATGGATCACAACGCTGAGAGACACGAGAAATTGCAACATGGTTCACTCCGGCAACAGAGCATATGGGGAAAACTTATACAAATGGATGGGAAGTCCTGGATTGCCATCGCCAAATCCTGCGGAAGCCGTGAAGTCATGGGTGAACGAGAAGAGAGATTATCGGTATGCAAGCAATAGCTGTGCCGCTGGTAAGGTTTGTGGGCATTACACCCAAGTTGTGTGGAGGAACACCAAGAGAGTGGGGTGTGCTTCGATCAAATGTCCTGGAAATATGCTGCTTGTGAGTTGCAATTATGATCCACCTGGTAATTGGGTTGGACAGAAGCCATATTAGCAGATTAGAAAGTTCCCTTGCATTTTCACAGCATAGCCACAAATCCAATAAGTTTTCTTCTTGAGAATCATGGCATCGTGTAGTTTTCTCATTGACATCATTGTTAGATCATAAGATTATATGTATTCAACTTCCTTATAATAAATGTAAACTCACTGTTTCAATGACAATCTATCAGACAGGCCAAATTGATTAATATTTTTTTCTAGAAGTTTAGTTTGAGTTCTCTTTGTTAGCTTGACGCATTTTGTTATTATTGAAACATCAAGTAGGCAAGAACTATGAATGAATTAAATATTGCCTAGCATAAGTTGCCCAGTTGGCAAAGTTTTTCTGATCCACATATTATCAAGAATCTATCGCTAGATCTCTAGGGCACATGCAACTGTTCTAGCACCAATTGTGATGACCTGCACATTAGGAAATACTTTTGAAACTACAAAACATTTCATGATATCCTCACCCAGATCTTCACCATTCCCTCGCCATTGTCCATGTCACACCCTAAAGTAACCATGTCAAATGTAGCGTTAGATGGCAGCATTTTATGCGGCACCAGCGCTGCATCGTGCACACAGCAGCACCTCGGACTTGACTCCACAGGGCCCTCTCAACACCTCCAACATCCAACACCTTAACGATGTCAACTTAGATGCATCCAATGAATGCACTGCTCAGCACAACACTCAGACCTCAGCGCCTCTGCATGTGTCTAACATGACAGCATATGCAGCACCCTGTGCCCTAGGGAATGCCCTCAACAGCCATATCTGGTGGCTCATTGTTGTCTTTGCTGGCCTCATCTAGGATCTGGAGCTGGGCTCCGATACCATGTCCTAAACAAGCTGAAGCATAATGGATTATGAATGGATATGCTTAGATATTTTCATAACTCTACATATAGAATATCCTACATGATGTAAACCTCTCATGTTATAGAGAGTGTACATCTCCAATAGGACTGCACCATCTCAACACCAGTGTCCACCCTCAATCAAGTAAACCAAGAAAAGTAAACCAAGAATCAATTCATCTCGGCCCTCTTGTACATGACTATATGCCCCTGCTTTGCTGCTCGGCCTTGTAGTTGCAAACATCCTCAGCCTTAGGACTAAGATGGAAGAAAAAAAGAACATCAAAGCTGAGCAAACAAGCTCACTCCACTCCATAGTTTGAAGAAGAAAACTCATCTTTCTTGATGCGAGCTTACTCTCCCTTGGCGCTCAGTCACCTCCCACCTCAAATGCTGGACTCTGCCATCTGAGCACCAATGTCCACCCTCAAGAAAGTAAACCAAGAATCGATTCACTATATGCCCCTGCCCTGCTACTTGGCCTTGTAGTTGCAAACGTCCTTGGCCTTAAGACTACGATGGAAGAAAAAAAAACATCAATCTAAAGCTATGCGAGAAAAAACTCACTCCACCCCATAGTTAGAGAAGAAAACTCACCTTTCTTGCTGTGAGCTTGGTTGTTGTTCGCTTCCAAACAACTTACTTGCAGGTTGCTTGCTTTGCAGTCCCAACACTTCCTTTCTAGCATAGTTGCAGCTAGATGTGCAAACGTTCCAACGTGTCGAAGTTTAAATGCCGTTTAAAACGTTTTTTTCAGGACAATCCAACGTTTACATGTTAAAGCCTAAAATGATTAAGAAAACATTAATATTTACTAAAGACTGATATTAAGTTTATAAAACCTAACCACTAAAACAAATGAAAGAAGAAGCCGTTTTAGTCGTCTTCCAATTCCGAATCGTCCAGTGCCTCAGCCGAAGCAATATCAAAAAATGTCACCAAATTTCTATCCAAGGATCTACGTTTTGCTGCTCTGCTTGTCCCAGCACTGGACCAGTTCTCCGTGCTTGCGACCATAGATTCTACTAGCCCCCCTGACTGTGCGGCTTGCTTGCTGCAGCAGATGCCCATCATCAGCATCTGCTGGGTCTGCTAGCTCGGAATTGGAAAAACTGCTGCGAGCTTGTTTAAGAACCTCATAAGGGATTTCCCTCATTGCCTTACATGTTTTCACACCTCTTGCCCGAACTCCAGCGAGATGTGCTCACACTCGGTTTGCTCCCCCAGTGTGAATCTCATGACAATACTTACATGTCCAGTGCTGCTCTACTCGTATCACATGCTTTCAGCTCTGGCATTCGTGGCATCCTCCAATTCCTGACCATGTCTCTTTTCACAAATAGTCCAAACGGGAGTTTAGAATGGTGTTTTTGAACGCATTTAAAACATTACGTTTTTTAAGTTTCACACGTTTTCCAGCAACTATGCTTTCCAGGCTGCCCCTCCTAGTTTTCCTTGCTCAATGCAACACACTCAAATACCAAGGTAGCTTTAAATTAAGGATGTATTACAATGGCAAATCTTCAAAAGATCGCATTCCTTCTGTTTAAGTACAATTAAAAATCCACACCTGGAAACAAAAAATACATCTAAATGAAAGTGTCACTTTGCAAGAAAGAAGTTCTCTTGAATCATAGAAGTGTTGTTAGAAGAAAACAAATCCGTTGCCATGGAGCTGCCGGCAGCAGCCTCACTTTGGTGCTGGCAACATCACGTTCACCTACAACATGAAGTTGAATTGATAATTGTCACATGGTTGGTACCAAGCACCATCAAGATACCTATCCTAGAATAGAAGCAGCATCCTGTCAGTATCCTATCAAGGGCCTGTAGAGTAACATCTAGATTATCCACAAACTTGTTCTTCCTTTTCCAATCCCTTCGAGCCAAGCAAGCCAAGCCGAGAACTGGATCATGTTGGGGGGATAGCATGCCTGATCATGGAACGCTCTCTCTTGCCACCTCTAGAAATCAACATTACTGGAGGAGAATCCATCACCATTCCATGATGGGTCTGTCAATACGTCAGCACGCTCTTCACCCAAGGGGCCAAAAGGGAGAAGCCTTGGATTGAACATACCATCACCGCCAAGCCCCAGCATTGCAAGGAGCGCCCCTTTGTCGCTCATCCAGCCCTCCATTACAGGAACTACAGGAACATCGTTCTCACAATAGACCCTGCACGAAGGAAACAACACGATTAAGAAAAGAAATAAAGTAGTTGTACACTGGCTGAGACAGAAAAAGCTTTGGATCAAGGAGAAAAAGTTCTTCGATGAGAGGAGAAGACTAGCATGCCCCAGTCTTACCTGCCCATGCACGTCTAATTCACTATAAAGTGTGTTAAGGCTGCTGTGCGAGATTAGTGTAAAGTTAGTGACAGAGCAAAGAGCGGTGTTGAGGCTAAATTTGTACCTAGCATCGCCGGCTCACTCCCGCCTGCCCATGGTCCAAAACCACCCGGCTGGCCTAAGGCTGGCCCGCCGGGTATAATGTCACAGCTCGATTGAAAAAAAATAGTACCGCCTTTGCGAGTTTAAATAATCTTAAGCTTCTTAGTTAAGCCTTAAAAACAATTCACAAGCTGACTTTTTATTTTAACAATCTTTAGTACAACTCGAAAGTAATACTGATTTATTGCGATGAGAAAATTAGACACATGCTAATGATGCTATGCTTTGCAGAAGAGAACTTATTGGATTTGTGGCAATTTTATGCTGTGAAAATGCATGGAAAACCACTTCATAAAGTGAGTTTTCCAAGCTACTAATATGGCTTCTGTCCAACCCAGTTACCAGGTGGATCATAGTTACAACTCACAAGCAGCGCATTTCCTGGACATGTGATAGAAGCACACCCCACTCTCTGGGTGTTCCTCCAGACAACTTGGGTGTAATGCCCACAAACCTTACCAGCGGCACAGCTATTCGTTGCATACGTATAGTCTGTCCTCTCGCTCACCCATGACTTCACGGCTTCCGCAGGATTTGGTGGTGGCAATCCAGGACTTCCCTGCCATTTGTATAAATTTTCTCCATATGCTCTGTTACCGGAGTGAACCAGGCCGCAATTTTTCGTGTCTCTCAGGCTTGTGATCCATTGCGTTGCAAATGCCGCGGCGTCAGTGCTCCAGGAGAGAGGAGGGATTCTTGGAGATGTCGAAACGGAAGCTCTGGCGGAGTTGTGAGCGTCGAGGAAATCACTCTGGGTGCTTGCAAGGATTGAGTAGAAGTCACTTTGGGTGTTTGCAAGGATTGAGAGGATATCACTCTGGGTGCTTGCGAGGATTGAGAGGGTGCCATAGATCAACAGGGCAAGGAAACTAGAGAGGAAGAACTTACTAGAGATGAACATGGCTAAGCTATAATCTAAGTACATGAAGTTTTATAGCAAGAACAAGTTCGATTGAAATGGTCTCGAGCAACGCAACATGACGAACATTCCGTGACGATCATCCTTAGAAGTTGAAAGGAGGGTGGAATGTTCAGCCCTCGATTTACGCTCCTTGCAATCGCGGCCGTCCACGCTGAAGAAATGCAGCGCTGTTTCAATCAGAAATAAAAAAAGGCAAAATTCGTAGAACAAAAGGGCAAATAGTAACATTTTAGAAGTTTAGTTTGACTTCTCTCCTCTAACTTAGACTCATTGTTGTTATTACTCACGTTCTGCTGACCAATGCTTCTGATTGTGATTGCAGCAATTGTAAAAAAGAAGCCGTTTTGGATTTTACATGATTTAAAACAAATAATTATTAACGTATGCAGAAAACCTAGTCAAAATTTTTTCTTAATCTGTAAGTTAGCTTTGATAGAATTTGTGGAGTTCCTCCTCCGAGTTCTTGGATCTAAAACAGCCCTGATTTCTCCACACTTCATCCTCGACCTCCCTCGCCATGAAGATCACTTACTCCTTCGCCACCTCGGCCTTGAACGCGGCCATAGACGGGGATGTTGAGAATGGCCAAAGACGACAGTTGCGCCCATTCCCGGCCCAAGATTTCCACTAGAATGGATCGAAAAAGTCTAGCTCGTGTTATACAGGGGAGGATGACGTCTTTGATACGGCAGCGAGGCTGGGATTTCTAATCTTACAAGTTATCCAATCTCGACGCACGAGTTCTTTGACTGTCGTCTTCTGTGAAATAGAAAGCTATTCGTGTCGCGTATGTTTTTACTGAGGGTTTCTAAAATACACGATGGCGAGCATTGGTGAATTTGAACGAGCTTGTGAGAATGGAACTTCGGTCCAGGAGGAGCTGCTGGTCGGCATTCTCCGCAAGAATGCAAGCACCCATTATCTCCAGAAGTTTGGGAGCCCCCAAACTCCAGCTGCTTACAAATCCCAGGTTCCAATCGTATCCTATGAGGATGTCGCCGGAGAGATTGAAAGGATTGCATCCGGGGACGAGAGCCCAGTTCTTTGTCAGGACCCAATTATTTGCTTTTTCGCGAGGTAAGAATGTCTTTGCCGGAAGAACAAAGAAAAATCTCTCTTTTTCTAGTTTAATTGTCAAAATTTTCTAATTCCAGCTCCGGCACATCATCTGGGAAGCACAAGATTATTCCAGTCACTGCTGAGAATATGTCCGCCACATGGAGAGCAGTAGAACTTTCCAGTGCTTACAAAGCAAGGTATTTTGCTAATCTCAATTTCTCTTGTGAAGAACTTTGATGGTTTTGTGGAAATCTTTTAGATGTTTCCCGGAGCTTGGAAGTGGGAGAGTGCTCGGTTTGTACTACTGCATCGATCAATTTCATACCAAGGCAGGGATCTTGGTGGGAGCTGGCACCACTTACACGATCAAGAACTACAGAAGCTTCTCAAGTAAGTTCACGACTCCGTACGAGATGATCGTGTCCGGGTCAAACTGGCGGGAGCTGACGTACTGCCACTTGCTGTGTGGCTTGATCCAGCGAGACGCGGTGGAACACATCGAGTCGATGTTTGCCTACACCATCTGCGAGTCTCTGAGGATCCTCGAGAGCGATTGGGAGGAGATTTGCAACGACATAAGAACTGGCAGCTTGATCAGCGGCAAAGTCACACACGCAAAGCTCCAAGAAGCTTTCGCGAGTTTAATTCTGGATTATAACGAGCTGGATCGTGTCCGCAATGCCGAGGCCATCACCAAGATTTGCAGCAGAAAATCATGGTCTGGAATTCTTTCCTTGCTCTTCCCGCGAGCAAAACTGGTTTCCACAGTGGTGACCGGGGGGATGGCACACTTTGTTCCTGAGTTAAGAGATTACGCAGGTGTCAAGCTTCCAATATCCGGGAAGGATTACTACTCGTCTGAGGGAGTTCTTGGGATCAACACAAACCCCGCTTCTCCTCCTGAGGAAGTCGTCTTCACAATTTTACCACACATAATGTACCACGAGTTTCTTCCGATCGGTGCTAATAATCCAGCTGGTGAAATCCTGGCTCCACACGAGGTTGTCGTTGGGCAAGAGTACGAGATCGTCATCACGAACTTCGCAGGTTTGCCATCTTCTATCTTTTCTTGCAAATTTCTCACCCGAAGTGTTCTCTTTTCTTTAAGGATTATATCGATACCGAGTCGGGGACGTGGTGAAAGTATCGAGTTTTTTCCATGGAGTTCCTCAGCTGGCTTTCAGCCACCGCAAGAACGCGGTTCTGAGCGTCCAAAATGAGATGGTCGACGAGCAAGAGCTCCAAAATGTGGTGATGGAAGTATCAAAAGATTCAGGGATCGAGGTGGCGAACTTCACAGCCTATGGCAATTCCACCGCTGTTCCTGCGCACTACGTGATCTTCTGGGAGCTCAAACGCAGAGAAGGGATCAAGAGAGAGCTCTTGGAGAGATGCTGCTCGAGTATAGACAGGTCTTTCAATCCGGGATACACTGGAAAGAGGCTGGATGGAGTGATCGACTCGCTGGAGCTGGTGATTGTCAGGGAAGGGACGTTTGAGAGGCTGATGGAGGAAGCTGTGAGGAATGGAACATCGCCAGCGCAGTATAAAACTCCAAGGTGTGTGACCTCTCCAAGAATGCTGGAAGCTCTAGAGTCTGGACGCGTCCAGAGCTACAAGAGTGGGGAGATGCCTAGATCTGTGTTAGAGAGCTGGGAGCCAAGCTTTCCACAAGGCAGTGCATCGTGAGATGCCTAGAATATACCTGAAAAAGCATCCACATTTGTTTCCAACAGAAGTCCATGTGCCCCTCACCTCATTTTGTATCAAGCAACTGGCTGAGATTTTTAAGAACAAACATAGTTAAGGTAGCAAAATCATAGTCAATGCATACATTGGGCCAATTTCATCAGTTCTTAACTTGTTTTGTTCAGCCCTTGAGGTTTTCAAAGGTATAACAGAATACAACCATTAAAACTTGATTTGAATCATTGAAGCTGGAGGAGATTTAGTTGTGACAATTGCGAATCCACCGCCACAGCTAAGATGGCTAATCTTCTAAAAAATTGCATCAACAAGAACATTGTTGCTGAAAAGATTGAGCTCTTGGTGGAGTTGCTATGTTTATTCCATTATCTTCCCCACTATCAACAAGATCCCATTGGAAAAAAAATCCTGTCCCAATTTCACCAGCGTCACAAGACATTATGAATCTTAGCAACATCTGGTTAAACCAAAAGAAAATTCTGAATGAGAAACAATGCAATGTACTTGAGTGTAGGATTTGGTTCTGAAGTTCATCCTAGAAATCTAGAGGCAAGGTTAAGTTTCCATTAAGAATGTGTGCTGCGTTGACGAGATCATTCTCATCAAAGGGAGCTTGTTGATTCGTTGGCAATGTCATCTCAGAGATAAATGCCAAGAATCCTAGTAAAACTTGCTTCATGTTCTATGTTGATGTCTTTGCTGTGACTAGTTCAAAACCTTAAGCTGCTTGACCATGTAGAGATCTTTAGCTTGTTGGTACTGAAGTTGTAATTTTCAACTGAAGTTCCTATCTATTATAGGGCTTCCTCTAGCACTCTCCACTCTCATCTAGAAAATTTTTGCCAAAAATCCCATATCTAGTCTTGTGGGATTTTCAGTAACCCACTTACCCATACTTGTGATGGAATACTTGGATACAAACTTGTTACTTGCCACTCAGGAACTTTATACCCATTGCAAAGTAATGAAGCATGTGTAAATCTAGGGTAAGTTATTGATCACCACAGCCTCAAAAACATCTGCTAGAACTTCCGAAATTTCGGCATGCAGTCACTCTTTATTAGTAAATCACATATTTCTACCACTAAAAGCTTGAAAGGAATTTATGAGTGGTTTGGCGAATTTGCTCACCTATTGAAGTGTTGAGACAGATATTTCTTCCATGATGATGTCTGTAAACATGATGGACCATGCATGTAAAGCATTGGTGACCACCTCCGTCTCCAAGAAGAGAATGCAATACATAATAAACTTAATGACAACTCAAGGATCTCTCAATACCATATGCTAACTTCCACATCCTTGCAAAGCTTTATTCTACCTGGCATCACCAATGGAAATGCACCAGCCATCCATACCACATTTTGCATGGTGTTTAATGGCTCCCACATGCATGGGGCAGGTCCTTCTCAAATGCAAGCCTGCATCCCTACACTCGTTGCATACTGTGTAGAGTAACACAATTGTGCATAAGCAATTGAGCTGCATCTTCACTGTAAGGATTAAGAACATTATGTAAACCTTTATGAATATGCTTTTATTTCTTATAAGGAAAATTCATTTCATATATATCAAAGTATTCAAGCAAAATAAGTTGCATTTCACATGTAGCTTATTTTGTTAGCCCCTCAAAGTCTTATATATCATCATCCACCACCAACTGATTACCGACAAATATGCAATACACAAAGTACAACAAAGGGGAAAACAAGTTTGAACATGGATACAAAGCTTATGAACTCAAAGCCAAGGACATAAAACCCATGAATTTGGAGCCAAGACAAGCCTATATTTGTATAAAATGTTTTAAATCTAAAAAATAAGTCTTCAATGAGTATCTTGATTTATGCATTTTGTTTAATAATGGCTACAAAGCCTATATAGCTTTATCATGGTAGTAGGCACATCATGTTCTCTTTATGCTCTACTACTTCAAGTAATTTATGTGAAGAGTAGGATATATTTTATATCAGGATGGGAACATTGTGTTAACTCACTTTTGTGCCAAAGCGAAATGCCTACCAATGCTATAAAGTTCATAGCTAATCTCCTATGATGACAAGCTAGTTGATTGTCATTTCTTACTTACATATAATGCATATTTTGAATAAAGAATTGTATTTATAATCAATGCTCACCCTTCTACTTTTTGAAACCTGCACACACATGATAAATTTGATGCCTAAATTGAGACAAAAAATCACATACCTTAACACAACATCCACAATGGAGGCATTATGAACAAATTATTGCACTTGTGTTTGCACAATTAGTCTTCACCCACCAATCAATCTTTTCCCTCAAACTCCTCAAAACCTACACATACAATAAAGGATCAAATGTATTGCAACACATATCTTTGCAAGAGAATAAGAGAGTGGCAAGCAAGAAATGACCTAGCAAAGAGATATATGTTGCAACATCATTGCATGCACCCATAAATGCTTGAGATGGCAAATTGAGTAAAAACACCTCTATAAGTTAGCTTGAATTGGAATTTGTGGAATATTATAAACATGATATGCCATCAGGAGAAGTTCCTCCTCCAAGTTCTTGGATAAGTGGCTTGCAAAATGAATGGCGGTCCTTGTGTGGAGTGAGATTTCTCCACACTTCATCCTCAACCTCCCTCTCGCCAGCACCACGAAGATAATTACTTGATCCTGCAAAAACTCGTCCATGAAGATCTCCCCTCAAGCTGCTCCACCATCTTCGCCAGTGCTGCTGCCACCATCCCTTCCTGGAGCTCCGCTTCCTGCCCGTCAGCACCGACGCTCCAAGCCAGTGCCCATTGCTCGTCTCCACATCAAGCACCACCTGCATTCGACGCTCTCCCGAAAACTCGCTCTCCATCGCCAACGCCAGCTTCTGGCAGCCCTGGATCTCTTTGGAACCTCAGCCTCGAACGCTACACGCTCCGGACACGTATGCCGTACACTTCGTGACGGCCCCGCGCAGGTACGCGCGGGCATGACCCCTGCCTCTCCTCGCACACCTCCACAGCGCGACAAACCTTGCTAAAGTTGGCAGGAAGACGCGCTTGAGGTACTGGAAAGGTGGCGAGAATGGTGCCACCCTTGAGGGCGAAGGTGGAGCTGCCGGTCTTGGTCCAGGTTTCAAAACCCTAAACTAATCAAACATGGGGTTCCTGATTCAGTGCCCGGTGGTGAGCTTCGAGGATGCCGCGAAGAGAAATACTCTTGGTTTTCTAGTGAGTATTGGCGCGAACAAGGCTGAGATCAAGCGGGCTGTGATGGAGCAGTACGGATTGTCCCGGGTCAAGAGCGTTCGGACACGTATACAGGGGAAGGACAAGTTTGCGTATGTTGTGGTGGATGACGCCTTTGATACGGCAGCGAGGCTGGGATTTCTAGGAACAAACCACTGATTTCCAATATTTGAATGGAATAAAGTTTATTGGGAATACGAGTTCTTTAAATTGTCCTCTTCGGTGAAATAGAAAGCTATTCGTGTCACGTTTATCAGTTTAATACACGATGGCGAACGTTGGCAAGAATGGAGCTTCGGTCCAGGAGGAGCTACTGGGGGGGCGGAAGAAAGGTATCTCCAGAAGTTTGGGAGCCCCCAAATTCCCAATCTTAACCTGGATGTCGCAGGAGAGATTAAAAGGATTGCGTCCGGGAGGGCCAGTTCTTTGTCACGAGGTCGCTTGACACGAGGTTGTCACTGGGCAAGAGTACGAGATCGTCATCACAAACTTCGCAGGTCTTAGTTTCTATCTTTTTCAACTTTTCTTCCTTTCTTTTTTTCTCAGGATTATATCGATACCGAGTCGGGGACGTGGTGAAAGTATCGAGTTTCTTCCATGGAGTTCCTCAGCAAACTCAGAGAAGAGATCAGGAGAGAGCTCTGGGAGAAATGCTGCTCGAGCATAGACAGGTCTTTCAATCCGGGATACACTGGAACTGGTGATTGTCAAGGAAGGGACGTTTGAGAGGCTGATGGAGGAAGCTGTGAGGAATGGAACATCGCCAGCGCAGTATAAATCTCCAAGGTGTGTGACCTCTCCAAGAATGCTGGAAGTTCTAGAGTCTGGACGCGTCCAGAGCTACAAGAGTGGCGAGATGCCCAGCTCTGTGTTAGAGAGCTGGGAGCCAAGCTTTCCACAAGCCAGGCAAAAAAATTAAGTCATTGGAAGTCAAACAAGGTTGAATAATGCCATGAACTTGACCTAAAGTTACTGACACGTGTTTATTTTATTTACCTGTAGCATGATTACATCAAAATAAAGAATCTTTTTACAAGTCTAGGGCTAGAGAATGGGCGCTGTGACCACGGCCGTGATCGCGATCGCGGGGATTCTACTCGGATGGGCAGCGATCGAAATGGCTTGCAAGCCGTGCTTGGAGAGAGGAAGATCTTCGCTGGCGAAATCGCTCAATCCGGACTACGATCCAGACGACGAACTGGATGCCCAGCGCCCGGCGGTGACAAAGAAAGACGAAGAGGAGGAGGAGGGCGATGGCGATCGTGGCATTGAGGAGCTCGAGGCCGGGGGTAGCGCCAGCATTGACGACGAGAAGAAGCCACTCACAAAGAAATAAAAGCTCTCGATCCTCGCCCTCTTTGTAAGTAAACGAAGTTCTCCTGCGAAGAACACATCCAATCTATTGTATTGTCTCTACAATCTGGGCATTCTTCCCTCTCCTTGGGCGTCCAGACTCTTAGATCGTCCAACAAGAGAGATCACACACCTCGGATCTCTCCATTTCTTCTCAAACGAGCCATAAACCCTAAACCTATGATGCTTTCTTCCTCCGCGAATGCGGTGCTTCCCAGCGCTCGGCCGGGCCGCTCACACCAGCTGCCAAGATTTCGCGCTTCCCGGGCAGCGATTTGCTGTAGGAATCACGGCAGCGGGAGCGCGAAGGTGGAGAGATCGACCGGTCGATTGAGCAGGGATGCAGGGATTTTGCTCGGCACTGCGGCGTTTTGCCTGGTCTCGGGATTCAGCGTCAGCGATTTCGCTCGAGCTGAGGCCGTCCCGCCCGTCGACGATGTGGCTGGGTTGCCGGCGTCCGCGATTCCAGATCTCGCCAAGAAGAAGAGGGCGGTAGCCGAGAAGCCAGGGAAGAGCTCAAAGGTTCCGTCCAGGGTTCTTCGCGCAAAGGCCAATGAGAGGACGCTCAAGGCGGTGCTAAAGACGATCGAGGAGGAGCCGGGCAACTTGGTGGCTTACAAGGCTTTGCTCTCGCTCAGGATGGAGAATGGCGAGGTGAGGGAGGCGATTGAGGTTCTGGGAAGGATGATCGAGTTGGAGCCAGAACATCTCGAGTATAGATTCATGAGAGCCAGAGCTTACGGGCTTGTTGGGGATGTGAGACATTCCAGGGAGGAGTTCCGGGAGCTTGTGGAAATCCAACCTTTCTCCGCGAAGGCTTTGCAAGTCAGTGAGTGATCGATCGTTTTCTTTCGAGTTCTTAGAAGCACCATTGTGTTTTATGCTCCAGGGACTGGCTTTAGCTATGGAGAAAGATGGAGAAGACGACTCCCAGGTTCTAGAGATGATCCATGCCGCCATAAAAAATGCGATTGATCAGCAGCAAAGCTTTGCAGCTCGCAACTTTAAGATGCTTCTCGGCCAGATTCTTACGTCTCAGGTACTAGAACAAGCTTTCTTCGTCCCTGTCTAGCTTCGTGAGATTTTTCTTTCCTTGTTCTAAGCTCCAGTGGTGGATTTCTTCCAGGAGAAGCTGACACAGGCTCTCGAGCAGTACGAGGAACTGACCAAGGAAGATCCATCCGACTTTCGTCCATATCTCTGCCAGGTGAGTGACGAAGAACTTCACGAGAACTTCTAAGTTCCTCGATTAGCTCTCAAAGTTTCTGACTTATCCAACGATTTCTCCAGGGACTGCTCTATGATTCTCTCGGCGAGAAAGAGAAGGCCAAGGAATGCTACAAACGATTCAAGGAGCTCTGCCCCGAGAGCTTTCCACAGCGCAAGTACCTCGACGATCTCCTGGTGAGAGGGAGCTATGGCGCTCGCGTGAGAGAAGAAGAGAAGGAAGGAAAGCTCGCCTCGATGCAACAGCCAAAACTAACGATGCAAGACATGGCACAAGCAAGCAAGGGGAAAGAAAATAAGAGCGAATATGCTTCGAAGTGAGAAGGAATCTAGGTCGAAAACTAGAGACGGCGACGCCGCGAGCGGGATTCCCTGGTCTGTGGGGCGGATTGATGGCGCCGGACGTCATGGATGATCTCCAGGAGCTCAAGGCGCTGCTGGATCAAGCCAAGCGGCCGCGAGTGAAATCGCTGCTCTCCGCCGAGATCGAGAGAATGCAAAAGGTTCTTGCTCTCTTTCTTGATCGCTGTAGCGGATTCTAGACTCCTGGAGGCTAATCCTGCAGGGATTGATCGAGAACGAGGCGAAACCGGCGGCGCCGCTGGAGAAAATTCCAGTTGCTGCTCCAGAGCCGCGCTACACCACTGTGGATTCGTTTAGCTGGGATCAAGATGATAAGAGCGTGAAGGTAGTTCTCATTTTTTTTCTTTTCTCTTTTAGCGACTCGCTTGCTTTCTTGTCGTTTGAAGATCTACATTGGAATCGAGGGTGCCTCCGCTGACAAAGTATCTTCGAAGTTCCAGGACGAGTCTTTCGAGATCAAGATCGAGGATTTGGGAGGGAAGAACTACCGCTGTGGTGTTCCAAGGCTCCAGAAGCCTATAGATCCAGCGGCAAGTAATGTGATTGTCAAGCCCAAGCGCCTTGTGGTGGTTTTGAAGAAGATGGCCACGGCAAGATGGACCGATCTACACTACAAGGAAGACAAGGTCTGTTCTTCGCGCTTTTCTCTCTTGTCTGAGACGATCGATTGTGGATGCACAGTTTAAGCCGGATGAAGGGAAGAATCCGATGGCTGGCATCATGGACCTGATGAAGGTAATTTCCATGGCTGCATGGTTTTGGATCGATCGTGACCTTGTTGTTGCAGAATATGTACGACGAGGGCGACGATAACATGAAGAAAACGATTGCTCAGGCATGGACCGACGCAAGAGCCAAGCAGGGAGGACTGTGAATCCTTTCGTTTTAGTTTGTTCTGCTTAGATTGGATGATTTCCTCGCTGCGAAATTAATCTATCATGTTGTTACTGACGTGGATTGTGCTTTGCTCAGCGTTCATCCCTCTTGCTAACGTTTCTTTACTGGTGCTTATGATTGAACACTTTATACAGGAGCTCTTGGTTTTAGTTTTGGTTTGTTTAAGATTTTGCTCTACAATAGAGGTGTACAAAGTTTGTGCAGCCTTGTGAAGATCATTGGTAGGGCTTATTTGGTCAGAGCGTGTGACTGAAAATCAGAAGGTAGTTCAATCCCACTCTCCGGCATTATAACTTATCTTTTAGTTTCTGGACTTCGAACTTGGGACGTTTATGAAGAGGTATGCTATTATGGCGTGAAATTTGTGACACCTGACTGTGCTGCCCAAGGTGATGACATATTTTGTAAAATATTCCTACAGCTCTTGAAATATTCTTTGCCTTCTAGAATGGTATATACTTGGTATCTATCAATCATATTTATGTGCCCAACATGCACCAGTCCATGAAGTGCTATTGTAGTCTCAGACTCAGTTTTATTTGATGAACTTTTTATAATTCCAGTCATGGTTTCGAGGATCTTTAAGATTATAACAGAAAATTTATTTCCTTTAGCTAATATTTGAGACCTACGTGTCCTTAGGTTTGAATAATACTAGGCTAGATGACTTTTTAGAAAAGTCAAATTCACAAATTTACATTTAGTATAAAAAAGGTATCAAGTTATGAATAAAAGTGCACTTTTTTTTCAAAACAGTTAAGAGTCTTTGGTTACTCTCGAGGGGTAGGATGTTAAGAGAGCAAGACTTTCAAAAGAGCTATGGTTCTCAACTTTTATTCACGAGAATATGAACTTATAAGGAAGCATGGTGGATTGTAAGTAGCTATTTAAAAGGGTGTGAATTTATAGGGAAACATGGTGGATTGCAAGTAATTAAAGGGAATGATTTGAAAGATAATCTATAAAAATTCAAATATAGAAGGAAATAGCCTATAAATAAAAGTGCACTTTTTTTTCCAATCAATTAAAGATCTTAGGATACTTAAGGTTAAGTGTCTTTTGGTTTGAATAGTATGGGGCTAGAAGAAGTATTCAATAGCAATTGCAAATGCACTAATAAAATTTCTAACTTCCACCTAGCAAGTGAAATAGTCAGTAGTCAAAAAGTCAAGTAGTCATTGCCAGCAATCAATTGTGGAAAAAGCCCCATGAGATCAAATGCCATCCACTCAAACAAATGGAAAATTGCAATTAAGTGTAACTATACTTTCATAGCACAAGGGGGAGTATTACAAACTTGGCACGAACGTACATACCAATAGTATCATGTTGCATCTCCGGCTAATAGAAAGATCTGTGTAGTTTCTCAGTCATATAATGATGTCGTATATGTCATTCTCAATGTGATATTGAAAATATAAATGTCGAAATGGCAAATCATAAAACTATCACAAAGCTTTTAGATCCATAGCTCAACCTTGTGAGCCTCACAAATCTCATCAAGAGAAGGTAAAAAATCATGCTCTATACCTTGTGGATATTAAACATCAAATACAATAACTGTTGATGGCATAGAATCCTCATCCAAAAAATCCACAAGCCTCATAGCATGATTGTGCCGCAATTAATTCATACCAAAGATTCAGTCAAAAGTTTGACTCAACACCACCCGCAATAACTATAGCGTAAGCTCCTGAATTTAGACTTCCCAAGAAGTCACCCAACCCAGTACTATTTAAACCCAAGGACACTTAACCCCAAATATCCCAAGACCCTTAACCGATTGAAAAAGGGGGTGTACTCTTGTTCATGGGCCTTTTCCCGTTATATTTGAACCCTTATATATTATTTGTCAAGTTGTTCCCTTTGGTTGTTTACAATCCACCATGTTTCCTTGCAAATTTATGCATTCGTGAATGGAAGCTGAGAGCCCCGCTCTCTTGACACCCTACCCTTTATGTTGAGCCCAGTGGGAGTAAACTAGATCAGCCAGATGTCAATCAACATATGGTGCGATTCCCCTAAGCCAACCAACAGAGTCAAACCTGAGACCTCTATAATACCAAATGTAAGCTCCTGAATTTGGACTTCCCAGGAGGTCATTCAACCCAATGCTATTCAAATCCAAGAACACTTAATCGATTGGAAAAAGGGGTGCACTCTTGTTCATAAGCCCTTTCCCTTTATATTTGAACCCTTATGGATTGTTTCTCAAGTATAAAGAATGAAAATTGGCTCTACTGCATAGTGCAAATATAAATGTAACATGTAACAATAGACTAAGTAATAGAGGATAAACTCAAGTCTATATCCACCAACATAGAATGAATAATAGAAGATCTCTTATTATTAAAATGAGATTGGAAAGTAAACACTATATGAACTAGTGCTAAATGAACTTCTTGATAATACTCTCGAAAGAAAGATGGAAGGGTCACTGACTTATTTGTGCAAAGACCCTTTGTTACTTGTGTGACTCTTCATTTCTTAGAAACATCTTGGTGTTTAGACCTTTCACTTCAATAACACCAATAGGACATTATTGATACTAAAGTCTTTACCTAGGAAATGGAGGTTATTAATCTAGAAAATGACGATAATGCTAATAAATGTGACTAACTTCCTTATACGCATAACAACAAACATCACAACCATAACCACATTTTTGCCTTTGTTCTTGAATTTGGGTAACAATAGCATTAACCTCCATTGGAATAGAACTATCTCCCATAAGAAGTGGAGCTAAAGGACATGCAACTAAAAGTGGGGAAAATGATGTCTCATAATGTTGTGCTAAGAAAAGAGTATCATTAAAGGTGTGGGAGCAAGTGCATACATAAATCTTATAAAATATTGACGAAGTGTTAGCCACAACATTTCTAACCTAATTCACTTTGACTTTGGCTTCACACAAAGTAAAAGGTTTCGGAAACAAACACAAAATTGCATTATCCAAATGTGCATTTGAAGACATCCAAAAGAATGCTCCAATCCTCAAGAGTGGCTACACTCAAATTATTGTACCATTGCAATGCCATCCCTTGAAAACACATGGGAAACTCATGCAAATGTTGAATATCATTCTAAAAATGATATGTGGTAATCATCGTAAATTGATCAAACTAATAGTATATATCATCCCTAAAACTTCCACAAAAGAAATCTAATTAGACACGAGAACTAACACTAAGAGCAAGATGAATTGTATTATATGCTGTGAATGCCACTATCAACTAAGTTTGATTGTTCAACTATAATCCCATAACATTGATAATTGCATGACTACTACTCCAAGTTTAAGCAAGAGGAGGCTATTGTTGCTAAGAAGATGAACAAAAAGGAAAAAGTAAAAGAGAAGAAATTAAAAAAGCTAAAAGGAAAAAGAGATCTAAACAATACAAAAGTTAAATCTAAATTAAATTCCCAAATCCAGACATTGCTCAAGGACAATCAAAGTTGCCTCCACTAATGTGAGTGCATGGAATATGGAAATAGAATACAAAAATGTGCATTTTAATTAGCTTTTATATATATATATATATATATATATATATATATATATATATATATATATAAGCATGTGGTCTAAATTAAAATCAATCTGACAGCTATCAAAATCTCACTACATTACTTAGCCCTCAAAAATTTATTTACTACAGTTTAATGGAAAATTTCTTTTACTCTTTTATTTTCTTTACTTAGGGAAAAACTTGAGATTGTTATAAATGGATATGAACTAGGGTATAGTCTTGTCCTGGAACCTCCTCAAGAGACTTTACATTGTAGTCTACCACACTGCCAAATTTGAAGAGGGACTGCAGAGGTTGTCGAGGCGATCAGGATGTGGAGCTCCAGTGGTGGCGGCCCCAAACTCGCCACTTCGAGCGAGGGGTTTCGGTTCGTGGAGCTGATCGACAACAACCTCGAGACCCCCCAAATACGTTTTTCAATTCAGGGTTAGGGCTCTTGAGCTAGGGTTTGATGGCGTGGGCGAGGGCGATTGGCGGCTTATGCAGGCGCGCGGGCAGCGGTCGCTTAGATTCTCTTTCCAACCGAGGATTCCAGCGGATTTCTAGCTCGTTTGGCCAAAGGGGCTACTGCGCGCCGGTGGAAGCGCCACTGTCAGATAATTCGGCGGCACCGGCGCTGGCCTACGAGCTCAAGTCCTCGCTCAAGTCTTCGCCGCGGCATGATTTGGCGATGATCTACACTTGCACGAAGTGTAACACGCGATCGGCCAAGACGTTTAGCAGGGAAACGTACGACAGGGGGGTGGTGATTGTCCGGTGTGGGGGATGTAGCAATCTCCACCTCATCGCGGACAGACTTGGGATGTTTGGGGACAAGGGGAGCGTTGAGGATTTTCTAGCGGAGAGAGGTGAGAAGGTGAAGAGGGAGTCTGAGGATACGTATGAGTTTGCGCTCGAGGATTTAGTTGGAGCGAAATCCAGTGAAAATTCTCGGGACTAGTTTCTAGTCGAAGGTTTCTTCCTGGGTGGTTTTTCTTGCTTAGAATCACGTCTACAGTTCAGTTGCCCACTCTCGCATCCCGGTAGCATAGCGTTTGACGGCACTATCCTGCATGTTACCACAAGCTCACAATTTTGAAGCAGTGTGGTTTGCATTCTTGAGCGCCTGTCCAGAAACTTTGGTTTGTCTTTCAGATTCTTCTTGGCGCAGCGAGCAAAGGCTGCAACCAGCTTCCAAGAGTCCGGCCTCACCTCGCCCATCCTATCAAACAGCTCCAAAGCCAGACGATCCTCCGATTTCGACGTCCTTCTTCTCCTCCCATCTAGTTCGTGAGCTAGCACTTTGCATGCATGTCCTGGTACTCGCTGGAGAGGAAGTCCTGGAGGAGGGACAACACTTACAAGCTTGCCGAGTCCTTTTCTGTTGCAGGAATACTTTTGACAGCTCCTGGTTTCAACAAACCGTTGTCTTTTTGTTTTCTTTCTATACAAGCCGAGTTGAAGTGACCAAAAAAGTACCGAGAGCCT